TTCTTGGGCTTATGAGCAACGTGATTCTGGCCGCCCTTGCCGGATGCGCTCACATCACCCGCCCTAGTCTTTTGGATTTTAGGGTCGGATGGTTTTGAAGGAGATTTGGAAGGCGCACCTTACATCAATACAAGACAAACGCAAGTTAGAAATCATTCGGGCAAGTTAAATATTGGCCAAGAATGATAGTATAACAATTTCCTACCTTGGAGGTGCCGCCAGTTCTCTGCTCATCCACTTTGGTGTGAGTGGTTGCTTCTGCCCTATTTGGGACATTCGACCTGTATCGAGCAGCAGATACAGCCGGTTTCCTTGTGGCCGAGAGCTTCTCCATTGCTTTGTCTGCAAAAATGAACAAGTGTTAGCACCATTAAACAGGTACTCAAAAGAAAAAGTAAATTGCATATAAAACAGACGGCCGACTACCTCTCGGCATTTCAGAACTTAGCCCACAAGCGGCTAAGAATGTCCCTTCTTCAAACCACTTGTACAAAGGGAGATAGCATTGAGGGGTGACCTCCTTGTCCCCCTCATCATTTGTCCACATGTACACGGTAAACAACCCCGCGTCCATGATCTCCTCCTTTGCCCGCCTGGGAATAGGCGGCAATGTGCTCCTGCCTGCTAGGAGAGGTGGATCCTTATTCCACCTGTTATACTTTTGGTTCAGGCGGCTGTCGGCAGACTTGACTATGTAAAACTTAGTCCTCCAGTCTTTCCACTTGTTCTCTTTGCCAACAGCCATCATGTACCCCTTGCAAGTGGTCAAGGTGTACCAGCCCTCGCCGCCCCTAGCAGGCGCCCTGCTCAGATAGTGCATGTGGGCGAACGCTTCAAAGCTCGCCTCCACCTGCAGCATCTCACAGGCGGCAACATACCCCAGAATATTGATCTAGGAGTTGGGTACAAGTTGCCAGATACCCAGTTGGTATCCGTCCAAGATCCTCTCCACGACCGGATGGAGAGGGAAGCGGAGGCCAGCCTGGAAGGCCGCTTCATAGCAGCCGAATGCTTTGTCTTGATAGCTGGCCAGGCTCGGCCAGGTTATGGTGTCTCCCTCGTTAGGGATCGACAAAGTGTAGCCATAGCCTAGGACGACCTTGCGCCTAAAATTGGCAAGGTCGGATGCCATGGCGCTCCGCTTGCCTGGCGGAACATGCTGATAGTAGGGGGCTCTCTCCAAGCGCCTGGAAGCGCTCGGCTCGGCCCAGCTTTCCCCCCTATCCACTTCCAGGGACTCTCTGGAAGAATCTATTTTTGATCTAGCCTCCTCTGAAGTTACGGAGGCATTCTCTGAAGAAGATGATGAGGCCAACTCTTCATCAGAGCTCTCATCAGAGCTAGGGGACCGCCGACTAGTGCCAGCGGGGTCCTCCCCTAGACTTTCTTCCGGCGCCTGTCCAGAAGGCCCGGGTTGATATTCTTCATCCGCCTCCCCCAGGATTCCATCACTGGGAGTTCCACTAGATGTGGGCGAATGGTAATAGGTGGGGGTAGGAGGAAGATAGGAAGGGTTGTCAAGGTGTTCCGACAGCTCACTTCGAGGCACTCTTATTGAGCCGTCTGAATAAACAGTCGACCCATCCGAATGGTAGAAAACTCCATCGGAGCTACACTGCCTTGCTGTTCTTTTGATTCTGGCCATAGTGTCCTACACAGACACGGAAACGGTCGGATTCGGAGAAGTTCGCAAAGCAGGGTCTTTGGCCAAGCATTCGGCACTGCTAGTTCTAGATTCAGCCGTCCCCGGTGACCGGCTGATCACTATCCTACGCCGTGCCGCATGCAATTGGGGAGCCATTTTTTCGAAAACAAAGAAAAAAATGAAGAGTAAAAAGAGAAAAAAAAAAACAGGCGTTACCTTAGAAGAAGGGAGAAAGACGCCTGGTTGATTTAAGAACGGTCGGACTGTTGGCCGAGTGTCGGATGCTTGAAAAACGCTTAGGGAATTTGAGATTCTTTAAGTCAAAAAGTCCAAGATTCTCCAGAGATTCGCCAAGGTGTGAATCCAAGAGGGGGTTAAACCTCACTATTTATAGGGGGGTAAAACCCTAATTTTTTCCCTCCAGTAATTTTTGAATCTGACCACTCAGATACTGACACCTGTCACAGGAGTCACGTGCAATGCACGTGACCCCTGTGAGGGGCAAATGATTTGGGTATTTTTATACCCGGCCAGGTGGCCCAATCAGAAAGCGCCACGTGTCCTCCGTATAGGTGCCATTTGGACCTATGGAATGATGACACGTGGAGGGTGGACTCTTCTCCGTCCTACGTGGACTGAAGGTCCAGCAGGGACCATTCAGGTCGCGACAAGTGTCACTCAAAAAGTGCTTCAGAATCCTTTTGGGCACAGTGACACGTGTCACTCAGGCATTGGCCCTGGGATGGCGGCCTTCCAAGGCCCAAATCCCGAGGCGCCGCAAAACGGCGTGACCTAATTCCTAGGTCACCAGATCCTAGGAAGGCACACTCTTCAAAAGGACCCTATAAATAGGGACATTATGTCATTTATGACAAAAGGAGAGAGAATTTTGACACGCAATACGAGACAATACGTCACTTATCACACTTAACCTGAGCTTGGAATCCAAGCAGATAACTTTACTTCCGCACGTTTTATTTCCGAACGTTTGCTGACTTAATCTTCGGAGGCGGACCCCCAACCATCCGGAGGTCCGTTTGCTTTGCAGGTACAGGCGTCCTCAGTTGAATCCAGTTTCAGTGTTGTAACTCTCCCGAGGGACAAAAACCCCCGAAACAGCCGTGACTAACGGTTCACATTACTATTTCAGTATATATTCCAGTCAGCAATCTTATGCATTAAAATATTATTATTTATCAATTTCCAATGCAAAAAATTTTCAGAAATGCCATTAGAGATACAATCTTTGTTTCTCAAGAAGAGAAACTGGGATGCCCCCTAAATTAAATCATACTTACCCTTCATTGACTTCTTCTTTTTCACCCTTTCTATGGGTCTAGCGTCTCTGCCTTTGTTGGTTCCTCCTTCTCCTACTCCTTGTCCTTGTAATATTATCTTCCTTTCGTAAGATTTTCATGACCAGTCTGTGAAGGTGTTTGCAGTACCACTCCCTATACCTTTTGATGCAAAGGATAGGCCCTACAAAGACAGTAATCCCAACCGGAAACCCAACTTCAGCAACACTTAACATCCATTCTTGTTCTCTCTTTGAACTCCAATTTGATCCCTCTAAAGAAGTAGGTGGAGTCACCGTGGGATCTTTTAATGTCAATGGTGGACCGTAGAGTCCTTGGTTGCCTTCATATGAAGGTGCGTTGAATGTTTGAAGTTGAGTGCCTGTTGGGATCTTTCATGATAACTTGTTGAAGGATAGGTCAAGTACTCCAGGAAATTCAAGTTTGCAAGCTTTGTAGGTATCTTCCCAGTTAAGGCATTAGAAGAGAGATCCAATGATTCTACCCAACTTAAATTCCCGAATGATGATGGTATATGGCCCGAGAAGGAGTTGTGGGAGAGGTTGAGATATACAAGAGCATTTAGATTTCCCAACTCTCTCGGAAGCTCCCCATGAAAAGCATTATTGGTAGGGTTGTTCATAACCGGGTACCCAGCTTTTCGGGTACCCCCGCCTTTGCGGGTAGTCAAGTACTCTGCCCATGACCCGATCCGCGAACTCCGGGTACCCGGATTTTACGGGTCGGGTGAATGGGTACCCGTGAAAAACCAAACTTAAAATAAAATACAATTAATTATTAAATATAAATGATATCTATATCAGTATATTGTACTCATATGCTACAAAGAAATACAAACAATAATTTACCCAAAACTAAAATTCTTTACTCTTACAATTTCGTTAATATAAATGCAATTACAAATTACAAAAATCCAAAACTCTAAGTTACAAACTTAAAACTCATTTCCCCCAAATTACAAACTTACTACTCATTTTCCCTAAATTTTAAACTTACAAATTTACAATAATTTCACCCAAAACCAAAATACAAAACAATTGCAATTAATTAAAGCCAAAACCCAAGTACTAACTTACAATTCATTTCCCCCAAAATTGTGTACTTACTCACTTCGTCCTTGTCGTTACCGTTGTTGGCTCCGTCTTCTTCGTTGGTCGAGAGTGGTGGTGATTGAGTGTGTAGATTTGAGGAGGGAGGGTGATGAGGAGAAGGTGGAGGAGGGTGAGGAGGAGGTGGAGCCGTGGAGGAGGGATGGAGCCATGGAGGTGAGTAGTGTTTGTGAGATGAGAGAGGAGAGGTGAGGTGTGAACTGTGAACTTGTGAAGCACTAAAGTGGCAACTCACTAAGTGAGTAAGTAACCCTAAAGTGCCTTCCAGCCTAAAAATAAGAAAAAATAAATAAAAATATAAGTTCGGGTATTTAACGGGGACCCGTTTCACTCACAAGGCGGCCCATTACCCGACCCGCGAATCTAGTATTTACCCGGCCCGCAAAAATTGCAAAATTTCAAAAAATACCCGCCGGGTATTTTGCGGATCAGCGGGTCAACGGGTCGGATATTTTTTAACACCCCTAATTATTGGAGAAGTCGATGCTAGTGAGAGTTTTTAGGATGTATTGAAGCTCATAGGTATTACCTTTGAAGGTGAGTGCCACAGAATTTTGATAGTATTGACCATCTAAACTATTGCTCTACAAAAACCTGGAATTTGATTGCTCTTTAGTTGTTCCAGCCATCATCAATGTCCAATTAAAAAGACTTTTGGCTTCCAACTCACCGGTAAAGTAATTGGAGGCTACGTCTATTATTTGAAGTAATGGCCATATATATTGAGTAACTCTTTGGGCAAACAGTGGTTCCATGTAGCTTGTTGGAATGAAGGATGAGAACTTGCAAGTTAGACAAGTTGTTCAAATGACAAGGAAAAGTGTCATTCAAGCGATTATTTCCAAGATCTAATACCTTCACATCTTTGCAGTGGGCGAGTGATAGAGGAATCCTTCCTTGCACAAAATTCTCATTCAAGTTTAGAGTTTGTTATCTGCAACCTTCTCTGAATTTAGTAGGGATTTCACCATATAATTGGTTTCCTGTCAAACTCAACACGCTGATTTGAGTCATGGCAGTAAGACAATCAAGGACTATGCCACTCAAATGATTGTGTTCTAAGTTAAGAATCTCTAGGCTTGTGGCATTGCATAGTGATGCAGGGCTGCTCCCATGCAAGTTATTTCTTGAAAACGACAGGTAGCGAGCATTTGATAGATAGTTGCCAATTCCAGGATTGATAGAAGTGAAATTACTGTTGGAACAATCCAAATAGTTGTAATTGGATAAGACAGCTGGGAAGTCGCCTTGAAAATTATTAAAAGAGAGGTCTGTGGTAGCTCCTAAATCATATGAGAATAATGTCAAAGGTGATTCTAGCTTCACTAAGTGGTTGTAAGAAAGGTTGAAATTAACTATTTGCCACATCCACCCGGGCACTGTGCATGTGATGTTATTCATTGAAAGGTCAAGTGTTGTAAAGATGTTTGTTTTTTTAAGAATTTGGGGATGGTAAGCAAGTTGCAAGAAGTCAGACTTAGATACTCAAGTTGAGGAAAAGAGGTATCTTCATTGCAATTGTTTGTACTAATTGACAAGAGATTGAATGAAAGATTAAGCACCGAAAGGTTCTTGAAATTTTGTAGAAAATCAGCCAGGTCTAGCGTGCCATTGAGCCTGTTTGAAGACAAATACAGATACCGTAGCTCTCTTAGTTGGAAAAATGACTTTGGGATTGGCCCTTCCAAGCTATTGTACCTCAAGTCAAGATCACTCATTTGGGAAGAAGCTATGCTTGCAAATTCATTCATCAGTTGCCCACTAAATTTGTTCACACTCAAATCGATCTTCCCTAGTGATGGCAAACTGAATAAAGAAGTAGAAATACTTCCATCAAGTGAATTATTTGACAAATTAAGCTCTTCTAAGCTGAGTAATTTACCCCAGTCTGTGACATTCATGGAACCATTCAAATTGTTATTCTGAAGCTGCAAGAAGTTTAGATTCTTCATTCGAGAAAATGATGGAATTGGACCAGAAAATTGGTTATCAGAGAGATCAATATTACGAAGCCTCTTGAGGTTGCTCAAGGAACTTGGTACAATTCCAAAAAAATATTCGAAGAGAGAGCGATTACATGAAGCCTCTTGAGGTTGCTAATGGAACTTGGCAGGGTTCCAGAAAATTTTGTACTAGAAATCAATAGCTTCTCAAGAGACCCATTCTTGTAAAAGACTGGTAAATTCCCTTGCAACTTTTCATTACCCGACAAGTCAAGGGTTATGAGTGTGGGTACCTGAAAAATTTTCCCTGGGAATGTCCCATTTAAGTTACATTTATGCAACGATAGCTTCGTCGAGTTTGTGAAGCTGGCTAAAACTTCTGGTACTCGACCGCCTAAACTACCGTTATCATCGAGTTTAATAACGGAAAGATGGTGGAGATTTGAAAAGGACTTATGGATTTCACCCCTCAAGTCACAATTGGACATGCTCAAGATTTGAAGGTGAGGGAACGATGATGACAACGCCTGGCACCATTTATCCCCCATGGCTGAATTATGGATACCATCAAGATAGAGTTCTTTGATATTAGTCAGATTTCGAATGATTGTTGCCAAATTTGGCTTCTTCATGTATAACGGTGAACCTGATATATCAAGGACAACTAAATTGACAAGCTGTGATATTCCAATAGGTACCTGTCCGCTGAAGCCTACCCCGGACAAATTGAGGTAAGTGAGGCTTGACAGTGTGCCAATTTTTGATGGAATTTCACCTTGCAAAGTATTTTAGTCATTGTTGTTTGCCATATATTCAAGCTTTCAAGGAACTGAAGATGAAACAAACTGCTTGAATCGTCAACAAAGCCAGTGATATCTATGCCACTAAAATCAAGCTCAATGACTCGACCATTGGAGTTGTCGCATGTGACACCGCTCCAGTGGCAGCAATCAGTGCTTTGATTCCACCCATCAAGCTTGTCTAAAGCATAGGGACCGAATGTAAGATCGTTTTTTAACTCAAGTAGTAATGACTTTTGATCGTGGAGACATTGGCTATAGGCAAAAGGTGTACAGCAGCAAGTGCATAGCCATACAATCAAGACCAAGAGAAAAGGCCAGGAAAAAGAAATAAGTGGAATTGTTTTCATTATGGAGATAATTAGATAGAGTGAGTAAAGTAGTACGTGAGGTACTAGGAGAAATGTTTGTGAATGAATGAAACCGTTGTTGATATTCAACTATTTATACAACTCAAGGTTTGCTCAATCACCAAGTATAGTGGCTAGCTTGTACTAACAAATGACAACTATTTACCAATAAATAATGCACGACATGGCCGGCAGTTTCTGCTAGCTAGCTAGTAACTTATTTACGACCACACATTCATGTACTACGCAATGGAAATTGGAAATCCCAGACGACCCCGATTGACCTGCAAGACACTACTCGCACCAAGTCTTCTTCTTTATGTAGCTTGTAGCTAGGATGTAACAATAATCCACCAATAATACAGTCTTTAATTTGAGGACTTTTCGACTGTACTGACTGTCACTCAAATTCTCAAAGTGGATGAAATTTCTGGCATTATGGCATGCAATACAACTCTTCTAATGATTAATTATCGAGTATTTGAGTCTATTCAAAATGTGCTTTAGCATTCGATTACGTATTGAAAGGGTCGATTAATTATACTAATGAACTTCAGTTTGTTAAGTACAAACTACTGTACTGTAGTAGTATTCAATTCTTTTATTTTGATGTTCATCATGATGTCTCGAAACTTTATATACACATCTATTTCTAAGTGTTTATTACAACTTTGGTTTCGTGTAATAAGTGGAAGGAAAAGGTTTTGCTTTAATTTCATTAAAAACAGTTCTTTCTTATATTAATGTCCTGATGACACTCTAAGATAAGGCCATTAAAAATTTACAGTATAGAATGAGACATGTTTTTAAAAATTAACTGACTTTTTGACTTGGAAGTCATTAGTCGTAGATGCACCTATATTTTCAGTATATTTCAAAGAAATTTCTGGTAGTTTTTGCGAGCTAGTAAATTATTTACAACAACACGTTCATGTACTACGCCATGAAAAGCCCAGACCCCGATTGAACTGCAAGCCACGCACTACTCGCACCAAGTCTTCGATCTTCTGCATATAGCCTGTAGGAAGCACCAACAATACTTTCTTTGATTTGAGGACTTTTTAACTGTACTGTCTATCATTATTCACAATGGATGAAATTCCTATCATGATGGTATGCAGTACATCTCTGAATATTGAGACTTGTTCAAAATGTGCTTAAGCATTGGCATGGATTATATTATGTATTGAAACTTAAAAGGGTCTGATTAACTCGAGCTTATCTCACGAGTAGTGAATTACAATAGTGTTCATTAATTTGATGTTCATCATAATGCCAATGTCTTGAAACTTCACCCATCTATACTTCTGAGTTCTTACTTTAATTGGTTTTGTGTTATGAGTGGAAAAAGAAAGGTTATGCTTTATTTCGTTAACAGTAGTTTCTGTCCTAACTTTATTCTATGATAAAGCCTTTATAATTAAGTTTACAGTATAGAACGGTGTTAGGTTATGAGCACGCAGCGGAAATGTAAAATAGAACGAGAAATTAAAGGTAAAATGTAAGATAAGCAATTAAAGGAGACATGATATTTAACGTGGGAAAAACCCTCTAAATAGAGGTAAAAAACCCACGACGACGAGCACCAAAAAATTCCACTATAATAAAATGAGAGTACAAAGTTACCCCAATAATAGGGTATTGAGATACAACTCTTACAATTAAACTCTCAAAATAAAAGAAAGAAAATAGTGGAATGAATTACAAGGAGGAGATTAACTAGGGAGACTAGTGTAAATGGATGAGTAATTTTGTGGGTGAGTAAATTTGTATGGAGGTTGAATGTATATTGGTTGGATGCCTCAATATGAGCCAAACTCCAACTATTTATAGTTGGTTAGGTCGGTGGAAATGGATGCCTCAAGATGTATGAAGAATTCTCTAGATTTGCTTGCATGATAATATTGCTTCTAGAGAGTTGACCATTTTTCTAGAATAATCAACATAATTGTAGAATATTTGACATACTCTAGAAGCAATAAGAATTGTATTGGGCTTCTTTAAAACTTGGTCCATATGAAATTTTGGGCCACATCTAACAAATGGGTTAGTATGTGTGGAAAATTCACTGGCTTTTTGACTTGGAAGTCACTTTATTAGGATGTTTCATTGAAATTTTTGGCATGGAAATTTGGGTGTACATCATTTTGAAACGATACTAAAATCCATACAATAGAGATTTTATTTTTTTGAAGACTTGAAGTGTGCCAATTCAATCAGTGAAGTAGTATTACAAGGATTAAACTGAATTCCTTTGATAATGACAAATTCTTAATCTTAACAAGGCTTGGTATGGCGTGACATTGTTTCCTCAATATCTCGTATAAGGGCATATGTAACTGGCAAACACTAGTCCTCATAGTCTCATAAAAACGTATTTGTCCTTTATTTTCAAGCTATGGTTAAGTGACGAAGAAAAATGTCGTAACTAATCTTTGTTAGCTTAGCAGTCAAGTCTCATATAGTCGTATGTGTTCTTTATTTTCAAGCTATAGTTATGTGATGAAGAACAAAATAAAATGTCGTTAATTTTAGCATTGAAGTCATTAACTTAGTCCTTAGCTAAGTAAACATTCTTGTAGTCTGTTTAAAACTAAGCTCAACCAACCATATAACTGTTACTTGGTGTAAATCTGGAGGCCTGTTAAGACTTCTCTCAGAGTAATGACTGAATCTTTGACACTTTAAAACTGTGCTATGCAATAAGCATGAAGGCTTCACAGCAGAATGATTTTGAATTTTCATTGAAATTTTGAGCTTGTAAGATTGGTAGTACATCTATGTTAAAAACTAAAAATGCGAATGATTTCGTGTTATGATTAGTAATTTGCAGTTTGTATCCTTAATCATAAAAATAAGGGAAGTGTTTAATTCCTTCATTAGTAATTACGAAGTATATATTTTTTTTTTTGTTCACGTTATGTAGCTAAACGACTAAACAGATAGTATTATGTCTTAGCTTCAGTAAAATGCATATCAGCATATGAGTATTTGGGTAGTCTGCAATACATGAATTGATGTCATGATATTCTGAGATATAACTTGCATGATGAGAGTTAGCTACTAGTAATTTTGTAATAGATGTTTCCAAAAACATTTATTCCTTTCTTAATCTATCTATAATTCTATAACATATATAAAAGCCCCAAGCACCCTTACTATTCCCCATTTTACTGTTCCTTATGAACAGGGAAATGACCCGCTTGCCCTCAGCCCCTTTTTCTGATTTATAACATATATAAAAGCCCCAAGCACCCTTACTATTCCCCATTTTATTGTTCCTTATGAACAGGGAAATGACCCGCTTGCCCTCAGCCCCTTTTTCTGATTGACCAAATTGCCAGGGCTGTTTTGGTCATTTCCTTTTGGCATTCTAGCTGTTTCTTGGCCCCTACCTTTTGCTTTACTGCCCACGCTCAGTTGCTCCCATTTCTCTCTCTTACCTGCTTTTGCTTCTCCTCAGTCCTCATCCTCACATCTCCTGCTTTGATTTTGCTTTATTTCATTTTTTATCTTCAACCAATCCAACTGATCAGTTTTGTTTGCTCACAGCCTTCTCGATACTTCTCTTATGGGTACGATCTTCTTCTTTAATTTTTGTTTTCAATTTTTTCTAATTTTATTTGCTTGTGAAATGATGAAATGGGATTTTTGTTTTGTATTCTGGTATGAAATAGGGGTTTTGTTCTGTATTTTTCTAATTATATTTGCTGGTGAATCGATGAAATAGGTTAATTGAGCTGTTTGATTTTTTATTTTTGCTAACTATTTTTATGATTAAATTGGTAGTTGAATGATCAGAGAACTTAAATTGTTATTAGTAATCAATTTTCAGTTTGGTTTTTGTGGCCATTTCTCAGGTTTGGGTCCAACAATGGTTGGGATGCTAAGTTTTGTAAATTTTTGTTGTTCTGATTTTTCTGTCAATGGATGCCCTAGCTGTTACACCTCGCATTCCTCTCTCTCCTCATCACCACCGTCGGATTTCCTCCCACTCATTTCCAGCGTTCATCTCCGACGCTCCAATCAACCTCTTCGTCTTCGCCGCTCTCTCACCTGCTCCGCTATTTCTTCTCCTTCGCTTGGTACTTTCGTATTCAATTAATTGATTTTTTTTTATTTGTGAATATTTATTTAATTTGTTATGTGTGGTTAATTGATTGTTTGATTAAACAACACGGTGAAGAATTCGGCGGAATTCATTGAAGCTGCGAAATAATTCTGTTATATCGATGTATTTTTTCCAATCTCTGTTAGTTTAGTAAGAATATGCAAGTTTGACATTGACTTTTGGTGATACCCCTTTAGCACTTGCTCACCAGTTACTATACTTATCAGAGTAAAGCAAATTGGAAATTAAACACAGAAGAATATGTAGTTCGTTGTTGTTGCAAGTCTGCAACTAAAAGATATAGCTTTCAAAGTACGGCACAGACAACAACGAAGTAAGATTACTCTAAAATGGTGGTAGATGAAATGACTTGGGGGGAGGGGGGGATAATGCAGATGATGGGGAAATTGAAGGATAAGTGGAGGAAGCTAACCTGAACTATTGTAAGAAAGCAAGATGATGATGATGGAGCTAGAATTTGAGTTAAGTTGAACTACTAATAAATAAATCAGGAAATATTACTAGATGATGGTTATTGGATTAATAAGTATTGATGATCTCTTTCTGTTATATTGGTTTAATAAAGATTTGAATTTTATCCACAAAAGTAGGGGAAGAGAAATTCTTGCTTAAATTCTACTTTAAATTTGTCTCTGAAGTGATATGTTTCAAGCTTCTACCCCCCTTTCTTCAAACAGGCTCTAAGTTTTTTCTCCTGCCTAATTTTAATATTTTGGTCTTGTCTCTTGATACCAACGGGTTGGAACTGTTGTTGTTACCAGAAGTGATGATGGGAAAATGGCACTTGGAAGACTATGTGCACTTTGTGAGTAGGTGAAGGAACTGCTATCTTTTTTCAAATTTTACCCTGGTTGAGTATCCATAAGTTCTTTCACCTTTCTTGTATCTGGTGGAGCTTACTCAATCTTAATCATTTGTTATTGCGTAGAAAGGGGGATATCTCAAGATATTTAGTGAATCAGAAATCACTTGATCATTCTCAACCATTCAGTGGATTGAATTTTTTAACTAATGAAGTGGGTGCTTATTTTGCTGTAAGGGGACCATTTGTCTTCAATGGAGATGTTTAGTATGTTTTCATTACATATTATTCTAAGATTATAATTTATTAGTTATCTTATTTACGAGGAAAAGAAAACGGAATCAAATTAATGTGCAATTTGATTATTTTGCAGAATTGGGTTTCGAAGGAAGTCCGTCAATGGTGATTGTAAATTTTACTATGCTTCTAGGCAATTCCCCTTATTTCTCCTCCTCCGATCGTGCTGATTGCAACTCTCGGGTAATTTCTTTCTCTCTATTTTTCTAAATTTCAAGTTTTCTAAGCGGTTGCTATTTTTTCCCCCAAATTTAAACCATGGAGCATGTTTGAGTGAGCTTGGTAATTGATTTCACAAGCGTGATTATGTTAGAATCTATAACATCAGGGTAATTGATTTCCCCCAAATGTTAAGGGGAATGACTCAATTACTATCATGGGTGTATTTTGCATGAGATTTGCAGTTTTTAATTTAATTTTTGCAAAGAAATGTTTTTTTAATATTAAAGTGGGGTTTTCTGCAAAATTGTATGGATCAGTTTTGCTAATTTAGTTTTCGAAGAAAATTGTTGGTTTGATTGTTATTTGGTAGCTGTTAATCCGGTTTTGCGCTATTTGGGTGATTTTTGAAATAGAGCATTATGAAGGTTAAAATGAAAGGGTAAATTTAGGCCATACCAAATGTTATTCGAATTGTGTACCATTACTTTATGTTTGATTTGTTGAAGTTTGAATATTTATTTGTGTTGCTAAGATCATTGCTTAAGAATTTTTTTAAATAATTAGTGAGTTGGGCTGATTTATTATTATTATAATATAAATTTTATTATTTTGAAATTCATTATAAATAATAGTGTAGGGTTAATTACATGTTAGTTTGACTCTCATGAAAGTGATTAAATAACTAAATATTGCCAAATTTAGAATTTACAGAATCAAACCCTGGCACCTTGCTATTCTATGCATAAAATTCCAGTCTTACCTTGATTTTTTCAGGACATCTCAATTAACCATGCATTATGAAATTGGTTGATAATGTTATAAAATGAATTGACAGTATCCTTATTCTATAAAGCTAAGAATTTCACTAAGTAGAAGTCTTGGACTGACATTTGGTTGAAAGATTTAGTAAGGAGCAAAAAACAGAAAAGAAAGAAGGTGAAACCATGTCATGATGTGGGATAACATTAGAAAGCCTTCAGGGTGAGATTTTAATTTTAAAATTTTATTATTTTCAAATTAACTTTATAAATTATTTTATAAAAGCTCAGAAAATATAATTTATGGACCAGTTCCCTCAAAAACTCTAACCTAAGGGCTTTAATGTTATTAACAAGCTCTTGCTAAGTATTCTGCAGCAGGATTCTCTATGAGTAGTGGTTTTGGTTGATATTATATGTGTTTGTGATCATCTTGCTTTACTACAAACAAGTGGATGACACATTTGTGTATTTGATCATTTTCTACTGCAAATATTAGTTTGAGTATCATGATTGAAGTTTGTAGACAAATTAGAAGGGAGGCAAGCTATTACGTGTTGCCTTTGTGTCCTTAGATGAACTTAACTTTCAAGGTGCATGTAACTGGTCTTGTGTGATATGAAGATTCAAAGTTTATTTGCTGCTTCTAACCCTATTAATTTTGCCATCAGGGAGGTTGTGTCAGTCTGCTCAGCATGAACCTACCTGCAGCAAGCTACGCAGCCAAGAACTTCTTCCAAAGGTTTAATTGCCACAGAGTTGAAAAAGAGAACAGCAACAGGATGGATATGAAATCACATCCTGGAAAATTAAATCCTGATAGTGACAAGTGCAGGTAAAGATCTCTAATATAAATGCTCCCCTAATTTGTCATTTGCAACTTAATAAATTTATTTTTGATGCAAGTATAACAAGTGGCAGCAGAAGTGTAGGGTATGAGAGTCCTTCGTGAGATCGGCTTGTGTATCTGACAACCTGTGTAATCGGACATCATGTAAAGTCCAGGTTAAAATGGATAGGTGTAATATGGAATTTTCCATGCTGCAAGTGCCGATAAAGATTTTGGTAAGTTTCATAGATGTGAATCATTAGTATTTCATGCCTTTCTACTGTCATACAACACTGCAAAATTGACTGTTGTGGGAACATTGCCTCATGACATTTCCTTTTGGTTCATTCTCAAGGGCTGTCTTGAAAATGGCTCGACTGGTAAAGGATGTCTCTCTTATGGCACAAAAGGTTACCTCTGATTCAGTTGTCAAGGCTCCATAAAAAAAACTCTTATAATACCAGCTAATTTGTGCAAATTGTGGCTAAGGTCTTCGTCCGCACTCTTCATTTTATAGGTTTCTATGTACAGGAAATGTATGATTGAATCAGGTATAAATTATTGTTTATTTAATTGAATAAGGGATTTACCATGATTGGCCAGCAATATTGGTGTTATGCGGCCTGTGGTGGTGAGTATACTCTAATAAGACATGGCCTTTGCTTGAAGGGATTTTCCCTTTCTTAAATTAGGTGCGAGATTAGGTGGGGGATTTGGAAGGATGAATTTGGCTTCGTGTTAGCTGACATTTTGAAGCAATATGAAATATTTTTCGATGATTTATTACTCTACGCACTAATTTTTTAGGTTAATTCCAGTGTGGGTACATGTGGTTTCAAACAATATATGTGAATTTTAAGCTGCTACTTTCTGTGTTTATGCTTTTCTGATTTTGTAGGATTTTTGCTACTTTGTATTTTGATTACAGATAATTAATGTTCATGGGGCATTAAAATAAATAATCTGTTCTGAAATGGGCTTTTCCTTTCTAAAATTAGGTGGGGGATTGGAAGGATGAATTTGGCTTCATGTTAGCTGACATTTTGAAGCAAAATAAAGTAAATAATTCAGGCATGAGATTTAAGCCTGCGGTAAGGACAGCGGATTTCGATAGGTTTATAGCTGAGTATGAGAGTGATCGTACTTCTTATTGTTGGTCTACTATGATTAATTTCAGGGCAAATGAGGAGATCGAGAAGGAGGCTCTTTACCGAGTTCAAGCTCAAAAAAATTCTGAAAAGTCGAAAGAGTTCAAGTTCTTCACTCTTTTGTGGGGTGTGCTGCAGAACAACGTCATTGATGCTTTGTGTTAAATCTTGTATTTTATAACTTAAGTAGCAATTACATTTGAGTGAACATGTGCAATTTTTCACGATTTCCCCTCCTTTTTCCCTTCTGCATTGTTATGAGAAATTCCTTAACATAGTTAGTAATTGAAATTGAAGTAGCATTCATTATTATTAAAGGATTGTAGAGTTAATATTTTTCCCTCCAATCGCCTTGATCGCACCATCCATTTTGTTAATCCCCCAATCACCTTAATCGCACTACCCAGTGTGCCAATCTTCCACTCAATTTTCCAATCGCCTTGATTGCACCATCTTTGTCAATCCTCCAATCACCTTGATCGCACCACCCAATTTTACATAATGATAAATTAATACTTTACTACAATTGTTGTCCATGTCAAAAATATTTGGTAGTGCTTGAATTACTTTACAGTTTGTTTACAATTTAAAATTTGAAGAATTAAATCTAATTCTTCTAAATTATTAATTTAATTTACTTATTCCATTTCCAAAGGTCAATTTCTATTCATATAAATAATGGTTTCAGGATCACACTTTATTTTATTCTAATAATGGATAATTTGACATTATATTATAAGCCACTCCAATTTTACTTCAAGCATTAGTTATGTGCAATTTAGGTAATGAGGATCAAGCCTGATGATTACAGAAAGAAAGGAATACTCGAGGATGTTCACCAAAAAAACAAGACTATATTCAAGAAAATGTTAGGGGAAAACTGTAATGATTTGATTAGTTGATAATAAAGCTATTACAATACTAAAACTATATTAATAGCCATTTCTTACAATCTTTTTGTTATAACAAAATGCTAAATATCTTGACAACCATTCCCCTTAACAGCATGCTCATAAGCCTACTGCGTGCCATCCGATGCTACCCACTTTAGCCTCTATGCCTGCATCATTATGTATAATAACATAACTAAAGTGAGCATTAGCAAAATTAAATTTCATTAACACATAAACTATAACTAACTACACACTAATCACGGAGACGAAATCACATTGGGGGACCGCGCGCGTAGCGCGCGGGCCAACAACTAGTAATAGAAAACATATAAGAAGCCATATGAATGATGATTTTAAGTGGTTGTGAAGGCTTCTAATATTAAATGCCATCTTTTTTTCAAAAAAAAGCTTTCTTTTTTATGTGGTTCTTCACCAAGCAAGTACAATATCTTATGTCCTTCAAGTAATTTCCCTAAATAGTAATTTTGACCATGTGTACTACTTGCTTCTATAGTAAGTAAATTGTTTATATTCTAAATGATGTAGTCAATATAATGCCAAATTGAAATATGTGTAAATTTTCTACATTAACTTCTAATTCACAAGTGTTTCTAATTACAATCATATGATGCGTAGGTTAATAAGGAATGGACATAAGCTTAGCATGCTACTCAAGCGGGTATAACTATTAGTATTGGATTTGTTTGTAGATGCATGAAAAATTCGAGAGACCAATAGGCAGCTGAAAATCAATGTTCATGTTCCAATGTACGACTTCAATTAATTAATTGCATAAAAGTTTACGATACTTTTGGGTGCATCTACTATGTTTACATATACTTGTACGTGTGGACAAGCAACGTGTACACTTGATGCATCTACACACTTGAAATGAATTCCTTTTGTATGACAATTTTATATGGCATATGCTTATAATTGATAGGAATTGACATGTATACTTAATTTTCCAAACCTTATAAAATTTAACACTCAAAGTTGTCAAGCATATATTAATAAAGCTTATTACTTACTCATGTTGTAATGGTTCTTTATGTATGTAGATTTTTAGTTTTGGATTATCTTATTGAGGTTTTCAATCTTAGAAGATGTCATTATGTAATACTTCATATCATATTGTGAGATTTATATAATTGCATGTGATAATGTATAGTCGATTAATATTCCAAGTTTTTTGTCTCATGGTGCGGAAGGAGGTGGGAGTATTGTAGAAAGTGTTTGCATTTACCTGGTTTCAATACTTTGAACGAGAACTACATGCAAAGTACACAAGACATATTAATAAAACTGTACGTTTGCTAATCTATGTTAACATAAATTATAAAATTAGAGATGCACATGTTTGTAAAAGTGTCAGATGAGATAAGCTTGCATTGTTAAATGAAGTTAGGAAGAGTAACACTTCATATTTACCTACATTCTACTTCTATCATTCTTGAACAAACTAATGAGTTATTTGTTTCATTGTAATACAAGTTTACATTTTTGTATTTTTCAACAATGTTCACATTAATGACGTGTTATATTTTAAAGTATAGTCGTACTAAACTCACGAAGTTCATAGTTTCCTTTAAGCTAATAATAATACAAGCATTTAATTGTTTATAAATAATTAAATTAAATTGCTTATCCCTGGTCATTGATATACCAAGTATAATGTAGGGTCTAACTCTTGTGTAAATTACACAATAGCTTTGGTAGATATTAGGATATGGTGCATTTCACATGGCTACAGTTAATAGTTAGATTCTTTCAAAGGCTATAGATAAACATTTACCTGTCTAGAGTATCATATATTATATAAAGGGAATGGCCAAGGTATTATGAGAACTGGACTTTCAGTATTTGCTTTGGATACCTAGCTTTGGAAAACATGGTAAGTACATTCTATGGGAGCTTTCTTAAGTCTATTATTCACATTTGTCTCTTAACTAAGTTTTTGTTTGCCTCTATTTAATTCATCAACTTCTCATATTGTTAGGCCGAAACTAATGCTATCATGAGATGGATACTGAGAATTGAAGAAGAACACAAAGATATGGCAGTATGCATTTGTATTTTCTACTATTAGCGTTAACTTATATACATGTAGTGATTATATTACCTAATTATGTGTTTTTGTATGGTTTAGGAGATACCAGTTTTTTTTTACCATATCTTATTCAATCAGTGTGGAGCAGCTAAAATATTTCGCGGTTGTGATGGACCAGCATGGGATATTGTTATTAGAAGAACTAAGTCTGGAAATATGATCACTGGAATGTACGTTGAAGGGGGTTGGAAAGAGTTCATTTCAGATAATGATATCGAAGTTGGAGATACCTTGATGATGTATTATAAAGGTAGAAGAATATTTCATTCCAAAATTTTCTCATATGATGGGCATGATAAAACCCATCTTGGTATACCAGTTACACAGACCATAATTACTCGAAGAAGGCTTCCATTGTCTGTTGTAGAACTGGAAAATCACTTGAGGCTAATGCAACAACAATGTCTTCAGCCATCATTTACATGTGTGTTTAATCAACGATCTATTTTCCAAGGAATTATTGTAAGTAGGGTTGTACACCGGTCCAAAACCGGACCGGACCTGACCCGGACCTGAATGGACCGGGACCTGAATCCTTGATTTTTAAGGACCGGAGACCGGACCTGAATCAACAGGTCCGGTTCCGGTCCAGACCTGATAAATCAGGTCCGGTCCGGGTTTGGACCTGAATAGACCTGATTATTTTTTTTTTTTGATTTTTTTAAAATAAGATGAAAGTGCACCTGTTTAGACCTGTTTGGACCTGTTATGGACCTGTTTGGACCTGTTATGGACCTGTTTGGACCTGTTTTGGACCTATTTAGACCTGATTGGACCTGTTTAGACCTGTTTGGACCTGTTATGGACCTGTTTATGGACCTATTTAGACTTATTAAATAAAAAAAAAAATAGTTTTACCGGTTTCAGGTCCGGACCTGAAATTTCCGGGTTTTACCCGGACCGGACCTGAAACCCGGAATCCTAGAATTTCAAGGACCGGGACCGGACCTGAATCTGCAGGTCCGGATTAGGTCCGGTCCCAACAGGTCCGGTTCAGGTCGGTTTTCAGGTCCGGGCCAGTTTATGTACACCCCTAATTGTAAGTTTTGGAGTTACTAAACTGTATATAAGAATATATATTTTATGAACATGTGCTTACCATATTGTTATTAGCATATATTTAACTGCTGGTTATCTGTAATTTTTGTTTTTTAAGGTTGTTCCAGTGCCATTTGCTACAATGCATTTCTGGACAGCAGATCCTTCCACATCTGTTCTTCTGCGTCACAAAAGGGACCAGTGGTGTGTTGATTTACAGGTGGTTTGGAAAGAAGACAGCATCATATCATGTGTACTATGCAATGGTGTAAATATGTTCTATGAACATGTGTCTGCTGTGGCTGGTTTAGGTGCCTTAGTGGTTTATCGATCAGGTTTTCCTCTTCTATTTGAGGTGGTGCTCGGACCAACATAGTTGTTCAGATAGAACTGCTTTCCAGTTCACATGTTTGACTACTACATCATCAGCAATATGTGTTGTCTAAAATAGCTAGGTATGTGATAATAAAAGTGCTAGATATTCATTGCAAGGTGTAGCAGTTTGGATAGCTAATGCCTGATATTTATGTTGGAAAGACAACTATGTGTTGCATTTGTATAATAATCCTGTTATGTAAAATAAGTATTTATGTATTAAGTAAGTTGATCAGTCAGTATTAAAGTTGTAGGGTAATGCCTTTGAAACAGGCCACTGTGTAACTATTGTATTAAAAATATCTTTGCACTAAGCTTCAGTTATGTTATGCTTCAAAGTACAGCTTAGTTGAAACTCTTTAAAGTACTGGTTTGAATAAGATTAATATTGAGTGATAAGAACTACATGGCATGTACATTTGCTTCCAGGTTAAACAATAATAGTAGGAATAGTGTCCTAACCTCATAGAATTTTTATGGCTAATGAGCTCTGAACATGGTACCTAAAGAATTTTTAAGACTAATGTCATAGAATTTTTAAGACTAATCTCATAGAATTTTTAAGGAATGTAAAGTCACATAGTACCTAAAGTGATGATAAAATTGAATGGAATATAATGATAAACATGAATTCTACTTAACAGTATAAGAATGGAATATAATGACAAAGTTGAATTATACTTAATGGTTAATACTTGTAAGCACTCAAACTACCATTTATGCTGTAACACGGTCCCCTGAGTTTTAATTTTGTGACATTTATCAGTAACCATGGTAGACTGACAGAAAAGGAAGTGAAAAATAAAATGAGGGAAGCATTTATCTGCTTATCTAAACTTTTGTTTTCCCTGGCTTCAGAAGAGGGGAAAGGAGGTTATGCTGTGTTTTGTTTGTTTTTTTATAAAACAATAGCTTAAAAAATGTAAGTATTTGATTTCAACATCCATGCAACCTACTGCTGAACTGAGATAATCTTTCTCATAGGGTCAATAGCTTCATATTTCTCTCCTTCTTATGTTATGGCATTTCTCCTTATAAAGAGGTGCCTTTTCACAAGATTTAAAAAATTTCCGGAAAACAAACTATAATATCTTGTTCAAATTGAAGGTATTCAATAATGACTTACTTATAAGGAATATCCATAAGTTTGGTGCCAAGCTATGGATGCTCTAGCAGACTTCAGTCATGTGGTCTAACGAGACTTTCGGCCATTTTCTTGCTGAAAGCAGTGATAAAAGAGTGTCATGCATAATAGAATCTATAACAGTTACTTACTGTCTGCTTTGTTCCACTTAAGTCGATTACTCTTTAAAAAGTATTCACAGCATTCCCTTGTTAATCTGATTTCTTTTTCCAATAGTATCTGGAATATTTCCCAAAGTCAATTTTTTTTATAATAGCATCTGCTGCAAGTCAGTGATTCCATATCAAAGAATCTAAAGCAAATCTTGGCCTAGCTTAGGTTTCAGTTATATTCAACAACCTTATAATTTACACCCAGTCTGATTTGGGAGAAAGTAGAATGTGTTGTGGTACTAATAGGCAGCGTATCAAGCATGAAGAATCACACATAAGTTTTAGCCCCAGATAAAATGTATTTACAGCTTAAGACCCACATGTTCATCTGCTGACATATTAACTGTAATTTGTATGACTTAAATGTGGTTGAACATTAGTTATGTCTTTACTGTGTTTCAGTGTAAATGCTATAACAATGAAAATTAAACTAATGGTCATTAATGAAAGTACTGAGCAATTAAGATAGCCTATTCTAGGTGCTAAGTTATAGCATCTACCAGTAATCTAATTACGTAATCTAATGCTATGCACAATGCAACATCTAAATAAGTAGTCTATACATGCTATTTATTGGCTAGAAGGTAAGCTTTCAATGTTGATTATATACCTTGGTAAGGTTATTACTAACCTGATTTGTTCACCTTCATATACCTGTGAATATTAAATAGAAAGACATCTGACAGTGGTATTACTTACTGAAAATCTAATGTAGCCCATTAAATGCAACCTGTAATACATGTTGAAGTTCAAAAAGCAAAAGATAACATACTCTGAAGTTCTGCTCTAGTGCTCTGATGAAAGCAAGTATTTATGTCTCTTCTTCTGTGCTATCATGCACTATTCCAGCCAATCTCAACACTTCAAAAGCAACGACATTCTTCACAGTGTTGAGTGGGTGTTGTTCCAGAGGCTTAGCGTAAAAGACAGCAACATCTGTTGCTTTTTTAGCCCTTGACAAAGCAACATACAGCTGACCATGAGAAAAACATGGGCATGGAAGATGTATAGACACCTGATTAAGAGTCTGACCCAGAGATTTGTTTATTGTCATTGCAAAACTTAACTTGATGGGGAATTGTTTCCTCTCAAACTGAAAAGGATAATTCATAGAACCAGATGGTCTTAAATTGATCCTGTGGATGAAAACATGATTGCCTTTGTATTGTCCTGTAGCAATGACACATTGGATAACATTTGGGAAAAATCGTTTACAAGTAAGACGAGTACCATTGCATAAACCAGATGAAGGCAGAAGATTCCTTAGAAGGATAACTGGACAGTATTCCTTCAGCACAAGCTCATGAGGGATCATTCCTCCTGGGCACAAGTTATTCATGAACTCTGTAGGATATATATTACACGAATCATTCAGCATAATATCAAAGCTCTTGTATGTGACAGCTCTGACCTTAAATCTTTCTATCATGAACGTATTAATCAAATCCACATCATCATTTAACGGTGTCAAGATTGCTCGATTAATAAAACTGTCAGCACACAGATTATCGTGCACCATTTCAGGAAACGTTGCTTGTATCAGATCAGAAACCAAATTATTTTCAGTTTCACAAAATTGGGCAACTTGGTCTGGCAACTGGACATAAGCTATTTCTGATTTTTGCAGCTCACCATTACCTAAGGCAAGCAAGAATTCAGAGTATGGTAAATCCTCCCGAGCTCTAATATTTTCTATCAACCTAAACTTTACGAATCTAGGCCATAAGTATGAAGTGACAATACTGGTTTCCACAGCTTCTTTCATTGATCTATGTGGAACTACAGGCAAAACCTGCCTAAAATCACCTCCAAACACAATAATTTTCCCTCCAAACATGATTTTATTATCACACACATCCTGCAAGAGTAAATCCAAGGATTCAATATTATGTTTCTTGGCCATCGAAGCCTCATCCCATATTATCAATGACGTTTCCCTAAGTAATGCTGCTAAACTTCCCTGTTTAGGAACAGCGCAAGCCAACGAAGCATCACTATCAAGTGGGATTTTAAACCTTGAATGAGCTGTACGTCCTGAAGGTATATTTGATGCAGCAATACCCGATGTTGTTGTAGGCAACACAATCTTGTTCATGAGTCGAACCTCTGCATACAATGCATTGTATAAAAATGTTTTCCCAGTTCCTCCCGGACCATCTATAAAAAAAGCACCTGGCTTCCCTTCCATTACATACTGCATGATACATGAGAAGGCAGCATTTTGTTCATGGTTTAATCTAGAACGGCATGTAAGGCTTTCTGGGGGAATAGGGGCATCAAGAGCATCCACAATATCCTTTGTTCTTCTGATCTCAATGTCAACATGAGCGATTAAATGGTCCAACCCAAATGCCGACAGTGATTTCCCCATGGCTTCAAGGTATCCCTCAACAGAACGAACTGTTAACTGTTGAATTTTAGAAACATTGTCAGCATATTTGAAACTGAAATCTTCAGACAGAAATGGGTAAAATTTCATCCATAATGCAGGCGGATCAGCTGTTTGACAGAAAATAAGTACCGTTGCAAACAAACGACGTAAGGCATCAGGCATTTGGACCTCTGACGCTTCACACAATATTAAGTTTGCAATATCATCATTTTCTATTAATCCTAACTTCAATGCCGCATCATGGAATGTTGGGTATACATGGCCATTCACAGTTCGAAACCCCTCAAATGAAGTTGGACTTCTGACATTTAGTAATAGCAACCGTAGGAAAAAACGTTCCCCTTCTGCAGGATACACAAATGCAAGACGCCCAACAGAAAATAGATTTAGCACCCTTTCTTTCCATTGCTTAGCACCTGCGTCCCATCCGTAATGTTCACAAAATTCACCATACAAGTGGCCTGTCCCACCTTCAGTAGCTGCATTGACTGCAAAGAATTCAGTCAATTGAGTTCGAGAACGTTTAGAATTAGCAACAACAGCATGTAGCCTTTCATGAGGATGTAGATGCACAGTTTGTTCATTAGGCAAATGAACTTGTAATGGAAGAACAGGAGGATGCATTTCAAATAGATCAAAACTAAATATTCTCCACGCTGCTTCACAAGGGGAAACCCATCTGCCTGACTAGAATTGATTAATTTCATCAACAGAGTTATTCTCACCTGGTACTACATTGAATGAAACCCTATCATGACCCTTGTACACGTATTTATATAGGTATTTCACTGCTTTAATTGTGGAACAAACCTCAACATTCAAGTGGCAATCAAACAGTGAAGAAAGATAAGGATTGTACGGGATAACCCACTGATTATCAAGGTATGTGTTACGTATCTTCACTTGCTCCCCAGTATCACGTCTTTGGTAGATGGGATAACCATCTTTATTATTAGTCGTCTCATTTGAAAACTGTTTAGGATATTTACTTTTACAGGACAATATACCACCTTTGTTACGCATGCAAGGGCATTCCGGATTTAACACACCACAAGGGCCATGCATCATATGTGCAAGCACAGTCCGCCTCAAATTGCTATTACTGACAGGTGGTATTTCAGCACACACATATTTATCATAATCAGCAGGACATTTCATCTTCCAGTCTGATTTCAAGATGATCAAGAAATGAGCATGTGGTAAACCTCGCTTTTGAAACTCAATAACATACACCAATGCAGCAACTTCACCAAAGATTTGCTTTCCCAATATTTCTTTCTTCAGCAATAACAATTTGGCTCTGAAAATTCTGGCTACTAAATCAGGTCGATCTTGTGCTGTTTCACCCGGGGCTAACTCAGCCTTTATTTCAGGCCAATTAGCATTGCAGGTAATAGTAACAAATAAATCTGGTTTCCCATATCTCTGAACCAAAGCCATGGCATTTAGGTAACGTTTCTTCATATCTCGAGGTCCTCCTATAAATGTAGGAGGTAAGATTACTCTACGTCCTACATTATGAGCAACAGTCTCACCACAATCTAATGAATCTAAAATACCTTGATATAGTTCAGCCCGTATACTTTATTGATTATTCCGAAAGTAATCAAGCCGAGTGTTTTCAATTTTGACATACATGTCAACTATATATTGCTGGAAACATCTTCCAGCTCGCAACAACATGTTTTCAGGCCGAATTTGCAACTTGTAGGCATAGTACTCTCGTGCAGAAATGAACTTGTCAGCTCTAGTGTTCTTTTTACTTGCTCCTGCATAACAAGGGCATCAACAGTTAGTCATAATATGGAAGATAGTTAGCAAACATCAATGTATATTAGTCAGTTTAATGTAGCTGTGTTTGAAAAGTGTACTTTTATCTTCTTCATTCAATAAGTCCTCAGCACTATGCACAGCACATGACATGATTGGATCTGGCAATGGAGTAGTGTTTCTTACTCCACCATGAGACTGCTTTTGTAATCCTTGAGTCCAACCACATTCCCCACGAGGAAATAACAAAGGATACTGCAATGGATCATAACAACCATAGTTATGATAGATTCTATGAGATGTAGCAGATCTACCAGCTACTAAGATATGAGGACTTAAACTTTGGCTAGAAGAAGCGTTGTCTGGCCATATGACTGCAACATCGTCTACAGCAGGGGCATTGTAAACACGCTGGTCTAGCACTGTACTCTGATTGAGCACAATTTTAGTATCCACAGTAATATGCCTTTCTCTGAGAGATCGAAAGAACACTGCATATGGATTCTGCTCTGAAATTCGCATAAGAATATCAATCACTTTTCGCCTGACCTTTGGAAAGCATTTAAGCCTATTATTAGCCTCATTTTGTCCATCATAAAAATAAAGCTGTAAATACTTTGGGGTGCCTTTATAAGGCAATAAATCTAGAACAAAATGATACATCTGACCATGCATTTTAAATACATATATGCCCTTGTAAGTGCTTGCATCAAATTTCCCTCCTATAGAACTAAAGGCAAACAAATTATTATATAACCTAGCATAGGTTTTGAAGTGAACTGCGTCTTCATCGTTTGAAGTAAAGAGTCGCTGCTGTTCAGCAGGGTATTCATTTGCTGCTATCTTGACCTCTCCGCCACTGCAACAGAAATTCACAGTTTCAAAAGCAAACTTTTTTGCACCACATTTTAAACACTGCATAGGGGACGACAACTTTAGAGGCTTTGTTGACAATGGTTGGCCAGACATAGCAGCAGGAATTACTGGCATCGATACAAATTCAATAGGTAGAAGTTAGTTTACATAGTTCACTTAAACAATAATATATAATTAATACCCATGTTAGAGAAAACTGCTCACAAACATACAGTGTAGCTTTGGGTTTGAAGTAGATTTCTTTTTCTTCGGCGCTGAACCACTATACACAAAGCCTAAATCAGCACAATTTGCCTATTTTAACCAACCTGTAACACCAGTTACCAAAAACAAATACCTTTTTTGTTGTGATTGAGCCATATCATCTATGCTACGTTTTTTCTTGGTTGCACGTTCTCGAGGTAATGTTTTGGATCCACGGTTATCACTGAATAAAAATCATAGTTTGTTAAGAACAACCAGACATAACAATCATGTTACTACACAGGATACTACAACTGTATATTATGCTGAAGTCACTGATAACTACCTTAACGATTCCGGGTGACCATCGCCACCATACGCAAGAGGATCACAATGTAATTCAGTTCTGCACATTTAGGCAGACACATTACAGAAGCTAATAAATCTCACCCAAAACACACCTCAATCAACTGTCGTTTACCTATCTAAATGCACCTCTGGCGATCCACTCAACAGACGATTTCTCTTCGAAACTCGTACACAAGAAGGTTGTCCATTTTGTTCTTGGCTATTTGTATGCAGTTAGTAAAATCAAATAATTAACTTACAACATTCCCAGGGTAAAGTAGGCTAAGTGAATATGCAACAACCATGTGTAAGCATTTACCTATGTACTGCTACGTGGGATGATCGTTGTTCAGCTCGATTAGCTCTGCTGCAACTCTTACTTGATAAATAAGGAATACCATATTGGCAGTCCACCATGTAGGTCTTCTTTTTTACCTGATTTTGTATGGCAGAATACATATGAACCCATTGTATAAATTAGAAAGCAATAATTCCCACAAATCAACCCCCCATTTTTTTGGGTTTTATTTAAAAATTTTTAAATTTTTTTGTTTGTTTGCTAAGATCCACATACAACAATAACAATACTGATATACTGAATTTCAATAAATGTACTACAGGTCTGCTTTCTAACAGTAGTAATATACATTAGCATTAATAATTCAAACGTTATTCAACATGTAAAAGGTATGATCCAACTAATAATATTAGAAAACATAGACGATTTTCATTACTATTCTAGACCACAACATAATAAGCAATGCAAACCTTAAGCAGGTAATTTAAAGGATTGCTAATGGTATTAGAACTGCAAAGAGCATATGAAGAAAGTACTCTTCCATAGATATTTATTTACACTAACAGTAGCATTACAACAAAAGAGGTGGAAACCTTATAAATGCCACTCTAACTATACTGACATTACAACCAAAATAACCAGTTTCCGTAGCCTAGAAGCACTTCCTTTACAGAAACTGAAACAGACACAAAAGCGGAATTTTTTGTTTACATTTACATACTTAAAGAAAACAGAACACGTCAATCCCCTACAACTTCTACGCACTACCTAATTAGGCTCAGCATTTCCAAACAACTGGCCAAGTTCCAGCAAACCAGATGCTGCCTGATCTGAAGTGCCTACCCCCAATTCTTGTTCATGAGCTATCTGTAGTAGCTTCTTTCGCTTAGCAGGAGTAAAAGACACAGTGTTACTGTCAGGTACCTGTAAGTCCTCACCAATTTGAGACACATTTTCTTCCTGGACCACAGAGTTCACGGCAACAGGAAACTGAGGAGTCTGCTCCAATCGTTCAAGATGTCCCTTTAAGATTAAATACTTCTCCCTTAGCAAGTAACACTCTCTACTTAGCTTTGTTGTAGCCCCATAGTTAGCATCAACTATCTCCATATTGTATTTACAAGCTAAATAAATCACAGCCTTCTTTGCAACCCTCTGTTCAGCAACACTTGCCAAAGGGCAGAACTCACTAAAAATGCACTCCATCCTATTACTACTACGCGAACAATTAACCATAACCCATGAAACAAAGCCATGACCCTCCACCCAAGTTGTTTCTATAACTGTCACAGATGCTCCGGTCTTTCGCACAACAAGCACTAATACCTGTGCATAATAAATGGAAACATGAAAACCACTACCAACCAGGTTATGTCCAGAACTCTCCCCTACAACTTGCCTAGGGCTTTTGCCCTTTTCTTGCAATAACTCAGCACACTTATTCCTAAACAGCTTCATACATAATTCATGGAGTCTAATCTGATCATATGTAAAATCCGAAACCTTAATACCAAACATGTATATCAGCTTTTTTACAGCCTTCTGAGCTGCCCTCTCACGAGATTCCTGAACCGTACTTGCATCACCACCAAAGAATGTCAAGCGTGCTCGATTGTTTGGTCGCACAACTTGCACCCAGACATTATTCCTAGCAATATCTATGAACCCATAAACTGGTGCTGGGAACTGCAGCCAGGCAGTGATCTTTTGCAGAAGAGGTTCAAAGGGAATGAAAACTTTGTTAGATCGAGCAGCCATAACCTGTAATGGCAAGAACCACATTTAGATTGGAATCCCTTACACAAAGGCAAAAAGCTGGACATTCTCCCAAGAAAAATCGCACAGCTACAGATACCATAACAACCACTACAGCCAAAATACATGGTTGAAGCAGACCCATCTCACCTAAAACTCAACTCTCTTTTTTCAAAAAGCAAGACAAATAGTAGAAACTATGTAAGAACAAACTACCAGCGACTAAACCATAAACATCTATGTTTGTTTTACCTAGCCAACAAAACTTTCATTAAATATAAAATAAAAAATTGAATGATGAAAGCAATATTCGAGGAAAAAAAATTAAATTATTATTGTTAGGGAGAATAGATTGTTTTTCAGAAATTGATATTAATAATAATATAGTTTACCAAAATTTTAATAAAAAAATTTATAAAAAGATGACATCATTTATAGTTTTGGACGGATAATTTTTAATGACATCATAAAATGTGTTAATTTTTTGAATAGGATAATGTTAGCGGTTGCTATTTTAGTATTAATTATTATTATAGATAAAATATAACAACACACTTGGACCTATTTTGATTTACTGAAATGAATTAAACTGAGGTAATTGGAGTTGAAATGAATTGAAAGAAGAAAGTTAACGAATGAACTGAATTTATTACAGTTGAATAGATCGAAAATTAGCGGAAGAGAACAGACCCTTACCCAATAACATTTGCTCAAGATACGTATTCCGTACTAATCAGTAAAGCACGGGTTATGCTCTACTCGTAGTTAACGAGACTTGAGAGTAACCCCGGACATCGGTGGTTTCCTTGATCGGGAAACTGCTGTTTCAGGTGTATCATCTACTAATCAATTCAAAACAACACTGGAATCCTGAAATTCTCCAGCATTCGTCAACATGGTAAACCTTGCTTTTCTCTATCTTTCTCTGCAACATCAACATTTCAAATTGCCTCCAATTCTAAGTTTCTTTTTTGCAGGATTACCTAAAAACGGTTGTTCCTTCTCAATTCGTTGCTGAGCGAGGTGCTAATTTAGTCATCATAAACCCAGGTTTTATTCTCTTACAAAACCCTAATTTCTCCATCACTTTATACATTTTTTATTTTGTTTCGGATTTTGCACCTGAATTTGCTGAAATTAGGAATTACATTGTGTTTTTCATTAGGTTCTGCCAATATTAAAATTGGCCTTGGTACTCAGGATGCTCCATTAATTATTCCTCATTGCATTGCTCGTCGAACAACTGGTGCTAATTTACATCCTCGAAAAAATGTCGTAGATCAGGTCTGCTATATCCACATATTTGCACAATTGCGCTATCATTTTTGTAGAGATATTTTTGTGAGCTATGTTATGGACTTATAGTGTTGATTTTCAGGCGTTAAACTCTCAGGTTACTACGGCACAACATGTCGAGCGCGAGAGAGCTTATGACACTGTGAGTGAATTTGCTTTCTTTTTACAAAATTAATCATTTTAGGGATTTGTTGTGCTCAAATGTGAGTTTTCATAGCCTTAAGAAAAAGAAATAGAAATAGACTTAATCATGAATATTATGGCTTAGGGTTCAGAACGAGTGATGACAACCTCAATAAAGCATGAATTATTATGCCTGTATATTTGATGACAATATTTATGACAAAATCTTCTATCCCCGCTTCTGCCTTTTGGTGATTGCGGTGATCTTTCTCACCTCAAGGGTAAGGTTATAATTATCAAAAGGGATGTGTGACTCACTGTGAGCATTCTGCATGGTTTTATTAAACGCTTTTGGTCTATTCTTTACAGATTGCTTCCTTTCTCAAGATCCCTTCTTTGAATGAAGAAGTTTCCAATTCCTATTCCAGGAAGGTGTGTTGCTCTTTTATGTTATCAGAATCAATTTTTATATTTGCAGAGGATTCCTATGCTTTTATGATTTGTTGTTGTCGATGAGACACATGAGGTGTTAAGTGTAAACTTTTACTAATTGCAGAGCCTGTTATACAGTTAGTGTTTTAATGTACAGCTAGCTTATGCTTTTTTGAATTTTTATGTTTTGATTCTTTAGATATTTAATGTTTAACACACATACTTATGAAGTGTGCAAATGATGTAAGGATTTCTTTTGTTAGGTAATTTGGAAAGGAGATCATGTTTTTTTTTTCTAAAAAATGATATACGTAGTTGTTTCATGCGCCTCATAATTGCAATAGTTCCATGTAAACGTTACTTAATGTTTACCCTTCCAAATTTTGTGCATATTTGTTTTGCAGATGTCACGCCTTGATGGATCTAACCTCACAACTTGCAAAAAAGAACCAGAATTTACTTGGACGGATGTTTTTGAGAAAAAACCTGATTTTTTTCCTCCATCAGGTAATGTTATCATTTTTTCATTTGTTCCTCTTTCTTTTGTTGTTGGGCTTCATTGTCTGATGTGTTTTCCTTAAGCAAGAAGAAAATCTTGATATGGAGACTATTAATCTTTCTCAGATTAATACTCAACTAGGATTTTCTTTCTTAGCTTAATTGCTCGTCTTCTCGACTAGACAATAATTTTTAACAAACCAAATTTTATTAATCCCTTCGTTCCTAAATAATTGACATAGGCAAACTTAACACACATGTCAATACACAAGTTTGACCTTAGATTTATGTGATTAAATGCTTGTAAAAAATATATTCAATATATTTCATGATAAAATTTGTTTTTTTTTAAACATTTTTTAAAAATGATGGTCAAAGTTTGTACTTCCTCTGTTCTTTTATTATTGCACTATAAGGGTTTAACACAAATTTTTTTGGTAGTGGAAAAAAGGATGAGAGAGAAAGGTAGAAATACAAAGTTCTCCATGTGATTGTATACACAATATTAAAAGTAAGTGTTGAAAAGTAAGGGTATATTAGGTATTTGTAGTGTGAACACAAATATTTCTTTTCCTAAAATGAATATGGTACAATATTTGTGAAACTTCCTTAAATGCCAAGTGGTGCAATATTTGTGAAACTCTTAAATGCCAAGTGGTGCAATATTAAAAAAAAAAACGTAGGGAGTATATGGATAGTGAAAAAAGTCAAAATGTGTCAATAATTTAGAAACGGAGAGATTAATTAGCAATGACTAAATTGCATATTAACGTTGCCAGTATATAAGCTTACAAAATCTAGAAGTCATTAAATTGAATTCTACCCTAATTAAATCTCTATCTTTAGTGACAACTTAAAATATAAAACTTATGAGAACTAACAAAAAAAATACTACCTCTGTGTCTTATTTTGTTTAGCTGCACCTTTTCAAAGACAACATTTCCTAATGGTTGTTTAACAAAATAAAACGTATGTGATTAAGGGTCGGAGAAAAAATCTCAAAATTTTCTAATTATGTGCAACCACCACCATCACCCACCCTCCCCTCTCCCCGTAACCCACAACCACCCACTAATCTTCTCTCCGAAGCCGCCACCACCACCCTAAACATATAAAAAAGGTTAAAATTGGAAAATATTACCTCCTCATCACCATAAAATTTTGAACTCTAAGCTGTAATGGTATTGTAGAAACAAAAAAGGAATCGCGAGAGAGGAAGAAGTTGGTGATTCGATTTGATGAGGAGGGGCGGCGGTGACAACTTTTATGGAGGAGGAAGTGATAGTGACAAAATCTTACGGTGGTGGTGGTGTAGTGGTTGCGAGAAAAGAGAATAAAGAGTGGTGGTGAGGGTGGCTTGAGAGAGAGGAAAGAGAAAATATGGTGGTGGTGGTGGTTGTTAGAGAAGAGAGAGAGAAAAGTGGTGGCGAGGGTTGCTTGAGATGGAGGAGAGAGAAAATATGGTGGTGTGGCTGGTGGATTTGGTTGTGAGGGAAGAGAGAGAAGTTGAATTAGTGTTTTGTCGAGGGTTGATTAAGTTGGGTTAAAAAGTTAATAACATACAATTAATGTGTTAATTGGATTGAAGTAACGGTCTAATAAACTTTACTTAAAAAAAAAAATCCTAAGGATTTTTTTTTTTGCACATAACTTGTAATATCTGTTTTTGGCAAAAGTTACACGAAATAGAAACGGAGGTAGTATCTTAAAAATAATTACCAAAATAAAATTGCATAATAATAAACATAATTTCAGTTTAGTAAACATAATTTTAGTTTAGCAAAAATAATTTAGGAAGTAATATAATATGGCTGCAAAAGGAAAGTGGAGCATGTAGTTAAATGTAGAGGGAGTATCCACTAACATTATTTTCTCTTTAGTTCAATAAAAAAGAATTTTAATTTAGCATAAATAAGGTGAAGAGAATAGAACCTAAGCCTTAGAAAAAAAAAACCTTTATAACTTTTAAAAATAACAATTACAACTAGGAATGGCGATGGGTTAGATTATGTAAGACCCGACTCCAATTGCCATACAATTGAACACAAAATCCGAATACTTAAAGTCCAACTCCGCAACCTCCAACTCCGACGAAATGCAAACCGTTCGTAAAGAAATTTCTACATCGTACATAATTTTTATATAACAAAAAAGGTCGACATATTCAAATTCATAGGCATAGTTCAAATGTTTCGTTAACATTTTTTCTTACTAACAACTACAAAGCTAGATCTACAAATTGATAAGAAAGCTTACACATGAGAACGAAATTTGGGTTCTCTAAGTTGATATAAAAGGAGAGAGATTACTCGATGACATATAAAAATTATAAGGGTAAAAATGGGGGAGGTTTTAGAGAAGAGATAGTTTTAGGATATATTCTACTAGAGAGAGAAAGAGAAGGAGAAAAGGAGATGGAGTACTATCGATGAAAGGAGGATAAAGATCATAGTATCACCCTCCAAACACAGCAGAAGTATAATGGGTGATTGGATCAGATTAATAAGAAATGTTTATAAACTATATACAAAATGAGTAGAGCTGCTGCACCTACTTATATTTATTCTTGAAAATGAAATATTACCGAAGAATATGTTTTCTTTTATTATATTCTCTTATATTGAAAATGATATCAATTACAGTTTATATAGGAAAAACTCATCCAAAATAAATAGTGGTAGAAAACTTAGGAGCATTATATGCTTTACATTATATTTAGGTTTTACTATTTTATTATTAGTTTTTCTTAATTTTACTTATCTTAATATAGTTTATAAATTGCACAATTAACTTTTATCTCACAAATTCCCCCTCTTAATTTGCAATGTTTAATAATGTTTTAAATTTCTCGAACTTTTCTGTTGTTATAGCTTTGGTAAGCATATGTGCTGATCATTAGTGTTGATGAACTTGAGCTGTATTTCTTCTTCATTGACTAATTCATGTATAAAATGATGTCGAATCTCAATGCGTTTACTTCTTGCATGAAACACTGGATTCTTTGTCATAGCGATAGCAGACATATTGTCACAAAATATCATCGTGGGGCTTTCTTGCTGAAGACCCAAGTCTTGTAAAATTCTTCGTACCCAAACTGCTTCCCATGCTGCTTTAGTAGCAGACATGTATTCTGCTTCTGCAGAAGAAAGTGCTACTGTTTGTTGTTTCTTTGAATTCCATGATATTATCTTAGTGCCTAAACAGAAAATGTAGGCTGATGTACTCTTACGATCATCAATGGAACCAACACAATCACTGGTAGTATAACCAATCAATTCTTCATCAACTTCACTCTGGTATCTTAGACCTACTTTCTTAGTACCTTGAAGATATTGTAATATCCTTTTTGCGGCAGCAAAATGTAGTTTGTTAGGATTATTCATAAATCTTGATACCATATTCACTGCTTGAGCTATGTCAGGTCTTATATGAGTCAAGTATAGTAAAGAACCTACCAAACTTCGGCACACATTACCATCGACCTTACTAGCTCCATCATCTTGACTTAATTTTTCATTCAATGCCATAGGAGTATTCACTGGTTTGCAATAATCCATATGAAATTTCTTTAGGAGATCCACAGTATATTTTTCTTGATTAAAGAAAATTTCTCCCTTAGTTTGCGTAACTTGAATTCCAAGAAAGTATTTCATGAGTCCTAAGTCTGTCATTTCAAATTCTTGCATCATAGACTCTTTGAACTCATTAATGAGTTTCATATCACTTCCAGTGTAGATTAGATCATCAACATAAAGACAAACGATGAGAAAATGCCTATCATTGTTTTCTTTAATGTAAAGTGATGGTTCACTTGGACTCTTTTTGAATCCGTTATTCATAAAATATTTGTCAATTCTACTATTCCAAGCTCTTGGCGCTTGCTTAAGCCCATAGAGCGCTTTATGCAAACGATAAACTTTATCTTCTTGCCCTTGAATTTCATAACCTTGTGGTTGCTCCACATACACTTCTTCTTCTAATACACCATTCAGAAATGCGGATTTCACATCAAGCTGATAAACATATAATTCTTTCAGCTATGGCTAACACTGTCCTAATGGTTTCAATACGAGCTACTGGAGCAAATATTTCATTGAAATCAACTCCAGGTTTTTAGCATATCCTTTGACAACAAGCCTTGCTTTGTGTTTTTGAATATTTCCGTCTTGGTCTAGTTTTGTTTTATAAACCCATTTTAGACCAATAATATCTTTACCTTCAGGGTAATCAACAAGCTCCCATGTCTTGTTTTTCTCAATCATAGCAATTTCTTCATCCATTGCTTTTATCCAAACATCATCAGTTGATGCTTCTTTGTAGCTAGAAGGCTCACTCGCAAATAAAGCGAATGTTTCCATGTCATTTGCTTTAGATAAATAGCAATCATAATCATCTAAATAAGAAGGCCTTTTTCTAATTCTTCCTGGTTGATTTATTGATTTAAAACCGGAGAAGATGAAGTTTCTTGTGTTTGTGTATTTGACACATTATTAGGAGATCTATGCGTACTGTTTGCTGCATTATTTATTGTTGTTGGAGCTGGGCTACGAGAATTTATAGCTTCTTCTTGGACAGGAAAATGAACTATTTCATCATCCCATTTCCATTTTGCCGATTCTTCAAATATAACACCACGTCTCCGGAGACTATTAGCTTCTTAGCTTGTGGGTCTAAGAGACGATAGCCTTTTGATTCATCACTATATCCCACAAAAAGATACTTTCTCCCTTTGGGATCGAACTTGTCTTTACCTTGATCTTTATTTAAGGCATATGCAATACATCCAAAAACTTTGAAATGACTAACAACCGGTTTCCTACCATTCCAAGCTTCATAAGGAGTCTTGTTACGAACAACTTTAGTTGGTGAACGGTTAAGTATGTAAATAGATATATTTACAGCTTCAGCCCATAATGTTTTAGGAAGAGCCTTTTCTTCCATCATGCTTCTTGCTATTTCTACAATTGTGCGATTCTTTCTCTCTGCTACACCATTCTGCTGAGGTGTTTTGAGACTGTCAATTGTCTTTTTATTCCTTCATTTCTACAATGCTCCATAAAAGGGTTATATATAAATTCACCCCCTCTATCAGCTCTCAATGTCTTTATCATATAACCACTTTGTCTTTCAACTAATGCTTTAAATTGGAGAAATACATTGAAAGCATTTGACTTTTGATCAATAAAATATATCCACATCATACGAGTGTAATCATCTACAAATAATAGAAAATACCTCTTATTTTGTAGAGAAGGATTTCTTGTGGGGCCAAATATATCTGCATGTACTAATTCAAGAGGAGCTTTAGCTCTCCATGAAGTTTTTGGGAATAGAAGACGATGCATTTTTCCATATATACATCCTTCACAAACTTGAATATTTCTATCAATGTGTGGTAATCACACGACCATGTCTTTTTGTTTCAATAATTGTAATCCTTTTTGGTTCAAGTGTCCATATCGTAAGTGCCATAGATAAGATTCATCCATAACATTTGCTTGCAATGCTAGCTTATTTTGTGGCATATGAAGCGGGAAAACTTTATTATCATTCATTTGTACTTTTGCCAATATAGTACCAGATTTGTCCGTAACAATGCATTCCCCATTGTCAAAATTTGCTGAATATCCTCGTTGAACAAGTTGCCCAACACTTTGGAGATTATGTGTCAAATTAGGCACATAAAGAACATCATGTATGTATTTTATGTCATTTGTTTTGCTATTAACGGCAATGACTCCTCGTCCTTCGACGTTTGCCTTTTTTCCATCACCTAAGGTGACTTGATTTGCTACACCCATATCTAACTTGATGAACATGTCCTTATTTCCTGTCATGTGGTTGCTACAACCACTATCGAGAAACCTTAAATTTCTAGACTTATTTTGTGCATCCATGCACGTAAGAAATAATTGTTCACCTTCAGCGTTAGCGGTGAAATTTGCTTCATTTGTATTATTTCCATTTTGATGCCAACAATCTTTTTGAGAATGATTTGAATTACGACGTCTCTTACATTTAAAATAACATTCAGATGATTGATGGTTAGACTTACCACAAATACGACAAGAATTATTTGACCTTTGTTGATAATTTTGATATTGTTTGCGACCTCTTCCTCTACTTTGTCCTCGGCCACGACTAAAATTTTGGGTACCACGGCCTCTACCATATTGATGTCCTCTTTGGTTTCCCCCTCTTTTCTCTGACTCTCTTTGATATTGTTTGTTTGATATGTTAAGTTGGGTTTGAAATGCTTGATCTACAAGTTGATCGGTATTTGCATTTCTTTTTAATTTTTGCTCATGTGATTCCAAAGATCCCATCAACTCATGCATTGTGAGAGTTGACAAGTCCTTAGACTCTTCTATTATAAATGTGGCAGAATTATATTTTTCTTTCATACTTCTTAATACTTTTCGAACAACTCTTTTTTCTTCTAATGTATCACCGAGACTTCTTATTTGATTAACTATTTCTGTGACTTGTGAAGAATAAACTTGGATATTTCCTGTCTTTTGCATATCCAGGTTATCAAAATCTCTCCATAGATTTTGTAATCTAACAACAACAACTTTTTCATTTCCTAGAAATCCTTGTTTTAATGTATTCCAAGCTTCTTTGGATTTTTTTCAATCCATATAAGCGGGGAAATATAGTTTTACTCACGGCTGCATGAATATATCGTAATGCAAGTGCATCTTTTTTCTTGTTTTCCTTGTGTAGTTTTTGTTGTGCTTCATTAGGATTTTCTGGAAGGTCTTCATAGCCTCCTTCCACGAGCTCCCATAAATCTTGAGATATAAAGAATGTTTGCATTTGACTACTCCAATAGTCATAATGTTCTCCATCAAAGATAGGAAGTGTCGGTTGGGAATAAGAGAAAAATGGTGTTGATGTACTGGAAGCCATGATATAATTATTTCGGCTCTGATACCAAATTTGTTGGAGACAGCAAAAGTATAATGGGTGATTGGATCAGATGAATAAGAAATATTTATAAACTATATGAGAAATGAGTAGAGCTGCTGCACCTACTTATATTTATTCTTGAAAATGAAATAATACGGAAGAATATGTTTTCTTTTATTATATTCTCTTATATTGAAAATGATATCAATTACAGTTTATATAGGAAAAACTCATCCAAAATAAATAGTGGTAGAAAACTTAGGAGCATTATATGCTTACATTATATTTAGGTTTTACTATTTTATTATTAGTTTTTCTTAATTTTACTTATCTTAATATAGTTTATACATTGCACAATTAACTTTTATCTCACACACCCAACAAGAATAAAATGGCGTGAAGTAGTCTAAGGGGTCGTTTGGTTGGATCATTTGGAATGAGTTGGAATGGAGTTAGAATCTATTCTATCTAGTTTTTGTTTGATTGTGTTTTCTAGTGATAGAATCTCATACCCAAGGGGTTCTAACTCCCCCCCATACCCACCCCTCTCCATTGAGATTCACAATCCATTCTTTTAATGAAGAATAGAATCCATTCTAACAATATAACCAAATAAGTTTGGACTAGTATGGGGTTTAGAATCCATACCTCTCTTGTATGAGATTCCATACCAATTCATTCCAATCTGATAAACCAAACACCCCCTAAAAGGCTAAAAAGTGTTTGGCTCTTTATAGCCAATAAAAAAATGTAGCACAAGCGATAAAGATATAAATATCGGATCTGACTTTGACTCGGGTTGGGTCTGTTGGACCTCTAGCAGGATCCAAGTCTCACTTCTACGTTCGGACTTGTTTATTTCTCGGATTTGAATAGGACTTTTTTTTTTCGGATTGGGTCGGACTTGGATCAAATTTGGATTGAATTGCCATCCCTAACTACAACCACCCCCGGCTTCATACTCATCACTATCTAGAACTTTTATTGTGCATTAAAGCATATCATATATTTTCCTCAAGCATGCAAAATTATGTGGGAAGTCTTTGCTTACTTTTTTTTTGCCCCCTGCCTTACTTTTCAGTGATACATGCAGAAACTTCAACAAACAATGATGTCAGTGATCACTTGTCAGATCTTAACAATGAACATAAGGAGACTGCTTCTGTCAGTGAACAAATATACAGGGAGTTCATATGCGGTGAAGAAGCACTAAGAATTTCACCATGTGAGCCGTTTTGCTTGAGGAGGCCTATCCGCCGAGGTCATTTTAATGTTTCTCCATATTATCCTGCACAGCAGGTAGGCTCTTTATTTCTAAGCTTAAACAATGTTTGCATTTTTTTATATCTCCTGTTTTCACTTCATCCTCGGGATATGTACCCATACTCAACAGATTATGTTTGATCTTATCACCGTCTGTAGGTACTAGAAGACCTTCGTACTATTTGGGAGTGGATCTTGACTGAGAAACTGCATATTCCCTTAAATCAAAGAACTACGTATTCTGCTGTTCTTGTTGTGCCAGAAACTTTTGATAATCGCGGTACAAGTTATATAGTTCTTTCTGTTTTTCTTTTATTGATCAATGTTCTTTTCATGGGAGTTAATATGTCACAATTTGGCCTTTCTGTTACTTTGTTTTCTTTGAACATGTGGCTCTTGCCCTTTTACTTTGTAAACAATGAGTAGTCCTCCCTCATATAAAAATATCAGCATTTGCTTGCTATGCTAAATGTTGCATGGTCTCACTGCTGTATGCTAGCTGAAATCAGGACTGCAAAAAAAAAAAAAAAAAAAAAAAAAAAAAAAAAAAAAAAAAAAAAAAAAAAAAAAAAAAAAAAAAAAAAAAACCAAAGAGTGCTTTGTCAGATAGTAAAGTCATATAGCTTATGGCTATTTTAAATTAACTCTTCATTTTATTTTCCATACCCGTGTTGGACACTTAACACTTGAGACTTGAACAAGTATTAGAATAAGTCAATCAGGCACTTAAATCATCTTGAACCACAACCACAAAAAATAAAAATGTAGAAAAGGAAGAAAAAGAAGAGTAAAAGACTATGTGCCATATGTGCTCAACTGCTCATGCAGAGGCTTGCAGAAACATTTTTAACAAGAATTAGCAATCAAGTCATCCTTAAATGGCTGTATCTATATTATATTAACAAAAAAAAAAAAAAAAATCTTCTTGGAAAATTCTTTTTCTTCTTCAGTTGACCTTGTTTGAGTTACTGACTATGTGCCATATGTGCTCAACTGCTCATGCAGAGGCTTGCAGAAACATTTTTAACAAGAATTAGCAATCAAGTCATCCTTAAATGGCTGTATCTATATTATATTAACAAAAAAAAAAAAAAAATCTTCTTGGAAAATTCTTTTTCTTCTTCAGTTGACCTTGTTTGAGTTACTGAAAAGCAGAATCAGAAAAAGAAACCCACATAATCTTCTTATTCTTCTCTTGTTGACCTTGTTAGCACAAAGGAGATGAGCAAATTAGTATTGCTGGATCTTTAGATAATAACATGTTTACAAGAGGGAAATCGTTTGTTTTGTACTTGTCATGATAAACCTGATCTACTGCATTGGATTCTGATGCATGTAGCAGGATTTTCACTTCATTTCCATTTCTGCATCTCTGGCTATACACGAGTCCTTGTCAATAGGTTCAGAAGGTATTAAATAAATATCCTGAAATTAAGTCTGAGATATGTGGTCTTAACTAGTGCTTTACTTTTAGAGTATATAAGCTGCTGCAACGCCGTGGTTGTTTTTGTGATTTATTGACTAAATTATCTTACTGGAAGTTAGATCCTTTGATGTGCTGGGTTGGTGTCACGTTAACCTTAGTGAGCCTAACACCAATTCACACATGTATATCCTGCTTTAGGTCCATGATGACTATTTTGTCATTTTTATTACTTTGATGATCAATTACATAAAATACATGATTATGATGTCAAGCTCAGACTTAAGATATCTGGGGTCTCATACTCTCATTCTTATCTCCTCTTTATCACAAAGGTTTGCTGCTACATTATATGTACGAGATTCCAGGCATGTTTTTAAAAATCTAGAATCATTGATGACGTTCAGGGCATCTTGGACCTGATGATATACTCCATTGCTATTGTTTTCATGAGCAGAAATAAAAGAGTTGATGTCCTTAGTATTGGGAGATCTGCGCTTTGGTGTTGCGGTTGTTCACCAGGTTAGAAAATGCATGAACTTTGTTGTTTTTCATTTTATATGATGTTACAAATCTTCCATGCGTGATCCTTAATATAGCTCTTTCAAAAATCTAGCATTGTATAAACCTTAAGCTTTGTACATATGCTCACATGCCATTATTTTTGTTCAGCCCTAGGTATATTCTTGTAGATATTTGTAGTGAACCAATGAGGATTTTTTTGTCCTGTGGAACCACACTCTTAATCTTGTTGTGAGCTAAGCTAGAGTCTAGGGATTTAGTAAGCTCACGCATAATGGAGAGTAGAGGCCTTGCTACCGTTTGGTATCGGAAATTTAAAATACACTTATTGAATGAAAATACAATCTTTGAAATGAAACACAGTGAGATTAAAACCATAACTTTCGTTTGTCTTCACTTGCATTAGTAATGGAAGCATGGTTTGAAAATATGTTTTGATCACAATTACAGGAGTGGTTTGAGGACAATTTTGGTTCGTTCTATTGAAGATCCTTTACAATACGGCTGGATCTAAATGATGATGCCGTAGTTTTACACCAGGAGTAGAAGCAAATATTCAACTCAAATATCCATTACCCTTAGAAATGATATTGTTAAAACTTCTGAAGACATCCTGTATGTTGTAGTGAATTTAGAAGCGATTTTTGAATACATTTTGGTATTGCTGTCAGTTTGTACTTGAAGATATAGGTGCTACTTAACCAGACAACTATATTTTGAGGTCACTCCTAATATATACTTGCTTGATGTCAAGAAGTCCCCTAAACCTTTATTCTCTATATTTCTTGTTTTTATTTTGTATATTATATTTTTTTTAACCTTTCTAATTGTCTGTATAATATTTTTTGCAGTGAACAAATTTTCCACTGCTTTTTCTTTGTGCTCATACATGGTCCTTTTTTAACACATACTTGTGGCTTTTTGCTTGTATGTGGAAATATATCATGATCCATTTTACTTATCTTAATTCTGATGTCAATTGTTGGTTTTGTCTGATTAATAAATTATTGGTGATTGGCAAATAGTAAGCATATATAACGATTCTTCAGGAAGCTCTTGCTACTGTCTTTGGGAATGGGTTATCAACAGCATGTGTTGTGAATATTGGTGCCCAAGTCACTTCAGTCATTTGTGTTGAGGTATGCCTTATGCTCTCTCTCTCTCTCCAGACCTACAACTGGTAATTGTCTCATTCCAAGACGCTTCTTATAGTGAAAACATTATGCAACTTTTTACTGTCGTCTAGGTCAGTAGAGGAATGTAGAGCAATGATTGGGCTTAATCAATATATGAGTGAACATTTGTTGTGGGAAACTGTGAATAAAGATTTACTTTGAATTATTGCTCTTCATCACTTGCTCCAATTGTAGGTCATCAAGGCCTTGAGTTTAATTGTAGTATTGTATTTACTGAATTACCGGAGGCTTTAAAGATGGATTAATTCCAAATTTCTAATGATATTTCTTATTCTACTGTAAGAGGAGGTGTATTTTTGAAATGCATTTCTTTATATTGCGATCCAAATCAACTACTCATGTGGCATGAATCACCAGGATGGAGTTGCACTACCTGCGACAGGAATTACGTTATCTTTTGGAGGAGAGGTGTGGTGCAATTCCTTTATACAAGTACATTTGTATTGTTGATTAAAGCAGCTAAGAATTTTGTGTTTTTTTCAGGATATATCAAGATGCCTGCTGTGGACTCAACGTCATCACCAAACTTGGCCACCAATTCGAACTGATGCAGTGGCAAAACCTATTGACCTGTTAATGCTTAATCGACTAAAAGAGTCCTACTGTCAGATTAAGGTGATTCTTCAAAAATGAGATTTTTCTTTCTTGTCTAGTTAAATAAATATGATTTAGACTATGTTGGTTATAAATTTCTCTTTGGTGCATGCTATTTATTTAAAATGTTGCTTTGAAATAATAACTAAAATGTTAGGTTCTTCTTAATTCAGCTAATAGTGGGTGAGGTGATTTGGTTGAATCATTAGCCTTTTTAGGTGGGGTGTTTCTCATGATGATGCAACTAGTGTAGTAGCTAGTTTTCTAGAAATTCATTTAGCCTTTTGATTTTCCCTATACTTCTGGATTCTATTTGCCGTAGCTCTTGATTGTTATAGATGGGTATCTATGTACAATTCTTGTGTCCTGTACATCCTGGGGACGTGTTCTGGGCTTACAGAGTTCAAAGTAATGAACATCTTTAGATTGGTATTCTTGGAGTGAACATGACAGGCTCATTAAATTAATTAAATTACGCATACAGGAGGGTGAGACTGATGCTTTTGTGGTAGTTCACTCGTATGAGGATGGCACTTCAGTTGGAGCTCATAAGACGAGGCTAACAGCTCTTAATGTAAGTTTCTCTAATGATAGCTGTATTGCATCCTAATAGATAACCTGTGTTTCAAGTCTCCACGATTTCCCTTATAGTTTGGGATTTTTGATGAGTCCATAATTATCTTTCCGTATCCTGCAATTTTTATTTTCTTATTATTGCTTCATGTGCGGTAATGCATATTTTTAGAGTCCGTGTAGAAAAGAGAGAGCACGTAGCCACATTTACTAATGTTGCAAGTAATTTGCAACTTCATTGCATTTATAAAAAAAAAAAAAAAAAAGAGGAAGTAACTTATTGTACAATTTAAGTGTCAAGCTGAGGAAATAATGTTTTCAGTCATTTTTTATGATTGCTACCTCGGGGGGAATGCATATTTTTGTAGCTTGTGTAGAAAAGAGAGAGCCACTAAGGTTGCAATTAATTTGCAACTTCGTTGCATTTATATATATATATGATGATATGATCTCTTGGTTTGTCATTAAAATTGTACACTTCCTCTGTTTATATATATATATATATATATATATATATATATATATATATATATATATATATATATATAAACAGAGGAAGTGTACAATTTTAATGACAAACCAAGAGATCATATCATCATAGTCTTTTTTTATCACTTGGGAGCTTTGAAAAGATTAATTAATTAATTAATTGACTTTACCAAAGACTAATGCTATTACCTTCAAAAGTTCATCAAATTTCATAAAATGGTTGAGGTTGAGTTCAAATTCAATCCCTTACATCCCTAATCTGTGTAATGGTGATGAATTCATTTGTTAGTTGTTGGTAGTACACTTTAGTTACTTAGTAAAGAAGGTAAGTTGCAAGAAAGAGAGATAAGAAGTATGTTTTTAACACTCCTCACCGTTCCTCTATATCCATTTGTAAATATCTAGGATGTGTTGAGGGTTTTTGGCTGTTTAATCAATAAGCCAATGAGAGGATAAGAGAGCCGTATAGAGGATTAGAGGTACAAATGAATATGATGTTAGTCCTATAACGAGTATCCTTTTTTATTTTGTTTTTTTTTTAACGTTGTTAAAAATTGTCAAAAAAATTATCTATACAAAATACATTAGTGGGCAATTGACTAAAAGTATGTCAAGTCTTTGTTTTGTGGTAGCAATTAAACTGCTAGACATGCATTGTACCAAACCACCAGTGTATCAATGTCTTTATAACCTTGTTTGACAGGTGATATTAACTGTACGTAATGATTTTGAGTTTTTATAAAATTCGAAGGAAAGCCTCATGTTTTTGATGATAGTGTTCTATCTTAATGCTCTTGGCCTCTAGGTGTGTTCTTATTTATTTATTTATGCTACCTCTAGCTTTTACAGGTAGTAATAAGTAGTATTGGAATATTTCCATCAAATTAAAAAACACATATATGTGCATGTTAATATGTGCTATTTATTCGTTTATAGCTTTTTTGCTATAATGTTTTATCCAGACATTCACCACTCTTGATTTCTGGAGCCTCTGTATTTCTCGTTGGTTAGTTCATCTAACCATCTTAGAATATCTTTCACATATCTGAATATTTTAATCTTATCTTTACTCTTGTATTCAAACTGTAGCTAAATGACTACTAGTCTACTAGAACATCTGTTATGATTGTTAGTGTTTATTTTGACCTTTAACATTATTGGTTTCAATAGACTGCTTTGTATAGCATCTAATCTCCTTCAAATACCGCTGGAATTTGTTGTTCCCCCCTCCCCTACCCCTTCCATCCCTTTAACAGAGTCCTAGTCTCTAAATTTCAACTTTTCAATTAAAACATGTACAGTGTTCTTAACCTTTTTTACTTTCTTGAATTAGGTACCTCCTATGGGCTTGTTCTATCCCAAGCTTTTGGTTCCAGAAGTATATCTTCCACCGCCCCGCACGTGGTGAGGGCATCTCCTTTGAGCATTATTTATGACTACAAGGAGCTTGTTAATCTTTAAACCTATATGATAAAGTTCTGTCCTCACATGTACTCATTGCTGTAACATGTATAGATTCTACTTTGCCAGGTTCCATGATTACGAGGATATGTTGGAAGATACTTCAAATGTGGAGTACCCAAGGAGACCAGATGGGTCAGACTTGTATCCTGGCTTCAATGCAGGATTTTCTATGTGGGAGGGTTATACTGTTTTTACTAACAAGCATAAGAAAGAAGAAAACCTTGGCCTTGCTGAAGCCATCACAAAAAGCATACTCTCAACCGGTAAAGCCAAAAGATTCCACGAGTGAATGTTCATGTTTTTCACTATGATAAGATATTTAATTAAAAGCTTTGGATGTATGGGCAGGGCGAATAGACCTTCAGAGAAAATTGTTCTGTAGCATACAACTGGTGAGCTCCCCGGAAATAAGCAATAAGTAGTATCTTTCTAAATTCATTTTGATGCTTTGAGGAGCTAAAGTGCTGTTTCTTTTAGGGTGGCGGTGCATCTATGACTAATGGTCTCGTTGCTGCTGTGGAAGACAGGTAAATTTTCCTTTATGGTTTGACATTTGGACTGATCAGTCTGATTTTTCTCACCAGCAGCTTTTAACAACTGGCTTGGCGGCAACCTGTCAGCAAAAACTATTGATACAAAACCCTTTTGGGACCCCTTTCTAATAACATCGCTCAATAATGTTTTTAACAGTATACTTTGCTATGACATAAAACATACTTTGGTATTTAACTGTTACTTGAATGACTCAGTTGCTTACGTTAAAAAAAGAACTCGATTCCTGCCATATTCTGATCGCAACATGCCAGCTGTTATGGTTATAGAAGCTCTTTTCTAATGTCACGTCCTTATTACTACGTAAATGGAAAAGCACTAGTCATAATTCCTAAAGTGCAAGTTTGACTGGAAAATCATGTGAGTGTCGTGTTCTAACTTGGCTTTATTTATTTATTTATTTTTATTTTTATTTTAAAATGAGTAGATGGTGTGGACTTTACTTTGTGTTAGATATTTGGTTGATTAGGACTTTTAGGACACCTTATCTACTACACAAAAACTCATGTTTTGTGTGGTTGTTTAGATTTTGTGAAGGGAAGGGGGATCGTGGATGGTTTAGGGAGTTCATTACCCCTAGGGGCCGTTTGGTTCTCAAAGGGGAAAGGGAATGACATAAAGAAAGAAAAAGAGGGAGAAGGAAAGCAAAACCCTCATTTTTCTTAAGTTGTTTGTTTTATAAAAAAGAAAGGGAAACATACAAGTACAACTACCACCCTTCCCTTCCATTGTTTCATCTACAACAACCACCATTACCCCTCCCCTCTCCTGCCATTTCACTCCCCTATGCTGCCGGTGCTCCTTCCCCATTCTGCGGACAACAAAGACGCCACCGTCCTATCCCCGCCGACACCAACGCCCTTCTCTCTCTACTCTGTATCCTAAGTTCCTAACTTCTTTTTTAGTTGTACTTTTTTTGTGGAATTTCTTGATGTTTGGGGTTGGTTTTAGGGTAAGTGTTGTGATTTTCAAATAATTAGAGTTGTTTTTGGTGTTCATGGGTTGGTTTTGAGTGAGATTAGTTTTTTAGGTGGTTGTGGACCTTGCGGTGGTTTCCTGGTTGTGATGGTGGTGGGAAGGTGGTTTCTGGTGGGTTAGGTACAAGGTAGGGCGGTTTCGGTGGGTGGGGGTAGGCTTTTGGAGATGGTTGGTGGTTTTAGTCTTTTAGAGGTTGGGTGGTGGTTTGGGTATTTTAGAAGGTGGTTGGTTAGGAGGGGTTTGGTGGAGGGTGCTGTTGGAAGGGGTGGTTCTGGCAGTGGTCGGGGTGGGTCTGACAGTGAGTGGGACAATTTCCTGCGATGGTGAGGTGGTGTGGTGTATTTGGTGGTCTTATTGGTACTTAAGTTGGTTGGGTTAAAAAGAGTTAGGAGGTTAGGGTGATACCTTTGGGGGTTAGGTGAAGAGAGAAACGATTTGAGGGTGAAGCTTGAGATAATGATGGTTAGAGAGAGAGGACATTAGGATTTTTGATTTGGGCCTAATTTTTGGGCCTTATGAAAATCTGTACTAGCAAATGGTTCCTGTTCCGATTCAAGAACTGGGTACCGGGATACTTGCACACCCCTACCTACACATGATGACATGAAGTGTGTATTAGCAAATGGTTCTGGTAAATGGAAGCTAATTAGTGAAGACTTAGCACTTTAGAAATGAGGAACATAGAAAAAACAATTAAGGGTGTTTGTTTGGGCCTTCTGGTATATATTTGAATGGAGCAGAATCCATTCCAAAATTTCCAATATTTGGTTGGGCAATTTTTTTGTCATGACACCCCGTATCAGTAGTATTTAACTCCCGTTCAAGTCCCCTACAATCTCATACCTCTTCACACCCTATGATTCTAAATCCATTCCCACCCTAGATTCAAGCCCTAACTTAGTAAATTCCATTTTAGTTTTAAATTAAACAAATTTAGCAAGGTTTGGTCCCATATCCATTCCATATTATTTTGTTGGGAATACGATTCTCTGTTTTCTCATGCTGTCCTTTTTAAGTCAAAGATCATCTTAGTTTTTCTCTTGGATGATGATTATCTCTTTTCTCATTGGAGGAGATAAGTCTCTTGCTTGGAGGGAGACCATGAACTGTTGGTGAGCAAATTGTGTTGCTGTGTTTTTAAAGGGACTAAATTCAGGAAAATGGGATAAGGGGTTTGTTTATTTTTATTTTTAATGTTTCTGTTCCTACAATTGGATAGGGAAGTAAAAAGAAAAAAAATGGGTAGACTTATAAAGTATTGAAATTGTAACATGATCTTAATTTGCAACCCTATTGGAAATCCCCGTTCCCACTCAGTCTGCAGCTTATTGGTTTAGCACTATTCAAAACAGAATTTTATACTGCATGACTAGATTCTTTCTGAAGTACTTGTTCCTTTTTTTGACATACCTCCTTTGTTACTTGCAGGGTTTTGCATGCGATCCCTCCAAATGAAGCAATTGACACAGTTGAGGTTTGTGCATACATTCACTTCTCCTTTGTTCATAATTATTTACTCTGGATTTACCAAGGCTACTCTAATCCTCTGTATGAATGTCATTGATGAAGTCAATTAAACAAATTATATTTGTAGGTTTTGCAGTCAAGAAATAACCCAATCTATGTTTCATGGAAAGGTGGAGTGGTAAGTAAAGGCTTGTACAATTTTTCTTTCTTTCTTTCTTTATTATTATTATTTTTTTTAGTAAAAGAGGAGGATTATCATTATAGTAAGCCAAACGGCACTTACAATCACAATAAACCTTTATGGCTTCACTTCTAGTTTGCTCCCATACCATGATTAATTATTTGAGGTTAAAGTATATTCCTCAATGGAAATGTATTAATGAACTGAATTAGGGGAGGGTTATTATGGGCAGTTTAGTATGTTAATAATTATCAAATTTAGTACATAAGGGGAAATATGCAATTATGTAGGAGGTGCCACCTAGAGGCATCAAAACCACACCGACCCGATCCAGATCCGACTCGAAAAATATCCGATTCAGATTTCGACTCGTGTACTGTGTAATTTAGCATGACTCAACTTTAAAATTGATCTCAACATGATCAAACTGAAACCAAAACCAAAACCGAATCTGACACTAGATTGGGGGAAGGAGAGGGAGGGAGGAATCTATTTTCCCTCTCTTTAAGCATTATCCCTCCAGAATTGGATAATTTTGGAGGGAAAATGGAGCTCACCTTTCCCCTTCCTTTCTCTTATAACCTTTCCCCTCTTTCCCTCCCCTTCCATTTCTTCTTTGCTATCCAAACAGAGCATGTAAGCCAAAATATAATCCAGAGGCAGTATTTTGTTCCAATTGCATGACATGTTTCAGTTTGATAATTTTTGTGTACCTAGGGGAATCACATTTTTCCATTAGGACGTTTTTCCACACCATTTTCATTGCTGATACCGAATATTGTCTTAGTTTATTTACCCCCTACATTCCTTCAGGACATTAGTTTGAGGAGTTTAACTGGTACCTGTGGTTCCTAATGACTTTCTCTGCACAACAGATTCTCGCCATTCTTGATTTTAGCCGTGAGGCATGGATACACCGTGAAGATTGGATCCGCGGGGGCTTGTATATTGGGAGTAACAGAAAGTACAAAGATTCTTATTATATACAAGCTCAGCCTATGTGCTATATGAATTCCTGAGTGCTGTGAGTGGTTTCCTTGCATGTAAACACACTAGAGGTAGTATATTAAGTGGCCAGGTTAGTTTAGCCGCCCTCTAAAACATCAGTTGGCACATGGCAATTGTAATAGTTGAAACTGGTGTATATTATTGAATGGGGAAAATAGTATGGCGTTTGCTTGCCTGATACCCTGAGTGGTGTTTATTAAAAAAAAGGTTACTTGTGGACTTATGGTTAGCCAAATATTTGATGACTCCTTTAATAAATTGGAGTCCTTTCAACGTCTTTGAATAGATTTTTTTTTTTTTTTTTTTTGGGTGCAAACCAAATTCATGGCGTTTGCTTGCCTGTTACCCTGAGTGGTGTTTGTTGCAAAAAGGTTACTTGTGGACTTATGGTTAGCCAAATATTTTGATGACTCTTTTAATAAATTGGAGTCCTTTCAACGTGTTTGATTTTTTATTTTTATTTTATTTATTTATTTATTTATTTTTTTTTGGCAAACCAAATTCAAGGAATCATGGCTGTTGTTTCATTTCAGATATGTACTGAGATTCAGTGTCTGTGTTTCATTTATAAGCTCTTAATTCACATTAAAATAAAACTAAAAAGTTACTAGATTAAAACTATGAATTCTGATGATTAAAATGAGTATTATGTAAACACACACTCTGTCATTGGCGAGTTTGAATTTCCAGCCTTAGTGTTCTGTAAGACCTTGATCGTTCTTATATTATTTCTGATCAATAGTATTTGTGTGGGTTGTTAATTATAGTGTATTGTTTTTCTGGGTTTTATGATGGTTTCCTTGGAGTTTCCAAAGAAATCCAAGGGGAAGCTCAATTTTGAATCCTTAAAGAGGGGGATAATATCATAGAAGAGGATGAGTTTTTGATTGATTTAATCTGAATTTCAAAAAACTCCCAAGCTGTATTGGAAATTTGGAAGTATTGAGGATGCGATGGATAAGTACGGGTATGTTAGTCTTCAACTAAGTAAAGTTGATTCCAAAGCAAATCAATGAATTTATGAATTTTTATACTCTTTCCGTTTCATAACAATCACAGTACTTTCTTTTTACGTTCATTTTATAATAATTGTAACACTTTTATAGTTGGTAACCGTAAGCATCCACTTGGGTGTTCAATATATAATTTTCCTAAAGCTTTGTGAAATACGTGTAGCAAATCTTGTAATTACAAAACAGAGCGTGTAATAAAACAATAGAAAACCAAGGTAAACTTGGGGTATGTTCACTTCAGCTTCAATCAGTTCAGTTCAGCTTCGATCAGTTCAGTTTAGCTATTAATTTCCTTCTCTCATAAAATATTCATTTCAGCTTCAATCAGTTCAGTTCAGCTCTTAATTTCCTTCTTTCATAAAATATTCAGTTTAGCTATATTTTTTTTTTTTTTTTTTAAGAAAGTTCAGCTTCAATAAGTTTAGTTTTGTAAATATGAACAGACCCTTGGTCCAGTTGTAAGATTACACCTTTTGACCTTGACTTCTTAAGGTTAGGGGTTTAATCCCCACTATAGATACTTTGAGAGTGAAGATTCCATACAATTCTCAATTATTTTTAAATAAAGTGTCTAATCCGTAAATACCGGACTACGGTAAAGGTTGAGTAAATGAGAACTGTAGATGAGTTGGAGCTCGAAACGTGTAGACCACATGCTAGTGGGGTCTATATAGTCAACAATATTTATAACCCTTTCTCTCTCTCTCCTCTCATTTTGTGTGATAAGTCAGTATTCTCCACAAACACAAACACAAACCCAATAATAAAGCAATCTCTCTGATTCAATGGCGGATACTTCTTCATCCAACCGCCGACGTCAATCAAGCCGTCTACAACGTCGAGCCCCAGCCTCCATACAAGTTCTCCGCCCCACTGATTGGAACGTTGCGATTCCACTTTTGTCCCCTCTCGCATCATCCCCACCGTCGATTAATCGAACCGTTGAGATTGACTCTTCCGCTTCCCAAACGACGTCGTCTAGGGCTGAACAAACTAAACCCATCGTTTTCAAGAAGTGGCAGCATCCTGCCGTCCCCTTTTGCTATGATTCCGCTCCTTCTTCTCTTGCTCCTTTTGGTTCTTGTAGATTTTGATGTTTTTTTTTTTTTATTTTTGAATTAGAGAAAATAGGGTTTGCTTAGTTTGTCATAGATTATTGTATAGATTTGAATTTTTTTGGAATCAATAAAACTAAAGTGGTAGTAGTACGATTCGGTGTTTTCGTATTTTGTTTGTTTATTACTTTAATTGTTGTTTACTGTTGGATTAGTTTGAATACACTGATTCGTTTTTGAAACGGAATACTCCAGGCTAATTGCTACAGTTACAGTAGTCACTTATTCCACGGAATAAGTTTATTATTTTGGGACGGAAGTAGTAATGCACTAATGCATCTCAAACCTTGTTAAGGCGGACACATAACTGAGGTGCATAATGTACCACATTCAAACCCAATGTTCAATTCCCATAAATTACCTCAATGAAGGAAAACACCAAGGCTGAGCTAAAAATGGGCTAAGCTAAAAGGCCTGGCAATCAGCATCTTGTGCAAGTCTAACGATTTTGCACCTACCTTATTAATTTGCATGCTCTCATCTTTAAATATTGGTTTTTTTTTTTTTTTTTTTTTTTTTTCAATCAACCATTATGCATGTTTTTAAAAAAACATATTAAGTGGAGTGGTGGGAACTCACTTTGTAGGTCACAACTTGAGGCCCGCCAACTATAATTGTTTGGGAGTAGAAGGATAACCTTACCTAAACCTCTTCTTTCTATAATCAAGCGTTGATTTATGAAGTTGGGCTGGCTATGAAGATTAATTGTTACTCTCTATTATTATTTCTAAAAGTCAAATATTTGAATTATATAACATAAGACTACATTTGGACAATGGATTAGATCTTTACGATTCAAGTGGGGAAGATTTCCCTAAAAATTGTTGAATAGTAAATTATTTCCTTATTTACGTTGGTTTAAAAACTTATTCCCACTAAATTGTCCACGTAAGTTTGGTAGATTTTTTTTTCCCTAAAGAACCGCCAACGGTGATAGCGGATCTACACTTATAAAACCGCTAATGTCGTTAGCGATTCTTGTATAAGAAAACTTCACAAGTTAAAACTTAATATAAGAACCACTAACGACGTTAGCAATTTTATAACAAGTATGAAACCGCTATCATTGTTAGCGTTTTTTTTTTCAAAAAAACAAAAAAAAAAAAAACATTTTTCCAATCCTACGTGGACAATATTGTGGGAATAAGTTTTTAAACCGACGCAAATAGGGAATTAATTTACAATTCAACAACTTTTATGGAAATCGTACATTCAAGGGATCACAAATAGTTAAATATTATCCTTCGGAAAAAAAAGTTAGATTTTGTGTGTTTTATTCAAAGACAACGATTAACATTATACTAGGGTTTTATGTTGTTTGTGTATGTTCAAAAATTGCAAATTCCACATGTCAATGCTAGAAACAGGTAAAGGTTAATTCAAGCAACCACTAACTCATGGTTAAGTTCCTACCAGCTTTATCTCTGAATCCTCAAGATTATATGTGAGTTAAAATCTCATAGATCATTGCAAATGTTGAACTTTAATGGATTAATGTATCTTATTCAATTTTTGGTTTCCTTGAAATTTTCCCATCAACGGTTTAGGAGCTCAAAACGAAATATTTCATGGCATGCAAAATCTTAATCAAATAATTTTTGAGACGCAAATAAAAAAATTAACATGCAAACTGAAACAAATTTTAACACACATAATGTTTATCTAACAACAATTTCAAGCTCAATTTAGACTCTTAAGGATTAAATGACCACTAAAGTATTGATCGAATAATATTTGACATACTTAGGACCTGTTCTGATTTACCGAGTTGAACTGAACTGATTGGAGCTGAACTAAACTGAACTAAAATAAATTGTTTATGAGTGAATGAAAGTAGGAATTAAAGTGAACTAAATCGATTGGAGCTGAACTGAACTGAAATTTTGTGGAAAAGAAGAGTCTCTAAATTTCTTTTATTTTGAAAAAAATTAAAGTTGGTAAAATTGGAAAAATGGAATGGGTATCAGGTGGGGTCATAGTAGTTGACAAATTGAGAACCCTACATTGACCATCCCACTCCAATAAACATTTTACTTTACCATATTTTGTTTATTTTGGGTGGGAGTGAGTGGGGGTTGGAATTTGCTGCCTACTAAACCAAACAGAAGATAATTGGTTTTCATTTAACATACAAATACAAAAGCTAACCCCCTCTCTAATCACATAATTAATTCAACCCTATTTCTCTGTCTTTTGAATTTCAGAAAAATAATTTACAACAATCAATGCCTCTTTCCCTCCATTGCTAATATCTTCTCTCTCCTCCTTCAATTCATTACTCCTCTCTTCTCTCTCTCCTCTGTCTCTGAATCAATTTAATTAATTTACCCTTCTCTGCTAAAATGCACCTTTGATCCCAATTTTCCTTTTCTTTCAAAGTTGAGATCTTTTCATTGAAGAAGAAGAAGAACAAGAACAAGAAGAACCCCAGTAAAGCAATGGTTGCAGAGCCTTGGTTACTGAGAATGGGGAATCAGGTAAGTAGCAATCTGAAAAACTCCCTTCTTTTACACCCAACAAGCACAAGTAATAGTAGTAGTAGAAAGAAGAAAAGTAGCAGTAGTAGTACTAGTAGTTGCTCTAATATTGGTATCTTGTCATTTGAGGTTGCTAATGTTATGTCAAAATTGGTCCATCTTCATAACTCTGTCTCTGATGAAGAGATCTCAAAACTGAAGCATGAATTGATTAAATCAGAGGGTGTTAAGAAATTGGTTTCTTGTGATGATTCTTACCTTTTAGAGCTTGCTTATTCTGAGAGGGTAGATGATTTGAATAGGGTTGCTGAGGTTGTTTCTAGGTTGGGGAAAAGATGTACTGAGCCAACTTTGCTTGGCTTTGAGCATGTTTATGGGGATATTGTTAGTGGTAGGATTAATGTCAAAGATTTGGGGTTTTTGGTTAAGGATATGGATAGTATGATTAGGAAGATGGAGAGGTATGTGGGTGCTACTGCTAATTTGTATGGTGAATTGGAGGTTTTGAATGAATTGGAGCTTGCTACCAACAAGTTTCATTTGAATCATAACCTTGATAGTCGTAGGGCTTTTGATCAGAAGTTGTCTTGGCAAAGGCAGGATGTCAAGCATTTGAAGGATGTTTCTCTTTGGAATCAGACCTATGATAAGGTTGTTGAGCTTTTGGCCAGGACTGTTTGTACCCTTTATGCTAGAATTTGTGTTGCCTTTGCTAATGTCGATGTGCTTCGAGCAGTGCCTCCTGCTCAGCTTGGTGTCAAGAGCATTGGTAAGCTTGAGAGTCGCCGCAGTCTTAGGCTTATGAACCGGAATAATTCTTTGCATAGTCAAACTTGCGAAAAGAAGCCTCCTAGTTTCAAGACTCAATCTAGTCTGAAAAGAAGTGAATTAGACCTGCTTCATCGTCAGGATTTAGTTTATCCTTGTGCTCCTAGTCCAGGGAGGATCTTCATGGAGTGCCTTAGTCTCAGCAGTTCAGCCTCAAGAGTTGATGATGATGAAGATGCATTTTCTTGCAGTGGCCAAAATTCCTTTGTGTCTGAATTCAAAGTTTTGGATGGCATGAAGGAGGAGCATCCAGACTGCTTAAATCGCGCCCATGCTGGATTTCATTATAATGGGGAACATGGGCAGCTTCAAGATTCAGTGAATGCCTCACGTTTTGGCCCCAAAAGTAGGCTGGCCACTCATGCTACTCCGTCCACTGTCGGAGGTTCTGCTCTTGCTCTGCACTATGCCAATGTCATTATAGTTATAGAGAAACTTCTTCGTTACCCACATTTAGTGGGAGAGGAAGCCAGGGATGATTTGTATCAAATGTTGCCAGCTAGCTTAAGAAAGTCTTTGAGGATGAATCTCAAGTCACACTTCAAGAACTTTGCAATATTTGATGGTGCGTTGGCTCATGATTGGAAGGAAAACCTTGATCAGATCTTGAAATGGCTAGCTCCTTTGGCTCATAATATGATCAGGTGGCAAAGTGAGCGCAATTTTGAGCAACAACAGATTGTTTCAAGAACAAACGTTCTTCTACTTCAGACCCTTTATTTTGCAAACAGGGAGAAGACAGAAGCAGCAATTTGTGATCTTCTTGTTGGTTTGAATTATATATGCCGTTATGAACATCAGCAAAATGCTCTGTTGGATTGTGCTAGCAGTTTTGACTTTGGTGATTGGATGGAATGGCAATTGCAATGCCAGGCTTCTTGTCTCGATTGATGGGTAATATGAATGAAGTTGGGGTTTTTTCTTGGTTTAATCAAATACAAAGATATAGATTACTTTGTTTTTGTTGAAAGGCATCTAGGGTTTTGGCTTTGGCTTCTTAAGTACTAGTACATACAAGTAGTTTTCTCTCACTAGAGGGAGGAAGTAATTTTTTCTTCCGAACATTATGTATGTACTTTTGTACATAGTAATGATAATTTCTTACATTTTTATCCTAGATTTCTCTCAACTATCCCAATCGAAGTTCACATATTTGGAATCAACATGTACATTTATCTTTCTATCTTCTCCCTTAGTAAGGTTATAAATTTGCATTCTTGCATCTTTCGTGTAAATAGACAGTTGGTCAATGGTTGAGCTATTGTGTTGGTATAGGCAGAAAGCATTGTTTGTGTGATAGTTGCATAATTAATCTTCTGTTTAAACTATGTAATCTGTGTACATCTGCAACTTCTATGGTCGAGATATATGATAGGAGTCACCAATCTGAGTCATAACTGCATTTGAATGATGGAAGAGCGCTCTCCACTCTCTGTATGATTCGGATCCAGATTTGGTGTAACCGTGTAAGGTTAAAGCTCCCAATACGCCGACTTGAGGAAAAAGAATATAATATGAGGAAGCAACAAATACAACAGAGGTATGATTTCTCCCATTCTTAATGAAGTGCTTGTATTTGGTACGAAAACATTCTTATCTCTAGCATCCTGACGTTTTGTCATTTGTAGCATTGTTACAGTAAGTAAACCTCTTCTCTAGTGACGATATTAAACCTGCTCCATATGCATTAACCATGTCTTTTTGTGTATTGTCGCAACACCTAGTGATGGTGGTTGTGAAAATAGTAATATACTTTTGACATGAAAGCATGTTGCCTTTTGTGTATTGTATTGTAAAGCTAATGGATAGGGATAAAATAGTATAAAACCCACTGATCCATAGATTTATCTTATCTGTCTTTGTTCTGATATGAGTATATTTTAATGAACATAATGACCTGTTTGTAGTTGTAGTATTACCAGGGATTTGATTATGCTGGAGAGAAGAACATGAACTTGCACTTTGTTACTTCATTATCAAAACCACACCTAACGGCACTATGTTTAACTTGCACTAGTATTAATTTATCTCCCTTTCTTTGTAGTGATCGAGCTTAATCCGCACTTATGTTCATCGTTGAGTTTCCATTTTCCAGCATTATCAATTACGAACCTGCTTTTCTGGAGTTTTGGTCTTAGGGTCCAAGGGAGCCCGCCCTTACAAATTTTCCTGCATATCATATACTTGGCATACATCAAAATATATACCAAAATAAAATGTAGAAATATTTGGTGTATGTTTGGTTGAGTAGTATAAGAGTATATTTTAAGGGTCGGTTCTCTTCGGTTAGCTTAATTTCAATTTAATTCAGCTCCAATCAACTCATTTTAATTCAGTTCAATTCCTAATTTCCTTCTCTCATAAACAGTTTAGTTTAGCTCAGCTCAATTGGATAAATCAGAACCGACCCTAATACAAAGGTCAAATGTCCAAAGGAGTATGTTTGTTTTTGAAAGGACGTACACAATTTGTTGCAATAAAAAATATGAGAGCATTTTCATGATTTGGACTGTCCTTTACATGGGAAGTGTAGAGTTAGGTGTTGACATTTTTGTCAAGTAAATATAGTGCAATTATATTTTGACCTGCTTTTACAACCAACTTTGGAAGCTGGTTGTTAACAGGGTACCGAAGCATTAACACGAACCATCAGTGACAACATGTATACACTCCATAAATTGTATTTTCCTGAACTGGGGTGTTCACCACATTTATGTAGCCAACGTACCATGTTTTACACAGTTGGGGATATCAAATAGATAGTAGATTTATTTGATAGATTTTGGAGTCTAATCATGACAGATTATTCTATTTTACTTGTATATAACAGGTAAATTTCATATCTAATTCTCATGTACGAAGTAGACTGATAACGAAAACTGTTTTTTTTTTGTTTGTTTGCATGTTCTTAACTAGAATAAACAAGTGAATTTGAGAGCGGAGGTAGTATGGAGTAATTTGTTCAATTTATACAAGCAACAATGATTTTGGATGACCAACAAGAGTTGGCCTAAGTTCGAGCGGTCGAGCCTTATTTGAATGCAAAAGCTCGTGAGAGACTTACCTATCATAAGCCATATATGTAAACTGGGTCACATCTGAATGTAGTCGGAACTTGGTGGGCATACTTAAAAAAAAATGATTTTGGAGGGTGAGGTGAATATAAATTGAAATCCATGATCAATAAACTTGAAATTTCTATAAGCTTGATCAGTTTCACCAATCCATCATTTGAATTCATTGAGACAAAATAATCCATCAAATTGACGAATTTCAAATTAAATCCATCCCCATCTTAAGCATCACACTAAAAGCCCATATGATCAATTGATCACCAACATTTTTCAATGATATTTTGTTGAATCAATTAAGTAGGGGCTAGTTGACACAACATAGCTAAATCGTTGCTCATTAAATTAATCTTAAACACAAATAGCAATTTTGTCCTAAACTTTGCTATAATTACTTCATATTATTCTAGCCACCTCATCAAGTCCCTAGACTATCAATTTTGCGCTCTGTATTACTTAAATATCATGTCAGCTGGTCAAGATCCCTAATTATGCCACATCACTTGTTCATTCCCTAAACTTTGCCAAAACAGCCTAATATCTGATGATGACAGTCGGATTTTATTATTTGAGTAATGACCCACTTTGTAGTTGAAAGACCAAAATACTACGAATTTTGAAGTTTAGGAGGTTGCATTGATATTTAATGAATTACGAGTAAAAGATGTTCTAAAAGGTGGAAGGTCAAATAAAAACTAAATGTACCAAGCTAATCTTGGTCTAGTGGTAAGATTGTCACCTTTCAATTTTGAGGTTGAGGGTTCAATCCCCACTAGGAACACTTTGGGGGTGGGGATTCTTTACCCTTCTCCCTCACTTTTAAAGTATCTAATCTGCAAAAAATGAAATAAATATTTTTTTTCTCTCTTTTACCCCAAGGCCCCAAGTGTCTAACCTGTAAATATTAAACCGTCTGGTCACGTGGGTCTTCCCTAGTCCTTACCATAATAAATAAATAAATAAAAATGTGGTATCCACAACTCCAAAAACGGGTATTCTTGAAACTTTGGTTACAATGGAGGTTAACAGTTGAAGTTGAAGTTATTGATTCGTCGGTTGGTCTAAATTTAGGAAGAAATTTTACAAACATGAGTTACAGAAGGTAATTTCCATCCACTGATCTTTCTTCAATTCCGTCAATTTATTAATTTCCATGGCAATCAGATTTACTCTTTGTGTATTATTATCAGATTTACTCTTTGTGTATTATTATCAGATTTAAGAAAAAAAAAAAAAGGAAACCAATTTTATTAATTTCCGTGGGTCTCGGGTGGGGTCGCCGGCGATGGTAGGGATCGCCGGATGGGGTTGCTGGGTTGGGTCGGGTTTTGCGGGCTGAAGTGGGTGAACTGTTTTTGAATATTTTAGGGTTCAATCAGATTGAAAATCGTAGAACATTGCTTAGTTTTTAATCAATATGAGATTATCTAGATTATTGAATTCAAACAATTATATACATCAATGAATTACTGGAATTGTGCATTGGGAATTGGCAGGATTGGCCATTGGTGCTCTGATTTGCTGTTAGTTAAGTTGTTTGATTCGCATTTCAGCACTATGTTGCCTGATTGGTGCTCTGATTTGCATTAGTTTAGTTGTTTGATTCGCATTTCAGCACTATGTTGCCTGATTGGTGCTCTGATTTGCATTAGTTTAGTTTGATTCGCATTTCAGCACATTAGTGCCTGAGGCTGTTGCTTCTGTTAACCTTTTCTATGCATCATAAACTGGTCTCATATTGCATTATTGGTGATGATTGCTACTCGCTTTCCTGTTTCATACATTGGCTTAAGTTGTGGTGTCATCTCTTGATTTCAGAGAGACTCGTGCTTCTAAAGCTGGCCTTTTTGATGGATACGATAACATTGAAGAGGGTGGTCTTAGGGCATCTTCAACTGACATTAGTGAAAATGAGAATGATAAAGCTCTTGATAGCCTAAAAGACCGGGTTTTCTTTTTGAAGCAGGTATTGATCTTTTTTTTTTGCATCAATTTTAAGTTGAATGTTTCTTAGTTTGAGCTTTAATTCGAATTGTCATGCAGCAATAGGGTATAAGGACACAGGATGTATGTTGCTTATTAAAGAAGGGGGTATATGTATATGTACACATTTTTTCATGAAACAAATAGGATATAAATAGCAATTAAATGTATTTTCGTTGTTGTTAATGTTGTTGTTTAAAGCTCCCATTCAGATGTACCTATGCACACACACATAATTCCCGTTTCTCTTTAACAAATTAAATAGTAACAAAATGTTAAATTAATTGAAGGAAAATTTGTTTGAAAAGACCTTTTAATCTTTTATAGTAGTCTTATTATGACGAAGGGCCTTTTATAAAAAAAAGTGGCAAAGTAGAACCTTAAAATGAAGGTATTATTATTATTATTATTATCTCAAAAACAAAAGCCATACAACCTACAATAAATTAGTGGGAAGCCGAGATACTATCTGGGCCCCCACTCCTCTAGCTATTGCAAATCCTACCCTAGTGAAGATATGAGCTGCAGCACGAGCCCTAATGTCTTGCGTCGTCGAGAACCTTTGAATCCGCTTCAGTAACGCAACATCCTCTTTCTCTAATTCCCCAAGCGAAGAAAAGGAGAAGGGAATAAAACCATATCCAATCGCTTGACATCGAACTTCATACTTAACCCACTTCCGATGAGCTGCATCAGCCACAACCCGGCCAGGAATGAAGTCAGATAGCCCTGACTGTGTCAAAGGAGAAGACCCTGTCAAATCAACACAGACATCGCGATCACGATCCCATGAATAAAGTAACACATCCGCAGGTTTGAGGGCCTCGTCGTTCCCTCCAGCCAACCCAATGTCAACCTCTTTTCTCGCTGAAATCCCAAAACGAAAGCAACTATCAACAAGGGTATCCCGAACAACATTATGCCGATGTTTAATACCCACAATACCAGCACAAGACACTGCGTGATCACCGAAAATATCTCCAGCAAAAACCCTCGAACAAGCAGAGCACAACGTCGAGATAGAGAACAATGGTACACCCAACCGATAGGACAACACACAGCGATAAGTCTTGGTGTTCATCGTCTGACCCAACCCTGAAATAGGAACCGCCCGAAGCCAAGCAGAGGTGTGATCACGCATTATTATTATTATTATTATTATTATTAATATTATTATTAATAATAATAATAATAATAATAATAATAATAATAATATACCCTGAAATAGGTATTATTATTATTATTATTATTATTATTATTATTATTATTATTATTATTATTATTATTATTACTACTACTATTATTTTTAATTTTTTTTTTTTGGTGATTGGGACCTTGCCCTGGATTTAGACCTTTGAATATATTTTATCAACTTAGGAAAAATGGTAGAGCCGTGCAACCTTTCAAGCAACGCATCGATCATTGGGATTGGAAATTTTTCCAGTACGGTCACTATGTTCAAAGCTCAACAATCGATCCGAAGGTCCTTCCTTCAGCGTACGCGGCAAGAAAAAAAGGGCTACATGAAGGCTTAATAATGTTGCCTTCAACATTTCTTTTGTACTCATGGTAGTAGTTAGGTTGAACACTCACCGGGTTGCTTCCTTCCTTCAACATGATGCCCCTAATCTGTTGGTAACCCTTCTGACACCTCAATACCTAGGAAACTGATGCATTACCTCCTTAAAAAAATCCAGAACCTCCATCTTCATTCCTCCATGAGCTCTCGTATCCTCCATTTTATTCATTTCCACCAATACCACATAATTACATTTCTCATCCTTACAAATGGTGTGTATCATAGCTTTTAGGAGACTTGAGTTTCTTTAAGGTCGAGTCAAAATTACTATTGACCGTAAACCTCATCACATGCGTTTTCAAACCATCTCACCATTCTCAAGGACACCCAAACTCCCTACCTTGGGTGATTGGAGCCCAGGTGCTCTCCATCACGAAAGTGGAGATGAAGATGTGAGTTGCGGTCGTATCAATTATCACAATCGCTTCTTTATCTTTTATCCACCCTTCATCTTCATCGTTTTTGGGTTGGCGATGTCAAGTATTGACACCTCCAACATTGTCCTTCTCCTCCCATTCGTCATCATCGCTCCAGTTCCCCATTTCCACCCCAAGTCCTTCATTGGCCACCATTAATACAATTCTTTCTCTCCTTTTACACCAGTGACCTTTTATCCATTGACAAAGGAGGATCACATATTATTTCAGTTACTAAGTATTCCACTTACAAAGGAGGAACTTGATACCATTAGGTTTGGAACTTAATCCCCCTCATTTGTTTTGTAATATTTCACAATCAATACTACCATCAATTCCATTTTTTTTTGAAGACTTGGGATTTTTTTATCTATATCATAGATATGCAATGACCTTTTATCTTCAGCACATAGGTTCAATTATTGGTATATTTGGGTGTAGAAGAAGAAGAATCAAACTGTAAAGTATTAGATTTTAGTACTCAAATGTACAATATTTCTTATTAAATCTGTTTGTGAATGTAAGTGGAGAGAGAAACATATGGATTCATGTTTTGAGGAGAGAGAAGCGTATGGATGCATGTGATGAGGGGAGAGATGGAGAGAAATAACAACCTATAAAGTTAAGAAAAAAATTGTTGCAAATAATGTGTAGCATCCATTTTTGGCAAAAGTTGCAAATAATATGAAATGGAAGTTTATACAAGTATTTCTTTTATCATACTTCTTGAGTTATTGAGTCGTATTCAATGTTACGAATTAGTTGTTTGTTGGATCTGTTGATGATATTTTTACTTAACAAAAGTAAAATTAAGGTCACAATGATCATTACTGAATAATATATATGTCCTATGGTTTACAAGTTGCTAGAATCCTTTTATGAATTTAACATTATTCCATGAAAATACTTTATTTTGATTCTTCATAGGCTTGTAAGCCATGCTTGCTGGGTATTTTCTGCTTGTGAATCCTGGGGAACTGTCTATTCGTACGTATGCACTACTTGCTTTGATAGAGTTTGCTGAGTGAAACTGCTTTTAACTTGAGTAAGCTTTTTGTAGGGGTTGGACAATTCAAAGTCTTCACATCCTGCTAAACACTATCAATACTTGACTTGAAAGGATTTGATCTATGTTTCTGGCTCTTTTGTTAATTCAACATTCATTCTTTTCAAATCCAACACTTTAAACCTTATATCTTTGTGCAATGCTTGAATTTTTGTCACCATTAGGCTAGAGTTCACCGCTAATCATGTCAGAGCAATACTATAATTGAACCATAAATGGAAAAGAGGACAATCATTTTGAAGTGCAGTTAGATTTCTGCACATCGCTCCTAATATTTAGATCTCTTTAATCATGTTAACATAGCCAATTCTGATGATGTCTGCTTTTAACTCATGTCAGCTGTCTGGTGATATACATGGTGAGGTTCTTAGCCATAATCGTCTCCTTCATCGGATGGTATGTAAGTATATACCTTGCTTTTAAAATTAGTAATTTGGTACGTGTTAGATCATATTGCTTTACATTTTTTTTCCCGATTATAATAAATTTGGATACTGATGCAGGGGAATGAAATGGATGCATCAAGAGGTATATTGTCAGGAACTCTTGACCGCTTCAAGATGGTAAGATGATATCATGTTAAGTTACTTGTATATTCTTGCATCATTGTTTTGTTGTTCTGTTGACATTGTCTTGTGTTGCATGTATAACATCTTAGGTGTTTGAAAGGAAGTCAGGACGTGCAACTTGCAAGCTTGTTGGTTTCCTTGTGGCATTTTTTTTGTTATTGTACCTCTTCATCAGGTAAATTTAATCTTGTTCAGTTCCAGTTATGATTATAATATTAATGGTATGATAGTTTCCTTGCATGTACTTTTCCCATCCAATTCTCTGAGGTTTATGTTCTTGAATGAAATTTCTCCTTGCATGTCTCATATCTGAATCATCTGAGTTCGCAAGCAATTGATTTATTACAGAACCTTTTTTCTTCTTGTTATTAAAGTAATCATTAGTTGATCATGCTTTGCTGGGATGAGGAGAGGGAATTGTTAAAGATTATCAATGAGCAACAGAAAACTCTTGTTGGGAGACTCACCCACCATAAGCCAAGGTGTGCAACCCAGGTTGGATCCGGATGTAGCCGGAGCTAAGCTCCGGTGAACCGGGTGGGACAAACAAAAAAAAACAAAAAGGGATCAGAAGTTGCTTTGTTATAATTTTTGCAACTTTTTGTTTAGATGGGTTCTCAACAGACCACTTCACATAGAATAGGATTCTACACTCAACCAGAATAAACACCACTTGTTTCTTTTTGGGATTATTGATTTTGTTTTGATAATTATCCTAAGAACATAGCGTTAAAGTATTTATTAGCAACAATGGGTCATTCCCTGTGGTTGAGCTGCAAAGCCTTAGTGTTGTGTATATGTGCCTAAGAGTGCATATTTTCACATATTTCCACTGAATAACTGATATGTACAATATATTTACAGGGTCCTTGGACATTCTATGTAGTGTGAAGTGAAGAAATGCAGGCTAGTTTATGTATGAGATGCATGAGTGAAAATTTTCTTGATATGAGGAGCGGCAACAACAGTGTGGATGCACACTTGCATGTTTGAGGGGGTGCTAGATGAAAGGCGTGTGCACTTTTGGCAAGCTAACAAGCCAAATGCATGTGTAATTTTTTAACATAATCTTTTGACGCAAAACTGACAATTCATTCAATCATATACAAATTTTGGTACTGTTTTGTAAAAAGGAAATGGCACTTTGTATAGGGTGGGAGCAAAAGAATTAGTCTTAGATCTATGAACTTGAAGTGATGGTGTGTGTTGGTTATTGACTTGTTGTATAACTGAGATCAGCTTGAATTTGATTTTAGCCTTCAAAATGGGTTGGTAAGGAGGACTCGGTGTCAATTATGATCAAGCTGCCGGCTATGGACCAAGGGCAAGTCGGGTAACTCCTAGATGCTTTTTGTGTTGTTTCAAGTTAGAACCCTTTACCAGGATGTTGTCCACATTCTTCTACTTTGGATACATAAACTGAGATTCTTTGCATCTTTATTAAATCTAAATCAACTACTTTTACCGGTTAACATATCCAAAGCATAGCCAAGGACACAACGGGCAGAGGTGGAATATTGGAAATCACCATAGTTGGCATCGTCATGGACAACAAGTTCAGTGACCTATCATCACTACCAATGAATAGGAAAAATTCCTGTACCACTATGGAGGTATTGTTTGAATCTGTCGAATATATAAGCGAGATTTATTTAGGAATAGAGGGACTTGAGGGAGTATTAAAAAATATTGCAAATTGATTTTAATTTTGTTTGAAACTTTCTAATATATTCTTACTCAAAACAAAGTAATCTTCAGATATTTTAGTTATGAAAGCTGATATTTTTTTTTTTTTTTTTTTTTTTTTTATGAAAGCTGAATTTGTTATCTACTGGTAATCATATTCTAACTAATATAGTTTGACAAAATTATGAAATTTAGGAATAATTATGAAAATTAGGGATAATTCAAGTGTTCCTGGGATTAATTAGTCATACTCTAACCAATTTTAAGTGATCTTGGGATTAATTCTCATTACTGGTTCTAGTAGCTCTTTCGAGTTTCAATAAATAAATAAATTAATTAATAAATAAAATATTATCAACTGTTAAGCATGGTTGTACAATTTTAAATTATCGACTGTTAAGCTATAGGGCCAAGGTAATTTGTTGAATCATTCTTAAACCAAGTTGTTTTTTTTGCTGATTAATTAATTAATTGATTAATTAAATGTGGGACCTCTTTCTGTTTGGGGTAAGATGATGTAATTATAAAATACTCAAAGTTCTCTTAGATCTGCTTCATTTCATGTCATCCCATGATCCCATACCCTTAAGAGAGTTGAGTGAACCTGAATATAGTCAACATTTATACATTAATATTTTATTTATGGAGAGATGCAGTGCACTTTGAGTATTTTCTTTAGCACAGACACAGCATATCAACTCCAGCTGCTCTTGCTAACCACTTGGCTTTATTTTTATTTATAACCCACTTGCAAGGAGCCTTTATTTTTATTAAATTACAAAGAGGTTAAGACGATAATAGACGTGTTTGGCAAAATTAGATGTTGTAGACCTTATAGTGTACTCCGTAATAAATACTCCGTAGTAGCTAATTGAAGATGCTATATGAAGTATGAAACACATGTTGCTTACAATTATGCAGCAAGTACGTGTATGCACATGCAGTTTGCAGTTCTCGGAATGAAATTATAATTATTCCACTTATTGTGTGAATGTGTGATGCTACTAAATTTTTAGAATTAATTCTCAGGTACTAGTAGTTGATGAATATAATAGTTACAACATTATTGTTTCAGTACAATCAACTTTTACTTGTGTATATATAAATATAATACTAAGTATATCAGGTTAATTGCCAAAGGTAAAAACACAGATTTACCTCAATTCTTAACATCAATCTATAACTGCATTTTCTCAATATGTGTTTCAATGTAGATTTACACTTTACAGCATCTCCTAAACCTGCTAATTCCTCTAATTTCCTTTCATTCACCAAACAAATGAGATACTTTCCCCTACCTACTGATTTACCTGTGTATAAGAGAGACCTTGGAGCTCAACTTCTTACACTCCGTTTGAATCGTAAACAAGATTTTTTTTTTTCTTTCTTACAATAAAAAGTATCACAAAATCGCTTTATTTGGCTGCACTTAAGACTCTACGAACCTCATCGATGATTTCCTGTAAAAGAACTGGTTTTCTGATAACCCCATTTATTCCAACCTGCTTAAACCTCTCCCAGAATTCATCATCATCAGTAGCTGTTAAAGCAATAATCACAGGCCAGCTGCGACTTCTGCTCCTGAGCTTACAGATCTGCGTTGCGACTTCAAACCCATCAAGCTCATTCATATGAAGTTCTAGGAGGACTATTTGGTAATTTGAGCTTGATGGACCGAGTGCACTAAGACACTCAAATCCTGACGACACGGCAGTAACTAAACAACCCAGCTTCTCGAGTAACTTTTTTGTCACAGCCCTGTTGATATCATCATCATCGGCTAATAATACTTGAAGGCCCTTTAAACTAAAGTTGGAGGCGTTATCTGATGATGGTTCTCCTGATTCAGAGATCGTTATTCCAATGGAAGGTCGTAACTGGAAACGTAGGACCAGTGCCATACTTTGAGGAAACCCCTGAGGATTTGGGACTACCCAAATATTTCCTTGCATCAACTGTCAAATTGTAACAACAGTCAGAAATTCAATGAAATCAAATAATTTTCCGGATTCAAGAGTTTTTGGTATATTGCTGTATTTTATGTAAGCACTATGTGACAATATCAACAGAACAAATTACTCAGAACCTATTCTCAGGAATAATTATAATTTCCAACCAAAAAGGCATAAGAATTAGCACAAAGAATCTCCAATTGAAAGCAATAGATTGATTAAGCCATCTCAGCCTCAGAAAGCATACCCCTTTTAGATAATTACAGGAAAGTGGGCCCCTTTTCCCTGCTAAGACACCACACTACACTTCCACAAATCCAGAAAAGAAAAGAAAAATAAAGGATATAATAATACAGATCTCCAGCAAGAATCTATTGTTCCAGAAATATATTAATATTACAAGTACATCAATTCACTAAAGATCTATCTTCTTGTGGCATCTTGAATTCTTTACTGCTTATGATTAAGATACGTTTGTTTATAACCCTTATACTAATAAATTATGTCGAATTACATCGTTAAGCACCTATGAGGTCAAACAACTCTCCAAATTTGTAACAGATATATATTCCTTACAATGTACTCCCTCCATCAAAATAAAATGTTACTTCTTACTTCCCAAGGAGCTGCTTAGGTGAACTATAAGAAGTAGCATTGAATGACATAGCGATTTGAGGAAATTATGAACAAAATCATGCAATGAAAAGGAAAGTGAGCATATATTGGGAGGGTTCAAATTCTAAGGCATTGATATTGGGTTGGACGGGTGATACATAGCACCACGCTGCAATAGCTACTTGTTCAACTAATGTTTGCAAATGTTTTGGGTGGGTGCAAAGTGGAAATATAAACAAACTGAATTTAAAAGATATAGTTCCTCTAACCTGAACTAGCTTCTGGCAAACGCTGAAACTCAAGTCGCGATCCACAATCTCATTACTGCATCTTGGACCACTGTAGTTTGAGGCCAAGGCTGAATCGTCTGTAAAGATAGCAGTATTGGTAATCTCAACTTCAAATCGGATATAAACATTTCCATCAGAAGAGCCTGATCGCCAGGTTGCCCATCTTTGATCATTCCTCCCTTGACTTCCATGTTGAGAGTACACCCGGAGAACCATAGACCCACCACCGGTGTTGTTCTCCACCAAGTTACCTACCATATGCAAGATCACCTGAAATACCCTTTTTTCGTCACCCAATACATTATCAGGTATAGTCCTATCAACTTCAATACTAAAGCCAAAACCATTTTGAGCGCACAAGCATTTAGCAAAACAACCAGCTTCAGTTACTAAGGCATGGAGCCCAAATGATCTGAATTCAGATGGAAATCTCCCACTCTCTTTTGGTGAATCGTCCATTACATCATTAATCAAAAGCGAAAGGACATTGCCAGTTTTCATCATTGTATCAACAATTAGTTTCTGTTCACTGCTTAATTTCTCGTCTTTCAGTACTGAAAGCAGCCCGAGGACTGAGTGCATTGGCTTTCTCATCCCATGGCTCATCACTCTCTGAAATGAGTTCCTTGCTTGACTTGCCATCAATGCATTTCGCTGTGCCTGTTGCAGTGCACGATTCTGCTCGGCCAATTGATCTCTCATGAGCTGTGATTCCTCTAGGATGGCAGCATGAGAGATAGCCACAGCAACTTGATCAGCAACCACCTTGATAATCTCAAGCTCAGGATTGGTCCATGACCTCTCTTGGCCACATGGAAGAACCAGGACTAATATAGCATAGCAAGCCTGCATCAACTCAGGAGTTCCTCCTTTAAAATTTGAGACCTTGAGCATTGGCATACGTATTGCAGCGACAGCACCAAAATGTTCCAATCCTCCACTGCTGGCAACAGCAAGGGCTGAATCTGGTCTGAGTATCTGGACCTCATCTCTCTCCTTAATCTTTCTGACATCAGGGTCAGCATAGGGCACTCTGCAGTGGCTGAAACTCTGAAAATTCCTCCCTTTCAATCCATGAGTCAAAATGACCTCAGTCCTATTCTCATTAGGCATCCAAACAGCACAAGTCTGCAAATCCAAGGTCTTAGACAGCTCAACCATGGTAGTATGCAAGATAGTATGCCTATCCAAAGACTTTCGAATTTCGTGAGTAAGCATCCTAACATGCCATCCAGCCTCACTTTGTCTCTTAATCATACCAACCTCCCTACCCAAATCCCAAGTCTTCTTCTTCAACATAAATTCTCTGACCTTGACTTTGAGAAGCAAAGGGATGAGGGTGATAAGGGTAATGGCAGTAGCACAAGAGACAAGAGCAGTTAAAAACTTAAAAGTGGTGAGCGCGACGGCGAGTTGAAAGGCATGAGGACCATAAGTCCAACCATTAAGCAAATGGGTCATACCACAAAGAACAATGAAGGCTATGAATTGGAACAGAACCCACTTAAAAGGAACATTTGAGCAGCTAACAAAATAAAGGAGCTCAATTGGGATACTAAAATAGGCAACAGCAATCAAGAAATCACTCACCCTTTGACATTCTAGAATGCTCTCAACACTCCATAGCCCCTCATCCTCACAATTGCATCTTGGGTAACCATTCTCATTGGCCGAAGCACAAACAACCACAAGAGAAATCAACAGAGACACCCTCAACAACATTTTTAATTTTTAATAATTAATTATCAATATCAATTAAGGATTAATGACTATGAATAAGCCCTCAAATGTAGTTGTATGCAAGATTCAAGTTTCCAGCTTCCAACTCCATAACCTGAGCAATCAAAATACATTAACAATTAGATTATGAAATTAGGAATGAACCCTTTTCCATTATTAATATCATTGTTGCTATTCCTCCACTTACTTTATCTAAATAAATAAAGAACCCCACCATTTTTATGTTCCATTCCAAATCTTCAAATCTCATACAAGTATGATATTCAATAAAAAAACATTAAAAAGTAAAAAATAAAAAACCCACCTTGGAATCTTGAAGAGAAACCCCAGAATCTGAATTAATTTATACAACCGGCGGAATCCTGGTGTAGTTGATTGGATCTTTCTTTCTCCTCTTGTATAGCAGCTGCTACTGTTGTTGTTGTTGCAAGAATTTGGTAGTCTAAAATGAGAACAAGAATAAAAGCATGAACACCCCAATTAATGAATTGATTAAGACTTCATTACCAAAACTAGGATTATAATTGCAAAGAATTGTTTCAGCCCACCTTGCAACGCAAAAAGCGGTGTTCATATTCCAAGAATTGACATGGAAGAAAACTGGTAAGAAAGACGAAAGAGAGAGTCCAATTGTTAGTGTAACAGAAAAACGTAAATTTTGATTTGGAGGGTGGAAGTCGGGCAGATGTCAGCGCCGTTGTTTAAGAACAGCGGTAATTAAATTAGTGAACAGCGTGGGGTCATGTTCTTTCTATATGTTACGATTAAGAGAATTTGGACACTTGAATCCTTCCCCCCTAAAAAATATGATAAGAACTTGGACACTTTTGCCTGTAAACGTATTTTTCATTTTAGGAAAGTATTTATTACTAGTTTACTCCTACTTGCATTTTTCATTTTTTGAGAGTCTAGACTAGGGGTGCTGATCGAGCGAGTTGATTATGAGCAGAGGGTTGCTCGACTCCTACTCGGTAAGTTTCGAGTTGAGTCGAGTTGATTATGAACTACTCGTTTAATTTAAAGGTTTAATTTTTTTGAATTTCAAACATTTGTTATTCTCTTTATATAATTTTTTTTCAATTAAAGCGTAGCAATTTAAATTTATTAAGTGTCAAGGTAACTTTTTGTTTTTATAGATTAAAGAACATAATAATATTGAATTTCTTGTACACTTATCGAGTTTCGAGCTGATTAGAGTGAGCATGAAACAACTCGAGTCGAGTTTGAGTTGCTCTCGAGCTGCTCAACTCGATTAGCACCCTTATTCCAAACCTCTAAAATTTAAATACTTAGATTTTAATTGTCGGATTTCTTCTTCTTTTTTTTTCTTTGTTTTTTTTTTTTTTTTTTTTTTTGAGAGCTACAAGGGTTGGTGATGAGAATCGATTTCAAGATCTCTTAAAATCGGGAGGAAAACTCTAACAACTTATGCCTAATTCTCTTATGTCAATTTTTGGAATTTTATATGTAGTGGTTGGGTGAGTTTACATTAAAAACGAATTCACCCATTACTTTTTTTTTTCTTTCATTATAACTATGTAGTTTTAAAATTAAATGTTTTTTTTTTTTTGTCTCAATTCTTGTACAAATAGTAAATGTTGAAAATATTATACAGAAACTAGCATTTTGTACAAAGTTGTTTTTCCTGTCAGGTTATCGGATTAAGCACTTTGAAAGTGAGGGGAAGGGTAAGGAAGAAAGGGTAAGAAAATCATCACCTTCAAAGTATCTCTAGTGAAATTTGATCCCACAACCTCTTAATTGTGAGATACGAAGTATAAACTTTACCATTAAACTTAACTTGGTATACGGAGTATGTTGAAAATAGGGGGTAGGGGAGGGTGAGAGGGTATAATAACAAATCCAAATCCAATTCAAATTCCAATTCCATTAAAGTGTGTTAATTGATACAGTTACGTAAGATGTTCATGTTGTTTGTACATCCGGTGGTGTAAGTGTGTAACATTCATTGAATATGAATATGAATATTGACCGCTGACTGTACTCATACAGCCTTTTGTACTGAAGCCGAGATATTATCTGGTAAGGTGTAGTCCATTGTTAGCATTTTGTAGCCCTTTACTTGAGATTTCATCCCTGCACTTTGATTCCTCTTTTATCAGGGCCCACACCCACAGCCCCACAGCCCCACTAGTCAAGTCTCAAGTAGTCAAGTCCCATATTTTTCCTTTTCTTTTTTGGAAAGTGAATGGAGAAGAAGGAAAAGAATTTGTTCCTGCTTCTCCCACTTTACTCTTTCTAGGAATATCCAAAATTTCTTCACTTACAAATTATACTCTTCATTTTTTTAATAATTGAAATACTTTTTTTTTTTTTAATTTATATATCCATTTTATAATATTTGATATACTTCTTAATTTGATAAAGAAACACTATAAATTTGTCCCATTAATCTTACATGTATAAATATTTTACGGTCTTATCACTATATACCATTAAGTAATTCGTTTATTCACCATCTTATTCATAAATCAATAAAAAAATTCAAATTCACCATATGTTCATGAGTTTGATAAAAATGTCACAATGTACCCAAAAGCTAATTAAGCTAAGTGATAGCATAAGATTGGATTTCTTTTAAATTATTTACTTTTAAAAATAATTATTAAAAAAATAAAAAATAAAAAACCCATATCCACCACTCCTCAGCCAGCCAGCCAGCCACCCACCCTCCCTCCCTGCTCGGACCTTAGCATGCATTCCCCTTGAACCCCCACGCCGATGCCCAACCCCATCCTTGAAGTCCTGAACCATCCTTACCCTAAAACCTCCCCTCCCCTCAAAAAATCTCTCTAAACACCTACCGACGCCCAAACCCCCTCCCCCGAGTCAACAAATCCAGGCCAATTCACCCTTTCCCCCTACCGTTTGCTCCCCCTACCCCCCAAACCATCACTCCAAAACCCTAAAAACCAAAATTTAGGGTTTCAAGTCAATCAATTTGCATAAATTAAAACTATATGACAAGTTAAAGTGTAATATTTTTTTTTAAATGAAGGGATGGAGTATTGGTTAAAATTTTGCATTGGCAGATATGCTGATTAATCTTGGACACTAAAAAATCACTTAGAGAATATTGTGATGCATCTTTAAAATAAGAATTATTTTTCAATTGCTGTAATAAAATTTTAACCATGGTAACTATCAAGGGAGAATCTTCATTAGGGTTATGCTTTTTATTAGGGCTACAATTTTTTTTTACGTAGTAGTATTTTTATTGAATCAATTCAAACGTTTTTAACCCAATGGTATGTTCTTAATGGGTAAAATCTTTGAGTTTGTGAATCCCCTAGTAAGCAACAACTAGAGTAGTTGGTGTGTAATAAAAATGGAAGGAGGGACAACCGGCAGGGCATTTTAAATTGTTAAGACGAGACATTGAAGACACACTCCCACTCCCACTCCTTCCGACTCTTACTCTTCTTTGGCCAATGTCAAGCACATGCAGCTCACCGACCCACCTTATGATCGATCTCTTAGCTTCGTATTCCCCTTCATAAGAGCAATACTATATATTTACCACATGACTTTGTACAATTAAGTCCACTATTTAGTATATAACTTATTAACGTGTGACGGGTACATAGTAAAACAATAAAAATTACTATCCGATCCCTAAATAGGTATCTCTTAAGAATAAATGTGCTGAAAACTTGTAAAGGATAGAGTAAATGACTATTATTCCATAAAATATTGACAATGTAATAAAAAAAAAAAGTATGTACATATAGTATTAGAGAACGCTTATGACTTATACAATCATATGTACATACAAAAAGACAAGAAGTATTAAAAGTGTACACAACATTAGATACATATATATACTATGACAGCCATGTAATTACATTTATAATAAGATACAAAATATGTGGTAATTTCGTTGAAGTGATTCATAAACCACTTAATTAAAATGTCTTTTTTGTTGAAATTAAACTAACTAGTCTAATTGTTTTTTCCAAACACATGACGCTATTTGACTTGTAACTTGTAAGCACTAAAAAGCCATGAACCTTTATTTATTTTTTCTCTCAAATCCAATATATAGCTAAGATCATGTCCATAACTCTCGTAGTAGTACATTAAGCTTAATTTTTAATGAGAATTTAATCACTTAAATTTGTATCTTGCATTGATCCATATGTAAATAAGAAAATAAATAGATTATACTCTTCTATATATAAAGTACAAGAGAGAAAATTAATAATTAATTAAGTGCAATTGCCAAATACCTCACTTAATAAATTAATTTAACAATATATATATACTAAAATGGAGCTGATATAATCATCAACTTAATTAATTAATTAAAGAGCATGGAAAAGCAGTATATATGTTATATGTACATCTTCACTTAAGCTAGTATCAAAATACCTTAAATTAAACAACAACAACATTGATATAATTAAGTTTAATAAGCCGTAAAATACTTTGTAATTATTTCCACACAACATAACATTGGTATAATATTATGTTCATCTTCATTAGTATATATAATTGTATATATAAACTACTAGTACAATATTATGGATCATACCCTAAACGAAGCTCCAAATCGATGTCATTATATTCATCTTCTTTCTTCTTGTTCTTTTCTTTAAGTTGTTGTTGATGATATTGATCAATGTTGGTTGAGCTGATCCTCAAACTTAAATCAGCACCCAAATGATCCTCATACACCCCAAAAAGTCGAGTTGTACTACGTCTATTAATAAAATGATTATGATTTGGATGTGTTGACGAAAATATGTTAGGGTTATTAGGAAAAGGGTAGTACCCTTGACGAAAGGAAGAAGATGAGTAGGTCGATATAGGCTCCATAGTTGTTGACTTAAAAGAAATCGAAGATGATGAAGAGAAATTATTATAATTAGTGGCTTCTTGTTGTTGTTGTTGTTGTTGTTTAGCTTTGGCTTTGGCTTTATCCTTCCTATGTATGTTCATGTGCCCTCCTAAAGCTTGAGCATTGGTGAACCCTCTCTTGCAATAGTTGCACTCGTACGTCCTTCCTACACCGGTGTTGTCGTTTTCGCTATCGCTCTCTTTGTCCGTTGATCCATCATCAACCTCCATCTCTTTACTCCATCTCTTTGAATTCCCATACTTCTCCATTTTCTTTTTTCGATTCGATTCGATTATATAATTGTATATGTATTTCTTCAACTCAAACACTTATGTTTAGTCTTTAGTGAGTAACTAAGATGTCATAAAGGATTTGAGGAAATGGGTTGTGTGAATTTTTTGTTTGTTGAGAGCTTTATTTATTCATGGAAACCCTAGCTATGAGAGTTGCACTTTTTCTAAGTTGTAATTAAGTTTAAACTCTCTTATTTAATAGGGGATGGGAGGATGGACCATGCGTTTTATTTGGATTGTAGATACCTAGTTAGGATGTTATTTTTAGTAAGAGTATAAACTACAACATATATATTTGCGTAGTTCCACTTTGATGATGACTAAATTCCAACTCTAAAGGTGACATTATATGCTAATTGTTGGTCTCGTTAAGGAAGTATTTGTAGTCTTCCCTCCAATCCGTCCTTAAATAAAAGTCTCATTTCTAGTTCTAAATAAAAAGTCTTAATTTCCATTTTATCAGTCAAACCCCACTATTATTTTTTTTATTTACTCTATGAGTGTTTTTTTTATTCTTTATACACTTAGAGTTTTATGATCAAGTGGTCAACCCTAAAAAAACATTAACTATAAAAACTCGATTTCATAATAATCATATCACATGTATTCATGTGTGATCTTGTTAGTTTCGGATTGAGATATATTTTCAATTTTTGAATTTTTATTCATATCTTTTTTTAATATAATCGTTGTGTAAGATAAAAAGTATTTTATGTACAACTTGTACAAGTAATAAGCTCATACATATCCTAGTATAGCTAAAGGAAGTAAGACAAAAAAATGATGGAGGAGCCGTAATATGGCATATGGTTAATTTGTAAACAAGTCGAGGTTATAGAATAGATAGTAAAAAAAAGGGAAAAAATTCTAAAAAAAGGGAGTAGTAAAGCAAAGAGTTATAATAAATGAAGATGGTGATGGATCAAAAGTGATAGGGAACTAATTAACGTACCAAATATAATTAGCAAGCTAAGGCGTGCAGTAGTCCTAAGTCTTTATATACATAAATGAGTTACTGATGGGTATATCAAACTAATCAAAGTAAATTTTGTGGCGTCAATTTGTGAGAAAAATATCACTTGTAATTAATTCAACTAGCTAAGTAGTGGCGTATCTCATTAATTAATTATAATGTTATAGCATGCATGTGACTACTATCTAGCTACTACGTAGTTTTTACCATTTTAAAAGATCTACTAATGACTCCATTAAGAATTTATCTCAAGTGATGAGTCGGTTGTTTGCAATTCATTCTAATATAAAGAATTTTATTATGGAAAAGTTTTTGCAACTCACTCGTCCATTATTCTTTGCATCATCTTATGAATTGAAACAATTGTATGTCTCGCTAGCTCTCTATATCAATTAACTCACGATATATATAAAGTCATATAATGTTATTTGGAATCATATTATATATAACCACCGGTTGGTCACATATATAAAATCTTGAAGTGACCTTAAGAAGAAGAGAAGTCGAAAATTTTAATGTGAGGAGGTTGTTATACTCTATTTTTTTAAATAGATGTATCAGTTTTAAAATCACGGAATTTTAGGTAATTTTCGAAGATAAAAGGAATACATGGAAAAGAGCGAAAAGAGACCATGTAATATAAGAGAGATAGAGAGAAAGAAAGAAGAGTACCCAGATAATACTCTGTATGAGAGAGATAAATAAGTTTATTAATCAAAAGGGTAGTGATGCATCTGAAATAAATTAAAACTTCCATATGAATCTAACAAAAAAATAGTGGAAATAATACGAGTACTGTATTAAATAAAATAGTATTCCTTATTGTATTTTCTACTTTTTTTAGCCATTGGACTATTATAAGTCAACTTTTACCATATATTTTTTGAGAAGCAACGTTGACCATATTTTTAACTCATTTAATAATTCAGCACATTATAATTATTTTGTTATAACTTCAAATAATTCTAAATTTCTAATAATTACTAAAATTAGTGGTCAAAGTGCAGTGTTATGAGGTGCCTAAAGGAGCAGTGAAATGCCTAAAGCAAAACTCATAGTAATGCACCTACACTAGCTAGTTTAAGCATCTGATACGCAGTATATACCTTAGGGAAATAGGGACCTTTTTTTTTTTTGAATGGTACTAATTAGGAGTCTTATATTTTTTTTTGAAAACCATTAAGAGTCTTATATAATTAAATTTAACATGCACTCCTAATTAATTATCTCGTTGCTATTACGTAGACATATAAATTAGGATATCATTTTTGTGACTAGGCCTGTTCATATTTACTGAACTGAGATGAATTGAGCCGAACTAAATTGAATTGAGCTGAAATGAATATTTTATGAGAGAAGAAAATTAATTAGGAACTGAACTGAACTGAACTGAAATTAAGCTGAAGTGAACAGACTTTGATTTGTATGCTTAACAATCATGTGTTGTGAATTATAATGAGCTTAATTACTATATGCAATTGTTAAATTTTGGGGAAAATATTTTATTTCTATGTTTTTCTCATTATTGATTGTATATTTCCATTCATAATATTCAGGCACATCAACCCTAATATTTCTAAATATTTTAACTTCCTAAATACATTATAATAGCTCACATTTAATTTATTTTTTCACAAGATATGCTCCTAAATATTATCACAATATAACATCACAATAACATCTTTATATTTCATCCTTCTTAATATATACTAGACTCCTAGTATTACAATACTATTTGATTGATATTATATTATTATTATCATAATATTATATCACAATATATATTTATAACTCAATAGCAATCGAGCTAATATGAATGTGTACATGAGATTGATACCTTCAAAGCATTAACTATCCGTTTGATGCCCTAATGTTTTTTTTGGTTACTTAGGGCCTGTTTTGATTTGCTAAACTGAATTGAACTGAAATGTTTATAAGAGAAGAAAATTAGGAATTAAACTGAACTTAAATTAAGTTGAAGAGGATATTACTTTAAGCTTCCTTAAATTAGGGTTAGCCTAGCTAGCTAGTAGCTTCCAACATCTCTAGAGAATATTACTTTAAGCTTCCTTTTCACACTTGCTTTTCTTTCTCACTGCATATACCCTTTGATTATTTTTTTAATTATTTATTTATTTTTTGACAGGATATACTAATTCAATTATACCTCGAAAGAAATGTTTTTATTTCTCATATAAAATGTAATGCAAAATAGAAGGTGGGGCGTTAGTTGATTAAATAGTCGTAAACTTAATGATTAATAATCACCTAATGTTTTAAATACCATCAATGTTCTTACAACAAATTTATTTCTCTCACCCGCTAGATAGGCTTCATTCACTACTTGATTCTATTAAGTTCTTCATTACCCACTTTCCTCAAACCTTTAATTCATTATTCCTTTGTTTCACACGCTGTATTTTCTTTATACCTGGCCTATTGATATTTTAAAAAGAAAAAAAATCATGTAAAATAATGATATTGTGTCATTTACTTTAAACTTTTTTTTTTTGAATAAGTTTTTACTTAATAGAGTAATATTTACAGATACATATTAATGATTAAAAACATGAGTTAACAAGTGCGTTTATAGAATTGAATCACATGCATCGTACATGAGACGTTTCAGTGAGGCCATATATAATATGTGATTGTTACAAAAAAAATAAAACAAAAAATGCAGCAACAACGACCCAAGAAGTTCTATACTCATAAAAGAGACGAAATAGTTGGGCCAAGTCCAAACAAATTTACGTGCATTAACATATAGTTGCATGACACAGTACGTACTATGTAGTAGCTTAGGTAGCTAGGCAAATAGCATAAACTTTACAAGTGAGAAGGACAAAGTAATTAAAATATTCCGACTAGTATATTTTTGTAATTATGTGAATAATGTCTTGATTAAGTACCTCCCCAACGTTAGTTGCTACATATGAATAAGAAAAGGCTTGTCTGAATTCTCTAGTGCTTCACTTTACAAATTACTTGCCATTATTCTTTATAAGGAAACTCCATCATTACATTTCACACTCATTTACAGCTTGTTGGGAACGTGCAATCCTTCAGAATTTTGGGAACCTCAACTATTTTATTCATCCATACATATACGAGTTCCTAAAACGAACATCTATACAACACACATATACTCCCTCCGTCCGTATACGACTATACATATATTAATTATAGCGAATAATAACGTCAATATACGTAAGGAATTCTCTAATCTGTATGTCAAATAAATGAGAATCTACATATAACACTATATATTTTTAGTGTATGTAGTGTTTACAATTCAATACACTCAAGTATACACTCTCTATTACATAATACTTGGACGACTATGTAGAGTTTTACTCTATTTTCACATTCAATCTTCTTTATTTGTTCAATTTTGTGAGTTAAGAGTGGCGAAAAATATTGTCACATAGGAACTAATTAAGTAGATTGATTTTGATATATTATTCAAAATCTAAATGTTTTATAATTAGTTCATCATTAGTTAAAAAGATTTTCTCATATATATGCTACATCACTTGTAATTTTAATAGAATTAAGAAAGATGAGATATTCATTTTGAGATGAGGAGCTGATCGAGCGAGGTTGATTACTTGAATACTATGATTTTTGGGGGAAAATGTTGTAGCTTAGCTAGCTCCATATGTTCATACATACATTGGAAAAATTAAATTAAAAAAGAGCAAAAGAAAATTAGTGCAATATTAATAATAAAATAAAGGCAAATAAGAAAAGGAACAATTAACCAAGGCCATATCTATAAGTTCAGTTCAGTGCAGTGCCCTAATTAATAAAATTAGACGACGAACTTAAAAATAAATGATAAACATATAGCTAATTAAGCTAGTAGTTGTAACCAAGACGAAGTTCTAAATCCAAATCCTTGTTGAAGACAGGAGCATCGGCAGCATGATGATGAATATTCATCTCTAAATCCAACCTTAAGTTGATATTATTATTAGTAGTAGTACTAGTAGGAATAGGAGGTCTCACCAAATTGTTTTGCTTCTTAAAATACTGAAACTGCCTTTTAGTAATAACATCATTATGAATGGACTTATTTGGTGGTGGTGGTGGTGGTGGTGATGGTGGTGGGGGAACGGTGGTTATCATCGAAGGAGGTGATAATGATGATGAAGACGACGAACAAGTGTCTAAATGCAAGGGAGGTTGGATAGGGGGGATGTTAGGGGTACAAGTAGTACAAGGATGAGGAGGAAGATTTAGATTAATACTAAAAGTAGAATTATTATTATTATTATTAGGGTTATTAGTATTAAGAAGGGATAGTTGCCTTAACTTAGCTCTATCCCTTCTATGGACATTCATATGTCCTCCTAGAGCTTGTGCAGATCTAAACTCCCTCTTGCAAAAACTGCATCTGTATGACCTTGGTGGCCATGTCGCCGCCATCATCATCGTCATCATCCTCCTCCTCTCTTCGCCTTTTTCATCTTCATCTTCATCTTCATCTTCGCTTGCATATAAGCCGCTACTATTAATGTTGTTTCTTCTTTCCATTATATTTTTGTATGTACTTTGGTGGAGTTTGATAGCTAAGAGATGTGGGTGTTATATATCAAGTGAAGAAACTAAGATAGTGTAATGCACTTGTATATAAAGTGAACAAGTAAACTAAGCTAAGCTTACTTAAAGTGAAACATTGGTTTTTGTTACTTGAATTTTATCCCTTTTAACTCTTTCCAAATCAAGGAATTCATTCAAATCCACTGGATGTTCTTCCTCCCCCTTCTATCCCTTTTCAATTTTTTTTTATATCTGTCTAATTTTCATCATTTCAAAAAATAACCTCAATCAATTCAATATTATTGCTACTCCCTTCTTTTTTCCATTCATTTGGTTGACCACTACTTTGACTGCAAAAAATAATTAACTACTTACTCTCTATAGTTCATTGGACATCATTATTTTATTTAGATGCTTGGAAAACTATGTATATTGATTCACAAGTGTTGTTGAGATGATCAGAAAATTATACTGTTGATTTTGATTCGTATATGGAACTTAATTTATCCCTCTAATTTTTTAATTGCCCTAATTGACCAACACACTTGTCATCGCACAACTTTATCTAATGATATATTTAATTATCCGTATGTATAAATTATAAATAGTTGATATCTGAAAATAATAATTTGAGACAATTGTAACAAGTATTCATTGATTGTAATTTATCTAACATATAAAGTACAAACATTGATCAAACCGGTGCATGTAAATAGTGTTAAAGTCAAACTGAAACACTTAAATAAAAACAGAAGGAGTAAGTTTACTATGAGCATCTTTTTAATAAAATGATAATGTTGATATTCTAGAGTCGTAGTACTCATACAATAAAACGAACTCATCAAACCTCTTATTACACACTAATTTACATGAAAGTAAAAACAAGTACTACCTCCATTTCATATCATTTGCAACGGTTAGATATTTTTTCTCTCTACTTCATATCAAATCGGAAATAATATGAAACAAAGGTAGTAATTATAGAGAAATAGAAAGGTTGCATGAGAAGTAGTCAACAACCGTCACATTTAGGATGGAAGGAAGAATTGTAAGACCAAACAGAAAAAGTAAAAAGAAGTTGGGATTGAGTAGTGTAGTCACTCCATAGTGAATAAATGAGACAATGAAATTACCTAAAACAAAATAAAAATAGAGAAAAAGAGATGATAGAATATGGATAGAGAAAAGATACTTACCAAACATACATGAGATTTTGTTGAATAACTGTTGGCCAATTCAGTGAGCCCATTTACCAATAGCCCATTTCTAAAAATGGGCCTCCATTTTGTAAGGGCTCATCAGCCGATATTGCAGAATTACCTGCAGTGTAACACGATGCCGTTTGTTTTACTCTCAATACTTTTAACTGACTTCTCTATCTCTTAATTTTATGTGTTTTGCTTTTACAAGTAGGTTGAGTTGTTATGATAGCCTATACAAGTATATATGCTAAAAATGGAGGTTTGATTAAGAGACATAAAAAAGAGGTTAATTAGTGAGTAGGAAATGTGGTAAAAACTGAAAAGGATGAGTCAGAAGTCAGAATATATAGTGGAATAGGGTGAATGATTTCAATGATTCTAAACTCTGTAGGTCGGCTATGGGAATCAACCCTTGGATATTTTGCATGGCTTCATGTCTTTCTCATTTACTCTGTATTTATTTAACTCAAGCCCTTGTTCTGATTGACTGAGCTGAGCTAAGCTAAGCTGAAATGAACTGAACTGAAATGAACTTATTGGAGCTGAATTGTACTGAATATTTTATGAGAGAAGGAAATTAAGAACTGAACTGAACTTATTGAAACTAAACTGAACTGAATTGAACTGAAAATAATCTGAATAGAACAAGCCCTCAAACTCCTCTCATTTTTTTATTTTATTGTACAACTACATGATATTAGACTTGGTTATTGGACGGGTTGGGTTAGGATGGTGCAAGTCAAATCACAAAAGGGTCATGTTTAATAGGGTTAATAGAGGGTCAAGCCGATGCAGGTTGCAAGTCAATAATGGACAGGCTAAAAAAAACTATCAATTAAAATAACTATTGGACAAAGCCATAATTAATTACTTATGAGTACGAAAATATGCATGTTATTTCGAACAAATACTTTGGCCATTAACCCTACCCAAAAGGGCTTGTCTGTTACAGAAATACACCCCCCGTCTATTAAGGGACCTATCTATAAAGCTTGGCCCTAAACTTGTTATTATTGGACTACCCTATCCAATAATTAGGTCTACATGATATGTTTTTAATTACCAAGTCCAAGCAGCGGTTTACTATGCATTGGTTTTTAACATTTTCCGATCCTTAATATTTTCATGTGTGCATGACATCACATAATTTAGGGTTCAAAGTTCTAAGTTAGGGTAAAGGGTAGTATTTAAAAGTTCAAAGTTCAAACCAGAATCTAGTTTAGTAACATCACATATTTTAGGGTTCAAAGTTCAATTCAAGTATTTAAATGCGTATTGATAAACGGGTCTGGGCCACATCCGTTACAACAATCCACTTTATACGACTAAGACCCCGTTCTTTAGAGCTGCTTTGCTCTTGAAATCTGCTTTGCTCTGCTAAAATATGCTCTGCTCTGCTTCAATCTGCTCTGCTCTGCTCTGTCCTACTCGCTCTACTTAAAATTAATACTTAATATTGAATTATTATAATAATAATTAATATTTAATATTTAATAAGAATAATAATAAATAATTAATATTTAATAATAATAATACTTAATACTTAATAACAATAATAATAACAATAATTAATTATTGATATTCAATAAAAAAATAATAATAATTAATTATTAATATTTAATAATAATAGTAATAAATTAATAATAATAATAATAATAATAATAATAATAATAATAATTAATATTTAATAATAATAATAATAGTAATTATACTAATATTAATAATAATACTTATAACTAATAATATTAATTATAATAACAATAATTGATTTTTATAATAACAATTAATATTAAGATAATAACTAATATTTAAAGATAATACTAATTATTAATTTTTAATAATAATAATAATTAAATAATATTTAATAACAATAATAATAATAATAATAATAATAATAATAATAATAATAATAATAATAATAATAATAATAATAATCTGCTCGGCTCTGCTGAAATCTGCTCTGCCCAGAAGCTCAAAAGAACAGGGCCTAAGGAGGTTTCACCTTATAAAGTGGAAGTGGACACAACTTCCTTATTTCTTTAATGTGTGATACACATTCCAATACAAACTCCCACTTATAAAGTCAATCAATATGGGACAACACACCACTCACATGTGAGTTTTCTCGTGGGCTCAACACGTATGCTCATGAATATATTGAACTTCCAGCAAAACTACATTCTATAGTTCTATACATATACCTAATTAGTTAGAACAACAAATAATATCAATTAGATAAAAGACAAGTGATATTGTAAAGTTAGGGTAAAGGACTAGAAGGCTGGATTGCTCCATAAACAAAACCTACACTTATAAGATAGAAAAAACTTCCATGGCATATATGGCCGGCTTGGTTGCCTGGCCGGACTCCTATGTTGTTTTAACTATATTTGTCCTTATTTGTTTTTTTTTTTTTATTTTTTTTTTGTTTTTTTTTTAAATCATCCTTATTTGATTTTTAACATTAGATAATTATCCTTAACTACTTAATTGTTAGCGACTTAGCGAGTGAACCACGAGACCATTGATATCGGGCTTGTTTTATAAGATGAAGAAATATCCTCATCTCTCTAAGTCTAGGTAGATAATTATCTTTTGTTTCTCGATTGTTAGCGACTGAGCCATATGCCCATACCATAGATATTTAGCAGTAGATATTTTTCCTTAATAAGATAAAGAAAGTACGGCAAGATACAAAATAATAAGAGTAGACCATTGGTGATTTAAAATAAGAATAAACACATATATAGATTAATAATTATAATTATAATGTTGAGTTAGAGATATAATCTGTCAATCTGAGATATCTTTAATAACGGAAAAATATATATGTGAAATATTTTCCGTATTGATATTATTACGCAATTTAGAATTATTTATGTTAAGATTATATTATTCCGTGAATATATCATTAGCGCATATATGATTATATGAGAGTATATCTTTTACGAAGTAGTAAAATTGTTTAGCTTAGGTTTTGCGTATACACTAACCTCTTGATACGTTGGACATAATAATAAAGTAGGAAAGGTTTGAGAATTCACATGCATCAACTCATTCATCCATACTTTAATTTGTTAGTTTGGTTGTTGTTCTTCTTCACAAGTACTCCGCTCCAAAACCCTCCTTTTTCATCCGTTAAACTTTTGTATAATTATTACTCAAAGTGAGAGTGAGATCGATCGATCGAGTCACAAAATAAAAATCTAAAAAAAAAAAGATTAAGAAGGAATAATAATGGCGATTAATGGAGAATACCCTCTTGATCCCAAGTGTTACGAAATCGTAGGAGAAATAGGAAGCGGAGTTAGTGCTATGGTTTACAAAGCAAAGTGCATTACAAATTCATCCATAGTAGCTATCAAATCCATTGATCTTGATCAATCTCGTTCAGATCTCGACACGATCCGACTCGAAACCAAAACTATGTCCCTTTTATCCCACCCTAACATCCTCCGTGCCCACTGCTCCTTCTCCGTTGGCCGCCGTCTTTGGGTAGTCATGCCCTTTATGTCCGCTGGCTCGTTACAATCAATTATTTCATCTAACTTCGCATCAGGTTTACCTGAGACTTGTATTGCAATTGTGTTAAAAGAAACTCTTAAGGCCTTGTGTTACCTTCATGATCAAGGTCATGTTCATCGAGATGTTAAGGCTGGTAATATACTAGTAGGGTATGATGGTGTTGTTAAATTAGCTGATTTTGGTGTTTCTGCGCCGGTATATGACATCAACTTCGACTCTAGGTTGAAGGAAATCGCCGGGACTCCGTATTGGATGGCTCCTGAAGTTATACACTCACATAACGGTTATGGTGTCAAGGCCGATATTTGGTCCTTTGGTATAACTGCTCTCGAGTTAGCTCATGGTAGGCCTCCGTTGTCACATCTGCCTCCTTCGAAGTCATTGTTGTTTAAGATTACCAAGAGGTTTCGCTTCTCTGATTATGACAGCCATTCGTCCAATCACAATAAGAAATTTTCGAAGGCGTTTAAGGATATGGTGGGGTTGTGTCTTCACCAAGATCCTACCAAGCGACCTACGGCGGATAAGCTGTTAAAGCATGTGTTCTTTAAGAATTCTCACAAGACTTGTGATTTTTTGGTAAAGAATTTATTGGTTGGATTGCCTACTGTTGAGGAAAGGTTTAAGGCGAGTAACAAGATGGTTAGGGTGATGAATTCTTTGTCGTTAGGGAGTAGTAGTACGACTACGAGTACTACTACTCCTACGACGCCTAATACTCCTAATGAGGGGGATGAAACAGGGCTTTTTGAGAGGCAGAGGAGGGTTAGTGGTTGGAATTTTAATTTCGAAGGCTTTCAAATGGATCCAGTTTATCCTGGGGCGGCTCGTCTTAGTAACAACAATGATACTAATAAGGCTTCCTGCAGCAAGGACAAGGAGGAGATGATGTTTAATTCAGCCCTCTCTAAGAGGGTACGTTTTCGTGCTGACTTGGTTATACCTTGCAAGCGCCTTGACTTGGATGTGTTCAGCTCAAGCTCGGCCTCTCCTGCTCTTAGTATTAGTACTCCTACTGAGGAACAAGAGGCTACTCCACTCGGTCAAGTTGAGGGAGCGAGTCATCCAAGTGAGGAGGAGGAGGAGGACGAGGAGGAAAGGGTGGATAGGGAAAGTATGATGTCGGGTTTGGTGGCGTTAAGGGGGAGTTTAGATGAGCAAAGGAAAAATGTCAAGGAGTTAATCACTTTCTTAGGTGGTGATGGAAGTGGAGGAGTGGAGACAACCAAGGAAGAACAACTAATGGAAGTGGTGGATAGGTTGACGAGGGAGTTGGAGCAAGAGCGAAGGAAAAACAAAGAGTTGCTAGCGGAGATGGAATTTCTCAAGGTCATCATCTCTGGAGCAACAACGCCTTAGTCCCAAAATGATTTGAGGCCGGCTATAACATGCAGGAATTAAAATAATTAGTAAATTCAACTCTTCAAGCTTAGCATCAAACAAAAGCTAGCACATGTTTTAATTAGAATGACATTTAAGCATTTAATTTCTCATCATATTCTTGTAATCATTCAATCCAAATTTTGTTCATACATTTTCTTTTATTAAAATTCCTCCCTCGTGTATGACTAATCAGTTTGAAGAATAGTCATATAAATAAAATTTAGTATTGTTTACTGTTTGAATTCAAATGCAGGGTGTATTACATGCATCTCCATAACTTAACTTAATTTAACCTTTAACTCTGTATCATGTAAATTGAACGTTAAAGTAAATTGGAAATTTGAGATGGAAGCAAAGAGTGTATCTGATCATCTTCTTTGAAGTTCTAACACCGGACAAAAAGAAAAAGACTTACGAAAATAAAAACAAGGCATCATGTATATGGCTGCATTTGGGTGAACCCTTTGCATTAACGCCTTACAACGATCAAGTATCCTAAACTTAAGACGAACCAAGACAATAGAGTTGATTTCAAAGTAGTCGAAAGAGGAATACGTGCTTTGTCCTTCCTTAACAGCATGCCCTCAATCACAGGAAGACTAATGATGAACATGTAAAATGAGAAGAATGCTTGAGCAAACAATGTATCCCAACTCTGAGTGACTATTGCTCTTGTAACTCCAACAACAAAGGAGGAAAGATTCAGGTTAACTGCTGTAACAATTGGAACAAGAAACATGTTCGATGTTCTGAAGTCATACTTCCCATTTAGGTACCATTTACTTGTATCATCATCTCCGACTTTATTGGTAAGCATAAAGATTGTCTCCCTAAGCCCCAGCTTTCCCATAACACAGTCTAGAGTACCGTAAACATAAGATGTAAGGTTCTTTATTACCAAAAACCTTTGCGCGTTCAGCCATGAATTTATTGACCCTCCACATAAAAAAGCCTCATATAAAGGCTTCAAATGTGATGATATAAATACAAAGGCAAATGGTATGAAAAATGGGTCTGAAACCTGCATATATCATGAAGCACACACAATGTCAAACAAAGACATAAGGACTCGTAAATTATTGTTACATCACTATACATTAAAGCTACATATATTAGCAAATAATTTGAGAAGTTATCATGTAACATACCTTGGGGTACAAAGGGATGCCATAGAAGAGACAAAGTGGTTGAATGATAGCAAAACACGAATTTGGCAGAAAATCGAAAGGATAATAGACAATCCAGGAATAAACCAACTTCTGAAGGATTGGCATTCTGGTTGAAGTGTTAAAAAGAGGGCAATACTTGGATAGACCAAGTTGAAGAAGGCCTGCAGTCCATCGCGAATGTTGAATTATTGTTTCATTGAGATTAGTAGTGGCAGAACCTAAGAACTGTGGACTTGGTGGATTTAAGTAAACTGACTTCCACCCTTTGCTATGCAATATGTAACCCGTCATCACATCTTCCACCACTGAGTCATATCGAAAACCAACCTGCACATACACATACAAGTAACGTGGAGGTTAACTAGTTGTGTCAATACTGGTAAAAGTTGTACAACATCAGACAAGAAGAAAATGAAATACTTGCCTTTTCACCCCAAAGCGTGTCCTCTTCATAGACACAAGAAGCTAAGAAATGAGCCTCTTGTAGATAATCAGAGGAAAACTTATTGGGATGATTAGGCTCATCAATTTGCCTAACTGATTTGATGAGCAGATTTGAAGAACCAAAAGTATGTCTGAGCTCATTTATGTCATCATTACCTGCATAATTAATGGAAATTAAATGATTCAACTAATTAATACTACGTATGTAATAATTAGAACATGTGCTAGCTTAATTAATTAGGCTCCACCAAAAATTTAATTCCAAAAAAAAAAAAAAAAAAAAAACAGAGGATGTTAAATCAGACACACCAGCTGCAGAGATGTCAAAGGCATACAAGGCCTTCCTGTTGATGTAGAAATTAGTACCAGATAGTAGTGGTCCTTGAAGTCCATCAGTTCCTGGATAGATTATCTAAACCGGCGTCTTTGTTTAGCTTATTCAACTTTACAAGAAATTGACTTAACGTGTACGTGTATGGATATATGTATACTTACCGGCCATGTTGCTCTCATCTGACCATCATAAACGTCTTTTTCATTAACATTATGGAATTTCTGAGGGAATTGAACCCAAGCTATTGACTGATTTATCTTAGGATCGAGGTAAAAACACATAGCTTGCCGAGCTGAATTTGAATCGTTGCAGTACATGTCACAGTCTAGGACCAGTATGTAAGGAGCATTGCTCAATATGCTTGAAACCCTTTGCTGCAAACAGTGCAAAGTAATAAACAAACAAAAAGAAAAACTTGCCAATTAGATTGCTATACGCCCTAAAATGTATGGTAAGTGAATATTATTGAAAGTAGTGTAATTTTACCAGAACATTAAGAGCTCCGGACTTGAAGTGATGGTGATGAGAAGGTCGTTTCTCACGAGCTACATACACAAGGAAGGGCATTTTATTAATGTTTTCCGGGTTTGTTGTTGCAACATTGTCATCATCTCCTACAAAACTCTCATTTATCACCTGCCACACCAACACAACATACATATAAATACAACTATTTTACATGTTATCATGTAACATGGCCTGATATCACAATAGATACTGACATTTGATGTAGAGGATCATTTCAACTTTCAACCAATTAAGCTAAAAAAGACAATGAAAATAACCTGAATAATTGGTGAATGATCTTTAGCACTTCCCTTAGCTTTGTTATCATTAACATCACCTGGTCTTTCCTTCCAGCTGCACACTCGTTCCTCGAATTCCTCATATTTCTCCTGCACGTACAGTCACACACACACTACATTATTAGCTTTAGGTTTTTAGTAAGAACTAAACAAAATAAAAATACTTGAAAAGCAGGAGAAATCAAGAACTAACCTTAAGTAGCTTAAAATCTTGAATAAAACGAGTGTTTTGAGATTGTGGTTGGAAATGTTGTTGGAAAAAAGCTTTAGGAGAAATTGGTAGAACATTATATCTCTTACAAAACGGTAACCACCACGTGGCAAAGACCCAAGCATGTTTCATAGCATCCAAAGTGACAGAAGCACCTCCATCATCAGATACATAAACACTCAATTTATGAGCAGGATAATCCAATGACATAGCAGATATAACTGTATTCATAACATCAAGTGTAGGCTCTTTGACAGGATCAACAGTGCATACAAACACGTCGATTTTGGGCAGTTGTTCATCCACAGGCAGATTCTCAGGAAGGGCGGTCCTAGAGAGAGGACACCAGTAGTAGGATTGCTTAAAGATCCATGAGAAAAAGAAAAGGATTTCAGCAGCAAATATCAGGAGCCATGGGAGCAAAGGCACCACATTATATAAATCGCGGTTTTTATTTGTATGATCATACAAATAAGCAACTCTTAAGTAGAAAATTGGTGCAGTGGCCACAATATGTAAGAAAGCATAACTTCTGTTAAGGAATGCACTTACTTTGTGAACATGCCAATCATGAAGTTTAGACTTTTCCATTTATTTTTTTTAAGGAAATTGAAGTGTTTACTAAGAGAGTGATAACATATATGAGGAGGTTGTGTATTCCGTAAAGGCGGTCTAAATTTATAGTACTGAAATGAATGGATGAATACAGTAGTAGAGAAGGTATTGATGAGAATTACAAGAAGACTAATCTTAGCTTGTAATCTTAATAATTGATATGGTCTAAAAAGGTTGACACTTTATGTTTACAAGTAATCATAAGAAAATATTGTACTAAGTAAAAAATTCTCGTACACTAATTTGGAGAAAGAGATGGAATAAGACAGATAGTAACAAAGTTGGCTAGTTGAGTTACGTTTTACCTCTAAGAAATTAAAGAAAGAGACTGGCTTAAGTAGAGGAGGAGCTATTCATCATTGATTACGTCATAAAACTCAACTCCGATCCAGTGTAGTTGGAGTAAGTTCATGCCAATAATTACTCTTGTCATGAATGACAATAACCTCGTACGTACATTTTGTAGTTGTTGTCTTTGATTATGAGATGACACGAATCGAGAAATTCTAGGACTCTAACCGTTAGAGTCATTTATGACTCTAACCGTTAGAGTCATTTATGACTCTAATATGACTCCGGCACACGTTGGTATTTCACATGATACCAACAACAAATTATATCGATACCAACAAAACAATTTTATGTTCGTTGGTATCAATGAATAAGGTGATTGGTATCATGGTGATACTATCTAAAGTATAATGAAATACTAACATATGTTATGACATTATTTTTTTCAAGTGTTGTAAAAGTGAATGGACGATTATACCCTTGTTAGAGTCATAAATGACTCTAACAGTTAGAGTCTTAGAATTCCTTGACACGAATCACGCGAGGAATTTTTAGAAATTACTGGTAGAAAATAAGGTATGACATATAAATCCAATGCATGCCTCTGAATTGAAATGTCGTCAGTTGTATTTCCAAGTTTGGGTTGTACTTGAACTTGACAGCTAGTTGATTATTTAGCAGTGGCTGAAACCAGTCAGCCAAATCTTCAAGGTTACTAGTGCATCACTGAACAACCTCCACAAATCAACTATTCTAGTTCAACAGCACGTTTCATGTATTCTACCAAAATCATTTGCTTATAAGCTCGAGAAAGTATGGCTAGGTACTTTATTGGTGATTTAAGTGTAAAGATAAACATATATAGATATTATAACGTTAAGTTAATTAAAATTGAATATTATATTGAGTTTTTACAAAAAGGACAATGTTTATGTGACAAAAATTGATACGTTGGACATAATAATGAAGTCTGGAGTAAGAAATTAAAGGTTTGAGAATTTAAATGCAGGGTGACATTGATGCCGGTGCATGGAACTTGGTGGAAGAAGTTGAAAGAGTGACACATATTTGTGCTAGCTAAACTACTTGGCAATCACCTCTAGGGATTGACCATCACCAAACTCAAGTAATCTTTTGTTTGTTTAAAAGCTCCAATAATTCCATGTGTTAGTCAAAAGAGAAACCTTGTCAATGCATTTCTAAAATTTAATTAGTTATATGCTCTTTATTACAAGGAATTTTCAAATGATTCAAATTGGAGATGAAAAAAGGGTTCGAACAAAAGATAAATCTAATGCTTAATTTGAGAAAGAAATGAAGAAGTTTTGATTTTTGAATGTTTGAAGTTGAGCTCTCTAGCCTTGGAGCGTCTGCTCCTGTTGTCGTCGGTTCACGTTTTGACTTAAGTGAGGAGCACCCCCGCTCCTACCCTCTAGAGCGGCCACTCCAACCCCTATATTTTGGACAAACAACTTTGTGCTTTTATTCTTATTTTTGCTAGCTTTAATCTTGGTTTTTCATTTTGTAATAATCCAAGGGGTGTAAAGTTAAGGGTTCTTAAGACTGACTATAGGTGTGTTTATAAAGTCTTTGAATGGAGCTAAGCGCCCAAGCTTGCTTTTGGGAACACCTTTGCTTATTTTCAAACCTTTATGAGAATTTCTCTCTTAATCCATAATCTTGATGATTATTTCAAATCTATGAAGTGTTTTCACCTCTAATCTTTGCTCTACTTTGTGTTAGCCTTGGATTAAACCACATTGCACTAAACTTGGACATACTTCTCCATAACTTAACTTATATACATAGAGGTACAACTGAACTCCCATCCCCCCCAAAAAAAACTTATAACAAAGAGCAGCCTATAGAATCTAACTGATCTCATAGGTACTGTTATTATAAACAAAACCAAGCCCACTAAGTCAAATCACTTGTTATGAAGTACTTATATTTGGTTAAAACCAAAGAGACCAGCTTATTTATTCATGAATTCATGCTTTCTTACGCTAGAAAGTTACTTATTTATAGACATTATCACCGGAGGATGATTAAATCATACACGCAAAGACTAATACAATAGTGAAATTAATTAATTATTACTCAAATTTAAGTTGGCAAAATGATAATGATCCACTTACAACTTTGCCTTATTATCAAGCTTAATTTCGTACATCCGATCCATATCAAAAATTTTGGATCCACTAATGAACACATGACAAAAAAAAAAAAAAAACAAGGACTAAAAAAAAGCCATCATGTATATGGCTACATTTGGGTAAACGAACCCTTTCCATTAATGCCTTACCATGATCAAGTATCCTAAACCCAAGACGAACCAAGACAATAGAGTTGATTTCAAAGTAGTCTGCAGAGGAATACGCGCTTTGTCCTTCCTTAACAGCATGCCCTCAATCACAGGAAGACTGATGATCAACATGTAAAATGAGAAGAATGCTTGAGCAAACAATGTATCCCAACTCTGAGTGACTATCGCTCTTGCAACTCCAACAACAAAGGAGGAAAGATTCAAGGTAACTGCTGTAACAATTGGAACAAGAAACATGTTCGATGTTCTGAAGTCAAACTTCCCATTTAGGTACCATTTACTTGCATCATCATCTCCGGCTTTATTGGTAGGCATAAAGGTTGTCTCGTGAATCCCCAACTTTTCCATAACAAAGTCAAGAGTGCCATAAACATAGCATGTAAGACCCTTTATCACCACAATCCTTTGCTCGTTCAACCATGCATTTACTGAGCCTCCACAAAAAAAGGTCTCATATAGATGCTTTAAATGTGATGCTATGAATACAAAGGCAAATGGTATGAAGAATGGGTCTGAGACCTGCATGTATCAATGGAGCACGCACAATATCAAACACAAAAAAAAAATGGACTCGTAAATTGCTTCATTACTATACAGTAATGAATAACTTGAGAAGTCTAAGTCTATTATGTTATGCTTATAATCATCATGTAACGTACCTTGGGGTACAAAGGTATGCCATAGAAGAAACAAAGTGGTTGAATGATAGCAAAACACGAAATGGGCAGGAAATCAAGAGGGAAAAAGGCAACCCAGGAATAAATCAACCTCTGAAGGATTGGCATTTTGGGTGAAATGTGAAAAAGAGGGCAATACTTGGATAGACCAAGTTGAAGAAGGCCTGTAGTCCATCTACAATATTGAATTAATGTTTCGTTGAGATTAATAGTGGCAGAACCTAAGAACTGTGGCCTTGGTGGATTTAAGTAAACCGACTTCCACCCTTGGCTGTGCAATAGAAAACCCGTCATCACATCTTCTGCCACTGTGTCATATTGAAAACCAACCTGCACATACACGTAACAACCCAGCCTCCGTTGAGATTAATTAGTAGTCTCAACAATGGTAAAAATTATGCAAGATCAGACTTCAAGAAAATGAAATACTTGCCTTTTTACCCCACTCTGTATCCTCTTCGTAGACACAAGTAGCTAAGAATTGAGCCTCTTTTAGAGAATCAGAGGAAAATTTACTTGAATGATTAGGCTCGTTGATTTGGCTAAGAGATTTGATGAGTAGATTTGAAGATCCAAAAGTATGTCTGAGCTCATTTATGTTGTCATTACCTGCATAAATTAATGGTTCAACAAAAATCCGCTCATCAACTCATCTTAATTAGAGCATGTTAATTAATAAAATAATTAATTCATGAGCTAGCTTAATTAATTAGGCTCCACCAAAAAAAATTTTAAAAAATAAAGAAGAAGAAGAGGAGTTAAAAGCAGACACACCAGCTGCAGAGATGTTAAAGCCATACAAGGCCTTCCTGTTGATGTAAAAATTAGTACCAGATAGTATTGGTCCTTGAATTCCATCAGTCCCTGGAAAGATTATCTGAAACATTGCGCGCTTATTAAGCTTAATCGACGTACAACAAATTAATTTAGCGTGTACAAATATTGATATATGTATACTTACAGGCCATATTGCTCTCATCTGACTATCATAAATGTCCTTTTCATTAATGTTATGAAATTTCTGAGGGTATTGAACATAAGCTATTGAACGGTTTATCTCAGGATCAAGATAAAAACACATAGCTTGACGAGCTGAACTTGAATCGTTGCAGTACATGTCACAGTCTAGGAACAGTATGTAAGGAGCATTGCTCAATATGCTGGAAACCCTTTGCTGCAACCCCGGCCCAAACATAGAAACAACGAAAAGAAAAAACTTGCCAATTAGATTTCTATACGCCTATACCCTTTTGCAATATTATCTATGGTCTAAGACGTACGTATGATAAGTATATACTGAAAGTAGCGTAATTTTACCAGAACATTAAGAGCTCCGGCCTTGAAGTGATGGTGATGAGAAGGTCGTTTCTCACGAGCTACATACACAAGGAAGGGCATTTTGATGTTTTCCGGGTTTGTTGTTGCAACATTGTCATCATCTCCTACAAAACTCTCATTTATCACCTGCCACACCAACACAACATACATATAAATACAACTATTATAATTAATTCAACATACTACACATTTACCTGTTATCATATACAGTAAAAATTACAACATTCTTTTGAAATTTAGATGGATAGGAGTAAGCTAATGCCTTAGCTAGTAGTCTAGTACTATCTCTAGCTACGTACATGGATCCAATTTCAGTAAAAATGATTTTAGTTTAGCAAAAGTACGGTGGAGAGAACCGTTGTCTCAATGAAAAGTTTGTGATAAATATCAAATCTCCTACACATATATTAATTAGTAAATCATATCAAAGTAAATTAATACTGACATTAATAACATATCACAAACAATATATTTTCCTTAATTTACCTGATATCTCAACAGATACTGACATTAATAACATATCTTTTTTTTTTTTTGATTAAGAATATGACATATGATAATCGACATTATTGTAACTTTTGTAAAAGCTAAAATGGGCCATGTTAGCACATGAAGTTCAGCCCTCAATAATCATGAAAGAAGAAGAAAATAAGATGATGAAAATAAACCTGAATAATTGGTGGATGATCTTTAGCACTTCCCTTAGCGTTGTTCTCGTTAATACCACCTTGTCTTTCCTTCCAGCTGCGCACTCGTTCCTCGAATTCCTCATACTTCTCCTGCACACACACACACACACACTACATTATTAGATTCAGGTTATGAAATAAAAATAAAACTAAACAAAATAAAAATACTTGAACTTAGCATTAAAAAAAATGTAGCAGGGATGCAGGGGAAATTGAGAAGTAACCTTAAGTAGTTTAGAATCTTGAATAAAATGAGTGTTGTAAGATTGTTGTTGAAAATGTTGCTGAAAATAAGCTTTAGGAGAAATTGGTAGAATATTATATCTCTTACAAAACGGTAACCACCAAGTTGCAAAGACCCAAGCATGTTTCATAGCATCCAAAGTGACAGAAGCACCTCCATCATCAGATACATAAACACTCAATTTATGAACAGGATAATCCAATGACATAGCAGATATAACTGTATTCATAACATTAAATGTAGGCTCTTTGATAGCATCAGCAGTGCATACAAACACGTCGATTTTTGGCAGTTGCTCATCCGCAGGAAGATTCTCAGGGAAGACGGTCCGAGTGAGAGGACACCAGTAGTAGGATTGCTTGAGGATCCATGAGAAAAAGAAAAGGATTTCGGCAGCAGATACCAGAAGCCATGGAAGCAAAGGCACCGCATTATTTGAATGACCAAAAAAATAGATAGCTCTTAAGTAGAAAATGGGTGTAGTAGCCAGGACATGTAATAAGGCATAACTTCTATTAAGGAATGCCCTTACTTTGTGAACATGCCAATCATGAAGTTTAGACTTTTCCATTGTATTTTTACTTGAGGAAATTGAAGTGAGTACTAAGAAAGTGATAAAATATATGAAGAGGTTGTGAGTTCCGTAAAGGCGGTCTTAACTAAGTAGTAGAGCCGTCTATGACAATCACTCTATAAATGGATGAAGGAAAACAGTAGAGAATGAAGGTGCTGAATATGCGGTGAATTGCATGAAGACAAATCTTATTATCTTAATTATTGAGGTGAAAAGATATGGTCTAAAAAGTTTGACACTCTATGTATAATAGCACTCATAAAAAATACTCCCTCCGTCCCTTTATACAATGTCTCTTTCTCTTTATTATGTGAGGAATAAATGCTCAAAAGAGACATTGTATTAAGAGACGGAGGGAGTACTAGAATAAGACAGATACTTCATAGTAATAAAGTTGGCTAGTTGAGTTTTACCTCAGATTAAAAAGAAAGAGACTGGCTTAAGTAGAGGAGGAGCTATTCATCATTGATTACGTAATAAAACTCAACTCCTGAGTAGCTGTTGTCTTTGAAGATGAGATGAGATGAGATGAGATATTTACGACGTGAGTCACGCGAGCTATGACATACAAATCCATGCCAATGCATGCCTCGCTCTATCTGAATTATCAGTTATACGTCCAAGTTTGTATTGTACTTGGATATCTACTGTGATTGATAAATGCATACATACAAAAATACAACATATACTCCATTCCACTCATTATTCAGCCAGCCAGGCAACTCTCAATTTAATATATATATGTGGACCTAATTTTTTTTTTTTTTTAACAATCTAGAAGATTAAAACTGAATCACTGAATATGCCTTAACAGTACAACCCACCAAAACTAGTCAGTCATATGGGGCAGGGTGCTTTGGTAAGCCACCGCCTTGTTTATCAACTATGAAGTATTCTGTTTTAACATCACATGACTTTAACTTTCATTCTACCAAAACCAACTGCTTGTAAGATAGGTATTACATTACCATTCATTATGTACTCTTATATGATATAAAATTGTATTCCGAATTTGAACATCAAGGAGTAAACATAAGGATGGAATGACAGCAAAACACAAAACTGTTGATATATTCTTGTTCCTGCTGAATTCTGCTTCCGTCAACATCCGAGGGCTGGTAATGGTTTACCGTCCAATTGCACACCTACACAGCCAATACAGATTAGCTAGCCCAGAGGTTATCCGGGAATAACTACTCCGATGTTAAAGTCACTACCTTTGTGAGAAGAAAGAGAATGAAGAGAGAGAAAGTGTTTTTAGAGAGAGAGATTCTACCTTTGAAATGGGGATTTGCTTGGGTATTTATAGAGACACAACCAAGCAGGTGCCACCTATAGAGATAGGTGGCACACCAACCTTATAGGCATCAGGTGCCTACGTGGCCCCAAGCAACTCTCCACGTGCCAGAGAGACATGCTACGTGACGAGAAGCAGCTCTCCATGTGGCATAGAGTGATACCGGTAAGGACCATGGTTTTATTTGCCGATTAATGAGGGCTTATACTGCACAACATGCTCTTACCGGCATATCGAGGTTGCTACCGTTATATCCCGTACAACTAGCCCCCCAAGTGAGGACGTTAGTAAAACTAACGTGCTCACTTGCGATGGAACCCTGTGACTTGTTGCGTAAGAGACAAAATGAGAAAATATACGATTTGCCCCCCAAGTGAGCGAATTGCCGATATGCTTTGCTCAATTTAAAACTGAAAAAATCTACGATTTGCCCCCCAAGTGAGCGAATTGCCTATAGGCTTTGCTCAATTTAAAACTGAAAAAATCTACAATTTGCCCCCCAAGTGAGCGAATTGCCGATAGGCTTTGCTCAATTTAAAACTGAAAAAATCTACGATTTGCCCCCTAAGTGAGCGAATTGCCGATAGGCTTTGCTCAATTTAAAACTGAAAAAACCTACGATTTGCCCCCCATGTGAGCGAATTGCCGATAGGCTTTGCTCAATTCTGAAGATACATCTCACAAAGCAATGTGTATTATATGAGAATAGGCTATATACAGAGAAGAGGCATCTCATATACAGATATACTAGTGCTATGTATTCAGGGTTTAAGGTTGCAGCATCTTACATAGAATTCTCGCTTATTATCATCTGGTGCATCAATAGTTTTAAATGATGAAATCTTTAAGAATGCAGCCTTTTATACAAATATGTACGTACACTTGAATATGTAAGTGTTAGAAACCTATACCTTCTTCCAAGCACATCTATTAACATTGTGAATATAGTTGAGTTATAGTTATTATCTCCTTACCTTGTTTCCCCCTTCACTTTTCTTCCAAATAGCACAGTCCATGCAAAAAAATTGAAGTTCAATAATTGACATTTATGACCAAGTGTGAAATGTATGTCATTTCATATAGATTTCAGAAAAAAGGATAGTCACAGATCACAGATGGAATGTGTTGGTGCGAGTGTGAGTAGCGTAGTTAAAAACAAGTAAAAGATAAGGAGAACCTGACGTCGTAAACAAGCAGTGGTGGATCCATCAGATGACGATTGTCACTAGAAACATCACCTCATCTGTTTGCTGCTTCAAAGCCTCATAGTTCTCCTACATGCATATATCAGATATCACTCATCATCGTACAATTATAAACAATAATCAATCTCATATTGGTTATGACTACTTATACATACTGTAAGATGTATGTAATACGTACAATTTAACTACATGCAAGTAACAAACTGTAGGTAGTAAATTTATATGGTGAATCAAGTCCATAAAATTAGTCTGACATCAAGATCATGAACATTCATCACTATTCCTCCTTAAAATAAACGTGTCTTGAGATTTTATGCATCGTACATTAAGGCAGGGTATTCCAAGGACATTGCAGATATAACTCTATTAGTCACGTTGATAACTTAGTAAAGTGGACAAACTTCAAATATAGTACAACTCAATTGTAGCTGTTGTTATACGTCCTTTTCTGTTTGTATTTGTAATCATGAATTTTTAATATTCATCTAACAACATTTTTATTAATGTCACAAACATTTTGATTAAAAATACGCATGTTTTTTTTTTTAAAGGAAAAGCAATTAAATGGGGGATATTCTACTTCAGCAATCCAAACCATGTACTCCTGTCCTTAATCATTTTATTAATCACTAATTTGCCTTTAATTACACCAAACAGAAACATTGACTACATAAAATAGCCGACAATTTTTTTTTTTAATAACTTAAAAAAAATAAGGAACTAATCCTTTTAGGGTAATTAGAAGATAAAATATCCAAAGGTGATGGAAAGCACAACAAAGAAGGAAGATGTTAAAATAGCAGACAATGGAATGCAACCCTTGTCCTGTCTAACTAACATGGCTTCCAACACTGGATAACTGATTATCAACCCATATAATGAGAGAATTCCCTGACCAAACATTTCTACCCAATTACCCACACCAATAACTCTTGCAACTCCTCCCACAAAGCAACACAGGTTTAAGGAGACGGCGCTCACTAACGGAACAAGAAACATGTTTGATGTACTAAAGTCATACTTCCCCATTTCATATAACTTAGCTTTATTGCTGTCCTCAGCTTTATTAGTAGGTATGAAACTTGCCTCTCGAAGCCCGAGTTTCGCCATCACACAATCAGCAACTCCGTAACTAAAGCATGTAAGCGATTTTATTTTCCAAATCCTTTGTTCGTTTAGCCATGTTCTTACTGACCCTCCTGTGTCAACAACTTCACATAGATGCTTCACCAAGGATGATATAAAAACAAATCCAAATGCTATGAAAAATGGGTCTGATACCTGCATACAAATCTAAATTTCTTTAGTTAAGTGTTTAAACATGCAATATTCCTACTTCAGAGCACATATAATTAATCTTACTATTACAGAGTTGACTTATTAATCAAAAACTTTAACACATCAAATACACAAGTACACAACCTACATACGTAGTATTTACCTTAGGGTATAATGAGACACCATAGAGGAAGCTAATCCGAGGAATGGTAACAAAACACCAAACTGCGATAAAATCAAAACAGTATAGGACGACCCAGGATGAAGATATCCGATGAAAAATTTGCATTCTTGACGGACTGTAGAAAAGGGGGCAATATTTTGAAAGCCCAATTTCAGCAAGTCCTGAGATCCATCTACTAGATTGAATCAAATATTCATCTGAGATTAGTCGTAGCAGAACCCAGAAATTGTGGCCTTGGTGGATTCAAATATACTGATCTCCACCCTTTGCTCTGCAACATATAGCCTGTCATTGCATCTTCCAATACACTTTTATACCAAAAACCAGCCTGCACATGAATAAAGAACTTATGATGATCCATTTCTCAGTTTTCATAGTCATTATAATAGGCTTCCAAACTTCTACATACTTACCCCTTCACCCCATTTAGTATTTTCTTCATAAGTGCAAGAGGCTAAATACTGGGCTTCTTGTACTGGAGCAGTGCAAAGCTCACTGTACTTGGTTTTACTAGGCATGTCATTTTGTCTAAGTGACTTGATGAACTCAGTGGAAGGACCAAGTATATTTCTTGCTTCCTTCATTATGTCATTACCTACAAGAATCGTAAGCAAGGATTATTAGCCCCTACCATTTGATACAATATGAGGCGGCTTAGAGGTAAGGTAATATATAAGAGGGTTCTGAAATCAAGTCCCAAACATAGGTTCACAAAATCTAAACCATCGATTAGTATTCATGGAATCTTGCCTTAACTGGTACAATAGATACTGTACGGGATATACCGGTAGCATCTATAATATGCCGGTAAAAGAGTGTCGTGCAGTTTAAAGCCCTCGTTAATCATTGAATAATTCAAGTCCTTACCGACATCAGTCTCTCCCACGTGGAGAGCTGCTTCTCGGAACGCGGCATGTCCCTCTGACACGTGGAGAGTTGCTTGGTGCCGCGTAGGCACCTGCTATTTACAAGGTCGGTGTGCCACCTATCTGTATAGGTGGCACCTGCTTGGTTGTGTTTTTATAAATACCCAAGCAAATCCTCATTTCAAAGGTAGAATCTCTCTCTCTCTCTAAAACACTTTCTCTCTCTTCTTTCACTTTCTTCTCACAAAGGTACTGACTTTAGCATCGGAGTGGTTATTCCCGGATAACCCCCGGGCTAGCTAATCTGTATTGGCTGTGTAGGTGAGCAATTGGACGGTAAACCATTACCAGCCCTCGGACATTAACGGAAGCAGAATTCAGCAGGAACAATTGGCGCTAGAAGGAGGGGATAGTAATAACTTCTATCGTCCAACAGGACACCTCTCACAGTCATGGAAGGAAGTAAGGAAACTACAGTACCAGTACTAGAAGTTGATAACCGGCAATATGATAACAGTGTCTTTAATGCTAACACGAATAAAACCGTACTACCAGAAATCGTGGTCGAGGATGAAACTCATCTCCTTCACGGTAACACAACGAACATGCCCATAACGCCTGACCATAATAGAGCATTAACCCCAGATCCCTTGGAAGAGTTTACCCCGGAGGAGCTAGAGATAACGGCCAAGGTCATGCGGGCTATGTCTAAGAAAAGAAAGGAAGCCGAGTTAACGGCAGGGGAAATGCGGGGTGATGTACCGACAAAGCCGCTGATAGTGAACCTGGAGAGTCAGTTCAATCAGGCGGGACAGCAACAACCGTCAAGAAGCCGGGGCCGAGAGACCATACCGGCTGAGCGCCAACTCACGCAAGGCGCCCAGGTGGGGGATTCAGGTTCTTATCGGCATGAGGTTTCCAGTGGCTTGGAAAGGCGGGCAGCCAGGGCGATCATCAGGCCCAGAATATCTCCGTTCACGCAAGAGGTACTTGACCAACAAATGGAGAAAATAAAGATGTCGTCCTGTACGTATGACGGTAAGGGGGACCCAAAGCGGTATGTAGCTGCTTTTGAGAGTCACATGTTGCTATATACCGACACCGATGCTGTGTGGTGTAAAGTTTTCCCTACGACTCTTACCGGCGCAGCTTCGGATTGGTTCTCCAATTTAGAGTCGGGATCAATTGACTGCTTTGAGACCTTGGTGGAATTGTTCACAGGTCAGTACATAAGTAACAGTGCGAGACAAAGGACATCTGGCGAGCTCATGGCTATTCAGAAACGAAAGGAGGAGTCGCTCAAAGATTTTATTAGACGCTTCAATAACGAGGCTAACACCATACCAAAATTGCAGCAAGAAATTTCCGTGATGGCGTTGATGAATGGGCTGGGTGACAACAACTTCAAAAAATATATGTCGCGAAAGTCTTTCCCAAACTTAGGGGTAGCATTTGCCAAGGCTCATGAATACATAAAAAGTGAGGAACTGCTGAAAATGAGCCATCAGATATCGTCAGCAGAGCCCTCCAGAAGGCAAAGTGATAATAGCCCAAATGCCCAGATGGGTGGGGTAAGCAGGGTACTGCCGCAAGGCCAGCACAGATCTGGAAGACCGACAAGGGGATTGGGCCGTTATAGTAGTTATACGCAGTTAAACACCCCGAAAGCGGCAATATATTCAATAAACCAGAATAGAAAAGATTGGAGTCGGCCGGCACCGATGATAACGAAGGGCTGGGACGTGAAGAAATATTGCATGTTTCATAGAGATGTTGGTCATTACACCGAAGAATGTGTTAAGTTAAAAGAGAACATTGAAGATCTCATAAGGAAAGGGCGATTATCCCAGTATCGTACTCAAGCAGGTCCCAGCCGGCAGCAAAATTCCCAGCCTAGGCAAACCGAGTACCGAAAGCAGGGAGATTCATCAATGCAAGATGATACTTACAGGCATAATCATGCGGAAACATCCAGACAGGGAGGTAATCCGACAGGGCGCAAAATAACAGTCGATGTTATTACGGGAGGACCAGTATATGGGGGTTCCGTAAGCGGGGCGAAGAAGAGTTTGTCGGAATACCAGCACCTAGTGAACGCTTTGAGCGTAGAGGAACGACCTCGGCCTTCTTCCATGCTTTCGATATCTTTTTCGGAGGAGGATGCTAAGGAAATAATTTACCCTCATGATGGTTGGTGCTGATATTGACGGTAAATGGAGCAGATATCAAGCGGGCACTCGTTGATGGCGGAAGTTCCGCAAATATCCTGTTTGCTAGGGCTTTTGATGCCATGAGGATTGGCCGAAAATACTTGACGCCAGTGTCTTACCCCGTGATAGGTTTCAACGGATCAACGGTAAGACCTGAAGGTAGTATAGTTCTTCATATTCGAATGGGAGAGGGTCCGGCAGTAAGAGATGTCATGGCGGAGTTTTTGGTGATTGATGTGCCATCCGCTTACAGCGCCATTGTCGGTAGGCCTTTAATTCATGACATGCAAGCTGTGGTCTCAACGTACCACTTAACAATGGTGTATGTATCCAACGCGGGAACGACAGAGCGCGTACGGGGTAGTCAAACTATGGCAAGAGAGTGTTATGTTTCAGCACTGAAGCAGCCAGGCCGACAACCAACTTGTGAGCAGACACCAGCCAAGCGAGAACGAATTCCCTCCACACATGACTTGGCTATGGAGAATTTTGATACTTGGCCGGTAACTGCGCCACGTCCTTCCCCAGGAGGCGAAATTGTAGAGATCGAATTGCAGCCTGGGGTCCCCGGTAGGGTAGTGCGTGTTGGATCCGATATGGATGTCGACACGCGCTGCCATTTGGTGGAATTGTTACGAGAAAATGCTGACGTATTCGCTTTCTCGGCAGACGAGATGCCCGGGATACATCCCGACGTCATAGTACATAAGCTAAATGTCGACAGGAGAGCAAGACCTGTTCGACAGAAGAAAAGGAACTTCTCAACAGAGAAAATGGAGGCTATTCAGTCGGAGGTGAATAAATTGCTAGCGGCAGGGTTTATCGGACCCTGCACATACCCCGAATGGCTAGCAAATGTGGTTATGGTAAAGAAGTCGTCAGGGAAATGGAGAATGTACGTGGACTTTACGGACTTGAACAGAGCCTGCCCGAAAGATTGCTATCCCATGCCGAGGATAGATAGATTGGTAGATTCAACTTCCGGTCACGCGCTATTGAGCTTCATGAACGCTTTCTCCGGGTATCATCAGGTCAGCTTATATGAGGCAGATCGAACCAAGGCGGCATTCATTACCGATTCCGGAGTTTTCTGTTACAGGGTTATGCCATTTGGATTGAGAAATGCAGGGGCTACGTATCAGAAGCTGGTCGACAAGGTATTTGCGAACCAGAAAGGAAGGAATGTAGAAGTGTATGTAGATGATTCAATTGTGAAAAGTCGTTTGGCTACAGATCACGTCGCTGATTTGAGAGAAACTTTTGAAACTCTTCGACGCTACCGGATGAAGTTAAACCCAGAGAAGTGTGTGTTCGGCGTTCGGTCAGGAAAGTTTCTCGGGTTCATGGTGAGCGAAAGGGGGATAGACGCTCACCCCGATAAGATTGAGGCGATTCTTAGTTTACCAGAACCAAAGTGCATAAAAGATGTACAAAAGCTCACTGGTTGAATGGCCGCATTAACGAGATTCATCAGCAAGTCAGCTGATAAGGCCTTACCGTTCTTCGTGATCTTGCGTCAGAACAAGCTGTTTGAATGGGGGAAGGACCAATCCAAGGCGTTTTAGGCTGTGAAAAATCACTTGAGGTCCTTACCCACCGTCGCAAGGCCGGAACAAGGAGAAACATTACAGCTTTATATCTCCGCGTCAGCAAAGACGGTAGCAGCGGTGCTCCTAGTAGAACGGCAAAAAACCTAACTGCCAATTTACTTCGTGAGCCACGTTTTAAATGCTGCCGAGAGACGGTACCCGTTAGAAGAGAAGATCGCGTACGTAGTAGTTGTGGCCGCACGAAAGTTGCGTCCTTACTTTGATGCACATGCAATTGATATCTTAACGAATCAGCCGTTAGAGAAATCTTTGCAGAAGATGGAAACGTCTGGCCGCCTGCTTAAATGGGCTATTGAATTGTCTGAATATGTTATTACGTATAAACCAAGAGTATCAATCAAAGCCCAGGCCTTGTCTGACTTCATTGTAGAAACGTCTTATTATGAAGAGGAGGATGGTACCGGCACATGGAAGGATCAGTTGACGGCTCGTCTGCTTCAACCGGCTCAGGGAGTAATTATGATCTCTCCCCAGGGAGATGTGTTCGAGTATGCTGTTAAGTTCAAGTTCAAAGCCTCGAATAATGAGGCAGAATATGAAGCAGCGTGGGCAGGGATACAGCTATGCATATCTGCGGAAGCAAAGCGTATTGAGATGACAACTGACTCGCAAACTAGTAGCAAATCAGTTCAATGGCACTTACGAAACTCGAGAACCGAGCATGACGGCATATTTGGCAAAACTCAAGAGTGTTACATCTGGTCTGGAATATTTCGAAATCAAGTTGGTTCCTCGAGCAATGAACACGCAGGCACACGCATTGGCTAAACTCGCAAGTTCAAGTTTCAATGACTTAGATAGGACGGTTATGATAGAGGTTTTGAAAGAAAGAAGTATTGATGAACAACCTCCTAAGGATATATATTGTACAACTGCGGGACGAGAATGGTATGACGATATCTTGGCTTA